GTCGTAGGATTAGACAAAGTCACCCTGTAGATTTTTAGTTTCATTCTGCTTTTCTACTCGGCGTTCCTACAAATCTGTTGTCTGACCGCCTCCTCATCGTCTCATAGCAGCTCTCAGGCAAAACGAGTAACTCCGACACTGACACCATCACTTGTTAAGTAAATTTGGAGTAGCACAGCCCACCCCCTACCCTCCAGGTCTACTTCCCCTGTCAGCTCCTCAAATATAGGTCGCATACAGCTGTTCGGGAGTATTTGTTTGCTTGGCTGTCACCTCTCGTTACGTCCCCCTCCCCCAGAATCTGCAGTGTGGGGTCATGAGCGAGGCCATGCTTTAATGCACACCCGCTTCGTACTACATCAGACTCCCGTGTTCTCTCAGCGGCGGCTAGAATGTTGTAAGGTGGAGTTGTGGATTATTAATGCAGAGGTGATGGTGTAATAGAAAGCACAGGATTTACTGCTCAATCGTCTTTTTAAGTACAATTTATCTCCTCCGAAGAGCAGGAGTGAATCGTTTTACTGCTTAGGTACCGAGCTCCAGTCCAAAGGAAGATTTAGAGACAACATCTTGTCTAGGAAAGGGATTGCCAGCGTATATTGCCATGTTTCTGTCTGGATGGGTGTGGGAGATTTCCCCGCGGGGCTCAGAGGTATTAGAGTCATTACAGTGACCTTTATTTGCCCCCCAGTCTCTGCTGAACTCAGTCTGACTTGTCGGGGACAGCGTGGCTGTCACATCGTCTCTTCAAGGGACAAGACACACTTTACAGTCAGATAGGTCAAAGCTTGTTGGGAATGATTACGTTCCAGAACCCCCGGGAGGTCGGGGCATGCTGTTACAGCCGCGCTACTTCCATATTTATCAGCCAGGCTGTGCCCTTCCCTCCTCGCATCTGATGCCCACCACTTACAAATAAATAAATAAATCAATGTCTTCTTTATTATAATAACCCTGCTCTCAAAGTATTAAGAACAGTAAGATTGTTATTTATACTGATTTGTGTCATATTATATTTTCTCTATAAAACGGCATTATACTCCTTTTTGAACAAAGCACAGTGAGTCATCCTAGTTTGTTTGGTTTTAATTTGAATAAATTTACATCCAAAGATGTTTTTTAACGAGCAGAAATGTTTTTTCTAACTTCAAGACTTTTTAAAAAATGAAAGACTGTCATGTGCAAGAATTAGTCTCTGATTTCTAGGTGGACTTGAAGTATGTTTGCAGCCAAAATAAAACAAAAGTGTGTAGCCAGCAAATACCGGTTAAACTGAACCCAAATAAAGCTATTCTCATGTCAGGTGTGTTGTCTTTCATTGCTCCGTACCTTTCAGAGCCTTTTCTTAATCACCCGTCAGTTTTGACATGAATAAAAATAAATGTAGAAAAATGGACAAACATGTGGAATAAAACTTAACAGTTTCAATTCCCTTTAATATCTGAGAAGGTTTGTGCCAGATCTCAGCGTTGTTTGTGTTAACTGCTGAGGTTTGGAAGTGCTTTGCTAAAAGGAGGTCAGACTAGGTCCAGAGGGAGACTTTTTATCTGGCTGCACAGTTTTCAGACCGGCTTATTGGCACAGCTTTGACCTTCAGTGTTTACACGCGTCTATCTCCTAATGGGGCTACTGTGTTTAGCAGTTTTCAGCTTCAAATTTACAACAAGCAAATGTTTTATGAGTCCTATAGTTAATCTGGAGATGTGCCTAAAAAGATGAAAGTGAAGCTTAATCTGGTGATCCTCAAGTTTAACTTTACAGACATTTCCACACAAACAATCGGCTAAGGTAGGTTTACTTTACCCTTAATCTGCTGTAATCTTTGTGGAGTTGTACCCCCCCCCCCCCCACACACACACACACACACCACGTAATCATTGTTTCCTCTTAAAACTTTAAAACAAATAGTTGATCTCACCTGTCCGCTACAGCTGGTGACAAATCGCCAGTGAGGCATTTAAAAAAATATCTCTAAACATTCTCCAGAATGGGGGTTCTCAAGTTCCTTGCGTTCAAAAAAAAAACTTTATGTTTGCTGCTGATTTCTCCCTGGACTGCCGGCTGCAGGTTGTGGACCCCCGGGGCGATCCTCTGCGCCTCTCGAGGGGGGCGGGGGCTTTTCTGGTTGCAGTCTCCTTGGGGTTCCTGTGTTCTGGGGCAGCGCCTGGATCTCTGGGACTTGGAGCTCCCTCCATCTCCTACACATCTTTGGGGGGCAGATCTGTGGCCCCTCACACTCTCTATTGGACGCTCCTAAAGAGAAACCTTACATAAACAAGCGCGTGTAAACACACAGGTGCTCTCATAAGTATGGACTTGGGCACGTTCAACACATGTCTTAAGGCTATGGTGGGCACTAAATGCACTGTGATTTATTATCGTGTGATTGTTCAGTTAAACAATGTTGATTTTATATTTCTTCAAGTTGACGCAGTGATAGCTTGCTCCTGATGTATTGTTGTGTGTCCCTTTTCTGCAGGTCTAGAAGCAGACTTGTTCATCATTGTTTATTTTTATGGTCCCCCCCACCCCCCTTGTCTCTTCCTTTCTCTTTCACCTCTGTCTCCGTGTCTGGTCGAAATTACAAAGCATTCAAAAACAATAACAATAAATTGGAAGTATCAGGCGTGACGTGACGTTAACGTGGAAGCTTGACACTCCACCTGAGAGTAAATCTGTAAGGCTTGTCACCAGCATTCAGGCATTAATTCTGTAAGTCAGAGTGATCGCGCCAGTCTGGATTCCTTCTCAGGTAGAAAGTGCAAGAGATCAAGGTAACCAAATAAATTGAGGTTAAACGGAACAGATTATGACATAATTGAAAAAGACTTCTTAACTAAATCATGACGAAGTTTGCACAGCACAGGGTTTCCCTCAGCGCTTTATAAGCCTGGCGGCCCGCCAGGCTTTGCTTGCCCACCCGCCAGGCTAAGCGTCATGCCCCGCCCCCCTCCCCGACCCTACCGTGTCCGCTGACACGAACGGCACAACGAAGCTAGAGCCCTCCATCAGCTGATACTGGTGAGAAACAGCAGTGGAACGTGTGCAACCACCCCACCCGTGCTGTCACGGAGGAGTGCTGGGAGACGGAGCGCACGACCCCCCTCCCACCCCCGACAGCCAAAGCCGCCAGGCTCAACTCATTTTCAGGGGGAAGTCCTGCAACATTTATGTCATGTGTTCCACATGAGCTTGCAAAACATAAAAGTTCTCCAAAATTCGTCATACGTTCTAACTCTTCTAAACAATCATTCTAGAAAAATACAACTAATATGTAGCGTAATGGTTGTTGGCTCTTTTATGAAAGATGAACCATTCTACACAATAATCTGGAATATTAATTTTAACAAATTAATAACCAAACGTTATAGAGATAAGAAGACTCAAAGGTTGTTTTCATCGATAAACTGACGATCATATCCGTTTGTCTGTGTTTCAGTTCAATGAAAAGGCAAGTTTAAATTTTAAGAGATTTAATTCTTCAATTTAAACTAACGATTTGAAATGACAATCATAGGAAAAAACAATCAACATTGGCAACCTTGTTGGACAATCTTTAACAGTTGATATTTTAAGCTTGCTCAAATAGACCTTGTGTTGGATGTGCTAAAATTTGAGGATGATGGAATTATAAATGCGTGCATGCAGGTGTCTGAGATTGCTTCAGGGAGAGAAAAGGTGAACTGAGTGAAAAATGATGTTTTGCAATTAAACTTTAGTTCTTATTAGAAAAAAAGCATCAGAACGCTATCTGGTCGTGTTCTGCCTCACCGCACTTAGGACCCTCTTTTAGATCCGGACCGAAGGAGGAGGTGTTCTCCAGATGACACCTTGGCTGACAGAGAAGACGAAGGTGTGCGACGGTCCAGTCCAGAGTTGACCTCGGTACACGTTGCTGAAGCGTTTTGGCAGATGCGCTTTCTCATGTTTAAATTAACTCAGAAATCAAAAGACTCTGGGACGAGTCTGCGTTAGCTGGTTGCATTTCAGCTATTCTGTCTGGCTTGACAGAAATAGCGTGGTGGGAGAACAGGAGCCTGCAGGGCTCCTTTCCCCGTGGCGTTCGTTCCGCACTTCCGCTCTCTTCCGTTCTAACTCTCAGTCTAACTAATAATTACCTTGTGCTAGCATGCGCTAGTAATGCTAACACCATGCAACAGCTAATCATGTTGTAAATCACTGTTACGTCATGTTTATGAACCAGAGCTGAAAATCACCACCAAGATGGGTGAGTTCATGAATGTTACATGGCATCACACACTTAAATAAGCCATCTGAAACCCTGATGTGGCTCACTTTTAGTTCCTGAAACCGGCGTACCAGAGCTTTTTTTCCCTCAGAGTACAACTTGCAAGGCATTCGTTCCCACTAGAGACCACTGCACACGTGTTGATGAAACGTGTGAACTGGATTTAAAACTTTAAGGAGAAACCAGGAGCGTTGGGCGCTTATCTGACAGTTTGCTGACGGATCACAATGTCCCTGCACGGGCCTGTCAGCTGTCATGTCACCATGTCCTCCTTCCACATGTGATGCTGATGTGAGCTCTTTCAAATCGTCTCCGGCAGATTTTATTTGATGCTGTTGTCTGTTTTTCCTTCATCTACTGTTTAAAGCTTCTCTGCATTTTTATTGTATTAACTTGGACATAAATAATTCACATCTTATATAAATGTGTCACTAGAATGTACGTAGATATTGAGTCAAGCCCAGGAGGAGATGGATAAAGTGAAACTCCAGCTTAGATTATAGCCTTTAGGTCAGCCTTCCAAAAATAACCCAGAACTTCATATTTACTGCTCATTTTCCAATTATTCTGTCCAAAAACTGTCCACTCCATCCCCAGTGTCTCCTCATCAGCAAATACCATGAGGGCTTTTTGTGATTTGGAAAATAATTTTCTCTGCTGCGGTTTCTTGGTCTCTGGATCTCTCCTCCATCTCCAGTAGAGTCCAGCTCACTCTTCATGCATCAGTGATGTTTCTCTGTTGTTGCAGAAGCTCGCTGCCAGAAGCACGGCCTGCACATGGCGCAGAACCTCCTCCAGGAGGAGGTGGCTCATTCTGAGGAGCACTCTGAGGTAAGAAACACTCAAGGGCTCTTTGTCCTTTTGTTCCTGCTGAGAATCCAAACAGTGCTTTATTGTTTAGGCAGTGGTGTCGTTGGGGATTTTTGTAAAGGCACACCACTCTCACGCTCACAGTGAGCCCACCCACTTCCATGCATTCTGCTCTCTTAAGCCATGAGGCGAGCTACACATACAGCCATCAGCCCACCAGCATAACAGCAGCATAACCCAGTTAGCCAGACTCTGCACATGTTCACTTTGTTTCTCTTTGGTAAAACAAATGAAACTGTAGTTTTGAGTTGGGTCAGGTCATCCCTGTAATTCTGATGCGTCAGACGTTCCATTCACATCTAATAAAATAATATCAGCTGATGGAAAACGGCTCTCTTTAATAGATGGGATTATTTTTGGGTGGGGGACTTTTGTGGTTTCTATTGAATCGTTTCTAAAATAATCTCACCTGGTGACCTTGGCACCTCACAGGTGTTCAAAAACAGGCTTGATGATCATCGCAGAGGCAAACGGCTGAGCACAAAGACGGCACTCATCGGCCTGCAGGCCTGTATTGTATAACTCCTATCAGTGAACTGCACATTTTCTCTGTCATACGTGTTCTGACAGGAGCGGTGTGAGCTCATAGCACAAGAGCGCCTACAGTGGACCTTTTGTTTGTGACTTTATGATGCATCGTTGACGGTCTACAGACATTCTGGGGTATCCCACGACTGTTTCCCGACTTTATTAGATGCATTTTGGTTATTTTGTCTTTATTTGAATCCAAAACACAGAGACATCTAAAATACATCAGTGGGGGATTAAATATGTGATGTGATGATTAAAGCATGTTGTGGTTTTGGTGATTAAATCATTTGGTCTCAGCCAGTCAACATTCACCATAGCAAACAAATTCTGACAGTTGTGCATATCTCTTTGTTTAGTCATAACACGTCTTAATACCATACCACACCAATTTATTTATAAAGCACAGTTTAAAAATAGCATGGCAGCTAACTAAAGGGCTGTACAAAACGAGCCAAAGGCTCAGACACAACAACAACCCATAGCATAAAACTAAAGAATTTGCTAAAACGCATAAAAAGTGAAGCATAAAAATACATGTTAAAGATAGCAGTCAAAGCAAACAAGTAAAAGCACCATGCCAGAGAATAAAAGAGAGAAAACGATTTAAACCAGCTAAAAACGACACTATTAAAACTGAAAGGGATAAGAAATATTGCTAGGTGCAACTAAGAGAGTAATTGATAATAAACTAATCAGATAAGGAAAACAACGCTAAGACATGCAGATGGGAGAGACATGGCCCCTGAGATTTGTGTTATTTTTAGTGTAGAGGATCATGGAGGGAAGGCCATGCTGAAGAAGTGTGTTTTAACAGCAAACTTAAACCTACTGAGGGAAGGAGCCAAACGTTGATTTGGGGGGGACAGAGAGTCCCAGAGTTTTGAGGCTGCATGAGCGAAAGTAGCTACCCTGGTGATTTATAGCAAACCTTCAGAACAACCAGAAGCAGGTAATTGGCTGATCGAAGGAGATGTGTGGATGTATAAGGACACAGCAGGTCAGCCAGATAAGATGGAGATGGGCCATTAAAAGCCTTGTACACAAAAACGCAAGACTTTGAAATGAATCTTAAACTGGGAGCCAGCGTAGATGAGCAAGAATAGGAGTGTTGTGCATGCATCGGTCGGTATTGGTTAAAAATCAGCATTTAGAACTTTTTGTAGTCTGCCTAAGGCAATGACTTCTCTACAGGCCTGTTTTTGCTATCAGAAATTCTGGGTAGTTTTGCCAGACCTTTATGGCATGTCTCCATTTCACCGGACCGGCCCGAAAGAACCAGTTTCTGGGCCATTTTCAGAAAAACCAAGTACTTGACCTGGGGTATTGGTTCAGAAATGACCCAGTAGAGTTGCTGGGTGGGACTTGTGGGTAACTCATGCTGATTGGTTTTTACTCAGTAGGAAATGACATCAGCACGCATCACCAAACAATCAGTATTAGTAAAATTGCATCATTGACGCCAATTTAAAATCACCATTTCTAAACTTCTAGCGCTGAAAAATGCTGATGACCAGGGGCGCCGTAAAATGGTGAAAGATTAGGAAGATTCTAAGGGCCCACAGCTGTCAGGGGCCCAAAAAAGTTTCAAAGTTGAATAAAAAATAAATAAAGTTTAAAATCACAAGTACTTTACTTTGCAGTATTTTTTCTCATTTAAGACATTAAACAAACAATCTTTTAGTCTTTATGAAATGTATATTTATTCAGAGGTCCCTACTTTATTTTGACTAATAAATTTGAACCCCCCCACCCCCGGCATAAAATGGTACAGTTCACCTGGCCGAGGGGCACGTAGCAGGCAAGACCAGCTCACGCAGCAGTCAGACAGCAGAGTGCTTCAAGGCACGCTGCAGTAAAAATATGTCTGCAAAAACAAAGTCTGGGTCACAGAAAAGAAAAGAAAGAAAGGTGAAAGAGGACGGGCAGAAGACAGGGCGTCAGTATGTCACACAGTTTTTCTCAAAGAAAGGTGGGTTTAGTTAGTGAGTGGTTAAATTCAACCTGTTTTCTAGCTCTGATATCCACAGTGAGAGGAACTATATTTCATCTAATTATGGTAAATGGGTTGTTGTCCTTGTCCCTACCAGAATCAGCAGCTGATGATATGTCAGCAGGTGTCCCCTCACAACCCAATGAACCTCAAGAAGGTGAGCAATGTAGCATGTTAGCTAGCAGCCTCATTTAAGGGGGTCTGTGGGAATCACTTAAGGCTCTCTTCTCTTTCAGTACTATTACAAAGGAATATAAAAAGGCTATTTTTGGTGATAAACACATTGTTTTTCCATATAATGATAATTATATATATAAATCAGTAAAAATGTATAGATTGTTTTGGATGCTGGGCAGGTTGAAGCATTGTTATTTAGTCTGTCACTAAGTATGTCACTCAGCAGCATTATTAATTATATCACTGTAAATAATAAATCTTGCTGTGTACAATCAAGGCTGAATATATTTTTAGCAGTTTTTTTGTTGTTGAGAAAAATGGGTTTCTAGAGACTTATATACGTATTCATGCAAAGTTGTCCAACTTTAAAATTTTATGTAACCCTAACTGACTCCGGTTTGAACTGTGTGCTTATTCATTTTGTGTCTATGATGAAGCCATGGAGACTTAATAAAGAAGTCACCTTGTTAGCAGTGAATCCTTAATTTTTGTCAGTCATACAGAAATACTTGATTTCAAGAGGAAAGACAGCTGAAAATGTAGTTTATGTAAAGCTTTAACACAACATGGAAATTTAATTAGATATCCAAATTTGAATTTTATCATCAAATAAAATCTTAGAATAAACACATTTTAAGGGAGTAATAGGGAAAAGGAGATTAACACCTTTCAGCATGTGCATTTCCTGCTTTTTCCAGCAGTGATATTGCTAATTCTGTTGAAGGAAATTCACTGTTTAATGAGAGACAGCTGGTGAAAATGATATGTGAATAAGTAAGAATGCATGTAGACCTACATAATTAAGCAAAACTGAAACACTAATATAAAGTATATATATTATATATTTTTTCTCCCTTCGAATCTGGGAGGGTGGAACCCCAGCTCCAGCTATGGACGAGCCCCCAGGGGGCCCAACTTGATATTTTTTCATGGGGCCCAAAATCTCTGGCAGCCCCCCTGCTGATGACGCCATTATTTCTGATGCTTAACAGTCTTCTCCAGAATGCTATAGAAAGCAGTGTTTCTTCTGGTCATTGAACGCTACTTTTTACATCACACAGCCGCTCTTTCACACCCAATTTCAATACTCGCACTTCCGCCTTTGCACCCTTCAATTGCACATTGTCGGCCAGGGGTGCGAGTGCGTAGGGCACATATGTCAGACTCAAGGCCCGCGGGCCAGATGCGGCCCGCGGAGCATTTTATGTGGCCCGCGAGATAAATATCAAAAATATATTAAAACTGGCCCGCTGGCCGATTTTACCACAAATACTTCAACTCCCATGATGCTTTGCGGCGTCAGCGCGGAGCTGACGCGCCCCCTCCTTTGTGTTTTTTCCTGCGCCTGCTGCCGGTCTGCAGCTCCGCTGTCTCGGACAAACTACGCTCCTCCCTTTCAACGCTGAGTTCACTCAGCTGTTTTCTGACGTTGAAGCCCAGAAACGGAGATTCTAGCCGCTCAGTAATGTGTTCACGACTGAAAGAGAGTTTTCCAACTAACGTCCAGACAGAGCTGATATAATTCCAGCGAACAGCGACACGCTCAAACCAGCACGCTCTGTGGTTGCCGTCATTGTGTTTCCTCCCCGACACACAACAACGTGGTCAAGCTGCTCAGACATGTTCATCAGCACAAACCTATGTGAGCACCTGTTGTCATCTAATGTTGTCATTATTATGATGAAGATGAACAAAACAACTGGAGCCTCCTCAGCTCAGATCAACCCCATGATGCAGGTATCTGGCTGGAACAGGTGAGCATCACAGTAAACCAGTGGAGCAAACTGAGCTTTAAATATGTTGGTTTTATGCTCTTTTTCTGCTGCAAAACATGAAAGTTAACAGGTGAGATGTTGCATTTTCATTTAGGATAAAATTATATTTTTATTTTGTTGTTGGCCCATGAGAAAAGATTTAAAAGATTTAAAGATTTTAAAGATTTTAAAAATGCTCATTATACCACAAGTAATGAATACCACTGATGCCTTTTATTTAAAACTGACTTGCTCGTGTGTAATTTGGTAATTCCACATTCAGTGTTAATGCAGAAATAAGTTTGTTTCCAAATTTAAAGGTTAAAAATTGCATATATGTTGATAAAGAAAATGTGGAAATTTGCCGTCACTTTTTCAAAAAATATTAAGTTTGGCCCTCGACTTCGTCCCAGAGTTTCATTTCGGCACCGTGTGAGTTTGAGTTTGACACCCCTGGCGTAGGGCATCCTGATTGTCAAGTGCGGAAGGTGACCACACCCCTTTTTCACCCTCGTCCCTCACTTTCCATATCGATGCAGACTTCGAACAAGGGTATTACCCTGAATCCACTGCGGAGTGGGAATTTTTAAAAGGCTGAGCAATGGCCGAAGTGCCTTTTCTGAAAATATGTGAAAAAAATTCATTTTAAACTAGTTAAGTATATGTATTAATGCTCTAATATTTGTGTAAAACATTTAATGTGAACAGCATTGAATGTAAATTTAGTCGAACGATTGAAAGTATTTATAAAGATTTTTTTTTAAGTAGCACAAACAGCGAGTCGGCACACTTGTGTACTATGCACTCTGACCCTACTGTGCATTTCCTCCAAGTGCACTTAACAGAAGTGCGTAGGGCGCAGTTTTAGTATTGGGATTGGGCCTCAATGCATCCCCCAAACGGTACAGAGTACTTTGACAGAAAAACAGCTCTTATGTCATTCGTGTTTATGTCCGTGGACGCATTTCGACGTCGCTCACTGTCGCAACAGTTGCGATATGTTGACATCTTAGCAAAAACCTGAAAGGGACAATTTAGTAAGGATGAGAGGACTGAGCCATGGTATTTTCCCTGTCACCTTCTCAGAGATGTCCTGAAACTCGTCTAATGGAGACGCAGCTAATGTGTTGGCAGTTTGGTCATTAACCCGCTAAAGTCGTCTCCTGTTTCCTACATTTCGGACTCTTGGAAGCTAATTTCAGACAGAAAATAAGACGGGTTTCAGACACGTGCCTCTACAACTTTTTTAAGAAAACTTTGACCAGTGTGTTTTTATATTTTGGAAACTCCTTTACAAATCCTGTTTGTGTTTTTAAAATGGGGCGACAGTGACACAGGAGTTAAGTGCTCGTCCCGTAATCGGAAGGTTGCAGGTTCGAGCTCCGCTCAGTCTATCACTGTCGTTGTGTCCTTGGGCAAGACACTTAACCCACGTTGCCTGCTGGTGGTGGTCTGAGGGACCGGTGGCGCCAGTGCTCAGCAGCCTCGCCTCTGTCAGTGCGCCCCAGGGCAGCTGTGGCTACATCGTAGCTCATCCCCACCAGTGTGTGAATGGGTGAATGACTGATTGTGTTGTAAAGCGCCTTGAGGGGTTCCAGGACTCTAGAAGGCACTATATCAAATACAAGCCATTTACCGTTTAAAATCAAGTCAACCTTTGCTACTTTAATTACCCACAATGCTTCACTCTGCACAGGCAGGCTGATGCAGACGCAATTACCAGATGAAACCCACCGCTGCTGCAGGCCCACATTGATCCACACAGCCCGCCTCCTTGCCTGGCAGTGATCAATATCTTCATGACTTTCTCACGGAATCAGCTGATTGATTAACCAACAGCTAACACAAGCCGGCAGCGTCGCTCAATGAGAAAATACAAAAAAAAGCTTCTGTACATCAGGAAGTATTTGACGTTTTATTATCCTCCATCACTCCGGTTAGGTCAGAAGTGTTAAACATGACGTGGTATTTATTGCATGATTTAAGATCTTGGTGTTGGTTGTTTTAATTAAAGCTTCTGAGTTGTTGAAAGTGAATCAATGCAATCAATCCCCTCGGATGTTCCAGTGGTGTTTGGGTCTAAAACATTTTAGATTAAACATTCAGTTGGAAAGCACCTGATTCTCATGGTTGCAAAATCAGAATAAACACAACAAATGACTGATTTACAGTCTTGGGGCCTCGAGTCTAAAAAAGCTTCATCTTCTGTTGCCTTAAGTCAAACGTGATTCCTCGTCAGGCACCAACATGAACACTTCTGATGGTGGAAACAGAAACTTGTAGTCTTCCGTCATCCTGTAAATCAGGTTCTGATAGCCATGGAACCAGGCTGAGCTTAAGAGAAGGATGACAAGATTTGTTTGTCTATTTTTGTGCTGGTTTTACACCAAGACAACAAGAGCTGGAACACAAACATTTTTCATTTAACCCTTTGATGCATAATGGTCACTACAGTGGACAGATACTCAAAATTGTTATTTATTTGTTTTTGCTATTAAGCACAGCTGTTGAAGACTTTATTGCATTTAAGCTCCTCCATTTGGACTTCAGTAAGCCAAGCCAACATATTTCATGTTTAGAATGCACGCTGTCCACTGAGATGGACATGTAATAAAATATTTGTAAATTATAAAATTTTAAAAAAAATTTTTGTTGAAATTTGTTTCATTCACACCTAAAGACGAATGAAAAAAATTGTTAAAAAAAATCATGGTTGAAGATTTCATAATTCATGCATCAAAGGGTTAAAAAATGGCCCGTAGGTGACCCCGGACTTTAGCAGCCTTTGTCAAGGCAGCAGTCTCTGTGCCTCCTTCTGACAGGCCCTGAGCCACGCCCAGATCAGCTGGGAGGGACCATCCCTACTGGGAGTTCTGGTTCGACCCCATGGCCTTCGGCCATCTGGACATGACGTTAACCTTTTGAATGCAATGCCCGTAGGTGGCTTCCTACCAGGTGTTCAAGCGCAGCGCCTCTCCATGTGGAGTAAGCAGAAGGGAAGTACGCAGACGTTAAACACGAGTTTAAATATTACATAAACCTCTTTTGGCTCTAAATGTAAGAAGGAAATACCCAGACCACCGGCTGGTCTGAAAACGGCGTTAAATTTGAAGTCATGTGGTTTTACTGGTTTGTGAAATTACTAAACACTGAAAACTTTTGATGGATAGTTTTTTCCCTCTCTCTTATCCATCTGACTTGGTTCAATCAGATGAGTCTCAAAGCTTCTCACGCCCCGAGAAACCATTCAGGCACAATTCAATTCAATTCAAAAATACTTTATTAATCCCAGAGGGAAACTGATTCAAGTCCTGCCAGATGAAACAGCCTTTAAGTCCCTTACAGTGAAATGTTGTCTCTGAAAAGCCGTGGCATAGTCCATGGATAAGCACTCTGACCCGATGAAGTCCTCTGTATCGTTTGTTGGACAGATTCCCTGCAGCTGGACCCCTCTGCGTGTTGTCCTGTCTGCTAACACCGCTTTGTTTGTCTGCTGTGCTTCACAGGAGCTGCTGGAGAAATTTATGGAGGGGAACGTGAGTCTGGACCAGTTCTTGGATTCCTTCCAAAGCTCCAGGAAGACGTATCACATTCGTCGGGCTCAAGCAGAGAAGATGCAGGAGGCTGTTCAAGCCCAGAAGCAGCCAAGCAAAACCAAGCAAGCGGGGGAGAACCAAGTCCCAGTGGGGAAGAAGGACTCCGAGCTGCCTCAAGAGCCACAGCGGCCCAACGGTTTCGTAGCACAGGGACCTCTTAGAGTGTTCCAAGTACGCTACGGCTTGACGCCGGCCATCCTCGTCCCCCATTACCCTGTGTCCCCCCCTCCCTCAGCCCCTGGGCTACAAAGCAGAACCTCTCATTCTGAATCCCAAGGACAGAACCACATCCTCAGCCCCAGTAACCCACTTCCAGGACACGGCCAGCCAGTTGGCCTCAGGGTCATTGGACAGCTGTCTGGTGGCTGGCCTGCTAACGGGAGGCCGGTCCGAGTGCAGCAGCTTTACAGACCAAACCCTCAGCAGCCAGAACCGCCATACCGATAAGCTCCAGGTGGGTCAGAGAGACGGCTGGAGAGGTCTTCCAGGACCAGAAGGTGGCTGATCATGATCACGTCGGCTCAGGCTGACCCTGACCGGCAGCGCTGGAGATCGAAGTTTCTGTTCTTCATTCATAACACACCGGGAGCATCAAGGGAGCAGAGCAGAGAGGTAGAGAGGAACCAGGGAATCCCGTTTGGAAACCAGTAAACAAATCTCCTCACAGTCCGCCCTTAGATCTCGTTTTAATACTTTAGTAAAACGAGATCATAAAGATGTGGGGAAAACAGCTTCACTGGCTGCAGATCAGATGATTACAGCTCAACCAAGTGATGATCCTCAGAAACGATCACATGCTTTATAATGCCCTCTTTGTGTGTTTAACATCTCATCCTCATCAGAGCGAAAAACCACCCAGTTTCTGTGTTGTCAGCCAAACAAAACCTAATGAAAAACTAGATTTTATGTTTATTTAAATCTGTAGTTTAGTAAAGATGAGATTTGACTCAACACTGGATTTTGAACCCCGCCCCCTGTGAGTTTTAAAAGTAATTTAAAAGTATTTTATTGTGTGTTTTATATCCTCAGAGTTGTGAAGCACATCTATTAATCAGGATCTTATTGTTCATTCGTGCATCTGGAAGCAGAGGAAGCTCTGTGAGATCTGAGCCGTCATCCAGATGAATGATGACACCAATAAAACCGCCTCTAATAAGCCTCTTGTCTGATCAAAGTCGTGAAGTCCATCCTTCCTGAGGTCGCAAACGTTGGTGTCGAATGAATCTCCACTGGGCGAAGTTTAGACAGATATCCCGTGGAGCCGATCGGGTGGTGTTGACTCCTTCGATGGTCACTGAAGTCTGTGTTATTTGTGTGTTCGGATCACCGGTGATTACCCAAAGCCTTCAGCCTTCTTGTGCAGTTTCATTAACACCGTTGCAGCTCACATCAGTGGGCGATTTATTTATTCATTCATGTAAATCCCATTTTAAATGGCTGACTTCAAAGCTTTTTTTTTTTGTTTACAGCGCTAATCGAAGAGCTGCTTCTCCTTTCAAAGAAGCCAGTGTTTTTATTTCTTTTTCAGAATTGAGCTGCGGAGTGAGAGGAAATGGATCTCTGTGAGAATGTCAGCACTCTGCAAGCACATAGTCAGAATCAACACAGGTTTAAGGATTTTTGTTATCTGTCTTGCAGATGTACTATAGAGAAACACTTGGGATTGTAGTTGCAACGGTTCTGCTCTTGAACATACGTTCATAATAACTCATAAGTGCATGCTTAGTACAGCTCGAGTACACGAAAATGCCTTCAGTCAGCCAGCGCCCAGTTGCATAAAACTTAATCTACTGGAAAAACAGCAAGTTTTATTTACAACATTTTTTTGCTGTTGTTGTTTTAAGTGTCATTTTGGTCTCTAACACCAAAATGAGGTTGAATGCTGACATGCATTTGCACAAATAAAGGAAGTTTAGGCCAAAAGTGTGTGTGCAAAAGTTTTGGTCGTGCTCTTTGAGGATGATGCATCATTAGCCGAAACCAGAACTGCATTTTACTATTTTAATGAATGAGATTCCAGTCCAAACCAAAATTTTAATGAGTAATTTTATTGCTCTGTGCTCCAAATGTCCGCTTGGTGCCATAAAATTCATATAGACACCAGAGTGGTCGAGGAACTAATGAGCTTCTGGGTAAACACACCAATATTCTTAGTCTTGTTTTTGTTTGGTCTGTTGCTTTTACATTTTCTTTGTGGATTTTTTTAGTATTTTTGTTCGCACCATTGGGATGAAAATGATGGCCAAAACTTGTCATGTTTGTATTTAAAGGTTGTAAAAACATTTAGTTGTGAGAACAGTGAGGATAAAGTATAATAAAGTATTTTTGAATTGAATTGAATATAAAGTTTTGTGAATGGTAAACGACGAACAAAACTTCTGAAATAGTTCTTCCACTCAGATAGTTGTTCTACATTGTACCCGTTTGGTTATTGGATTAAACCACCACTACATGTTGAGAAAGAACAATCTGACCTCAGTTTTCTTTAATAAATTCTATTTTTCTTTATTGGGTCTCTTTTGGGACTCCAGAATGTTTTGGTGGCTGTATCTTGAGGTTGATTCCATTTTTGAAAACAAAAGATTAAATCATAAGAATGTTTGCAAACCTCCTAAAAAGTTCGGTGCATCCCTCCAAGGCGATGACATCACAGTGAAGGCTGTCTGAATTTGAAGCATACTCAAAAGGACAGGTCTGTTGCATCTTTCCTGGCACAAGCTATCCCAGGATTCATTGCAGGTTGAACAGAGAATTAACTGATGGCAAAGGAATGAAACGCTTAAAGGGATTCTCTCTTAAGCTTGGTGATTGTTAGGGCCGGGCAATAAATTTATCGTTATCAAAATTTTGGACTCTTACCGAGATAATTTTTCCCATGTCAATAAATTTGATACTAGAAAAATGAAAAGATGTGTGTGGTTGGCAACGTTCATGTCCCTTTAACTCATTCACTGCCAGCCGTTTCCTGGTCGCTAAAGCACTTCGCTGCCAGTGTTTCTCATCGTTTTTACTGTTGTTTAAAGAGTCACTGAACGTTGCGCGCTAGGATGAGGTCGACGCCAAAACAACCAAAACAAAGCGGAGACTCACCTCTTACATCAGGAAGAATCTGCGTGTTTTGAGCGTTATCCGTTCTTTCATAATCCGTTGTTGAATTGTGATCGGCAGACGCTTTTCCGGTTCGCGCCTCACTTTTTTTTTTACAGCAGCGGCCCAAAACGATCTCCTAACACATGGATTTTCTGCTTCCTGTTCACGTGACGTATGCGGATGAAGATCGGCTTCAGAGCTGAGATGTTTGTTCTCACGGTGTGGGGGCTCGTCCGACGCCCACTCAGTAAAAACATTGGCAGTGAAGAGTTGGATTTTAAATGGCAGTGAATGAGTTAAAAAAAACTGTACAATTTGAGTCATGTAAAAATGTGACTCAACGTACTAGCCCCATCTAGTGGACAACCTTTGTTGTTACCTGTAGTTATTGTCCATTTATCGTTATTGAGGTGAAATCCTCAATATATCGTGAAGTTGATTTTAGGCCATATTGACCAACCCTAGTGATTGTTAAATATATTTTTTGTCAAACGTTATGATAAAACTCCTCGTAAATGACCGCTTAAGCCATCGTGGTTGCTAGACAATAAGTACATGGTTAGGTAGGGGGTGGGAATAAATATGAATCCTAGACTTTCCAAATTCACAGCTGCTCGCTTCCAGTCTTTGTAGTTGAGAAAGAACCCAACCGATGTGGACCTGTTAGGACGTGTCTTACCGAGGACGCTGCCCCTGAATTTAGACACAGCTATAATCTTCTCATCGTTACAAGGGTGCTCCACAAGGTTCAGTCCTTGGGCCCTACTTCCCCTGACTTCTGTTTTTATCATTATCTTTGCTCTTATACAGATGACAAGATGCACAATATAAACTAGAAATTAGGACCTGATTTGCACAAAAATTTGTCAAACGTAACTTCATGTCCAGTACTGCCTAATTTATTCTCAGAACATCTATATTCTACCTCATTTTCATTCTGTTCTAGGCTAACAGCCCCTAGATGCGTTTGCTTAGCTTCATATATGATTCGACAGTCTGAGGGGTGTTAACTGCTGGATCTCAGAGAAAATGATCCTGACAGATTTTGGCTTATGAGGCAACTGGGCGCTGGCTCCAAACATTCTGTGTCCACTCAGGGTCTTTTGGGAGAAAAGCAACGCCGCTACGGAACCTGAAGCTCATACCACCCCAGGGTGATGATGAGCTCATGAACATGGACCTCATACCCGCCCTCTTCATGTTATCATAAACATGGTGACACCATCTTACTCCAGACATTCCTCTGTTGCTGTGAGATTTTACTAAAACGAGGCTCAAGTGTCATCATGGCTCCCAGTCCTGGTAGTGATTTTTCTTGTGCAACACCTCTGTCTGAAGCATCGACGGGGGCGGGTTTTCATTTTATGTATGTGTTTGGGGGGAAAAGAATCAAAAATGATGTGAAGTGCTTGTTTCTACAACTGTGGATGTGTTTGTCGGGTCTGTTTTCTAAAGAGAACTCCTCCCAGCAGCCTTCTTACAGGAGAGAATTTTATTGTAAATAAGTCACGGCCTCGCAGATTTCAGATGCTCGTCTGCATTAAAGAGGATCTCGTACAGAGGCTTCATGGCCGCTGGCGCTCAGGCCAGACGATTAGGAGCGACGGCAAAGCTGGTCAGCTCTGCAGCGCGTAAGGCTGAGCTAATAGTGTCCATGTGAGCTCATAGGCGTTCCTGCTTTGTAGCCTTATGGGTGCGGGTGGCTGTCAGCGCCCTTCAAAGTAAAATAAAAGAGAATATTTACAATAAGGGTAGTGAGGAGCAGCAACAGCTACTTCCCTCTCAGAATAACTGTCCTTAGCTATTAAACAATAGCCCCATTCCCACCTGTACCGGGTCGGCCCGGGCCGGGTAGCGTAGGTTGTTTACATATCTGGGTGGCCTGGAATTTTCCCGGGCCAACCAAGGCTCATTCTCGGCCCTCTTCCCGAGGGGTACTGCTTCAGGCCGACCAGGGCCAACACGCCCACTGCTGACAGCAAATTCACACCTTCCATTAGAGCAAGCCTCTGATTGGTGGGTAGAATCAGCCCATTCACACCTTCCATTAGAGCAAGCCTCTGATTGGTGGGTAGAATCAGCCCACATGGGCTTAAGACAAGGATGTGTGGAATCAACCGGGCCAGGCTGGGGCCGACTGGGGCTACCCGGCCCGGGCCGACCCGGTACAGATGGGAATGGCCCAAATGATTTTACAGCCAGAGTAGGAAGTTGTTTTTATTTACCTGCTTTTTGCCTGATACTCAGATTACAAATACACACAAAGAGACAGATTTAAGGAAAAACCCCAAAAGCACAAAGCCTAGAATGGAGTAGCACCAACTGGAAGATTTTTTGGGATTTGTTAATTTCCTGTTTACCATCTTTAGCTAACAACATGAAATTGTCTCCGAAGAACAAGCAAACCTGACTCAGACACATTTAGAGAGCAAGTCACCCCCAAATCAACTGGGTCAGCCAGTTGATCGTTCCAATTGATCCAAACTGAAATGGTTAGACTGATGGGTTGAACGATTTTCCGTGCAGTTTTACCCTCTTGACTTTTCATTGGTGTCCGCTCACTTCCACTACTAATGACCTGATTTACCTCAGCTGTATTTTAGGTGTTCAGTATCTCAAATTTGTTCCTTTTAGTGCAAAATAATCTGACTTTTTCAGATATTTTATTTGTAACGGGTCAGAAAACCACATTCTGTGTTTAAAAGAAAATCATGTTACCTTCCCTGTTTTTATGCATTTTCATGTCACTTCCAAGGATCTTCATAGCCGACAGGTTCTCACAAACAAACCTAAAGATAACCATCAGCGCAGTGCATTGTGATCGTACAAAGACTGCACGCATCTCCTCTGAGGCGAGGAAGTGAAACTGGGCTAAATCTACGTTTGAGTCAGGGGTGTCCATAGCCTAGAAATCTAGACAACCCGTAGTAAAAGATTTTGTTCTGCAAGTTGGTTTAGCCACGCTCCATTGTAGCCTCAGCAGGTCTACAGTTGGCTCGCCTCTAGACCAGGCCAATCGCAGCGCTCTTTGCTTCTAGAGAGATGTTGCGTTGGCTTAGCATCAGAGCAGTGGTAGAGAAAAACTACAAAAATGGCATCAGCTCGTTTTAAACGGCGTTTGCATCCACTTTGGACAACTTAGACTTCAGAGGTACAGAAGTCATTTATTTAAAAATATATGTATTTTCTTATTTGACAGTTCTGCCTCACTGACTGAAAAAGATGTCATGTCCTGCGTTGTCCAGTAGCATGCAGAGACGGTTTGAAAGACAACCGTAGATCCCGCCCCACGACTGAGTTCCTTCTATGGGTCGTGGCCAGACTATATTATAAAGGAAGGCTTGCCAGGCTAGGGTCAAAATCATCAATAGTCCCGGTGGGTTACAAGAAAAGCGACTTTATGGTAAAAAATTTCTGTCCAAAATAGGCATGTTGGTAATAATCTGAACAAAACAATGATAAAGTGGAGAAAGTGATGACAACAGCCTGCAGGTGGGGCTGTGCAAAATTTCTCCGAGGGCCACAAATGGCCCCTGGGCCAGACATGCCTGGTCGGTAGGCTTTATTGGCCACCTATCAGTCTGATTATGTGGTGCTAAATCAGTGGAGGCTCTGGTTGCTGTGCTAATTAAAAATTGGTAAATAAGTAATTAATAGTCAAATGCAGCTCAGTGGTTGCTATGGTTCATGCTCTGAATACAGCTGTACCTTTAACTTTTTAATGTTTGGATAATTTAGAAATGCTCAGAACCTGGATTTCCCCCCCCCCCCACCCCCCCCCCCCACCCCCTGTTTAGGCGTCTGTTGTCCTAAACATGATTGGTATGAAGGATGTGCCTGAAAGAGAGGAAGAGATCTGCAGCACATTTTCTCTCTGACCCAAATTTATCAGTTCAGATGTTGAAAGGAGGCTGCTGGGGAAGTTCCTGTGCATGCTGAGCTTTTATGTAAGCTGTCTGGTGCTGATTAGTCGTTGAAGACCACTCTCAGCCAACATTTCAACATTCAAGTGACCTTAAATAACATGTTTACACGTGAAATAATCACCACTTGCTTCCCACTTGGATCCAGGAGATGTAAATAAAATACATTTGCAACTGAGAGTGAGTTTGTTCTTTTCTGTCACTAAAAGAATGCATTTTACTTTAAAGTCTGCTTCCATTTAAAGGATGCCTAGCTGTCACTGTTGAGTGTGGCCTTGTGGAGTCATAGCAACCGTAACTAAGGAGGAGAGGGTGGCTTGTCCTGTCTTCGTCACACGGCAAACAAAGTGACTGTAATCAGTTTTCTGAGATTAGCAAACTCCTCTGCTTAGCCTTCCCATCTCTTAAGTCTATCTGCTTTTCATCTGCTGCAGACTCACCGTTCTGATCCGTCTCCACGGTTCTTTTCATTGTTATGCAGATGAGTCCCAGTTAACTTGCTTCTGCTAATCCAGATGGGATCAAAGCTCTTTCAGCAGGCTATCTGCCTCTCTGACAAATATGGCAGAGCATAGATGAGCATCACGGCTCTGCTGGAAGACCTGCAGCGATGCTCGTCTGTCTAAACGAGGTTAATCAGCTCAGGGCCAGGGCAGAGGTCCGCAACCATTTTTTCAATTCATAGAGCTGGATGTGGGACCCCCCCCCCCCCCCACACACACACACACACACACATACATGCACACACAAATGAGGTAGAATGTTATGTAAATGAGGTTTATTAATCATACATTCTAAAAATATGATTTAAGATCTAAATTCTGGATCACTGACCCCCCACCCCACTACTATCTCCCCTCTTTTGAAACCACAATAAGGCCTTTGGTGAAATTTAACCAAACCAGTTAACTTCTGCCCCCTAGTGGTCACCACAGTTTTCACAGCTTTTAAATCTACTAGAAAAACTTTTGAGAAAAAAAGATTTTGCAGAGAAGTATGATATTTATTTGTACATGGGTCTAGACTCAACAAATAATTATTTTGAAATAATTAAATAGCTTTTATTTGCCAAAAATAACCAATTTAAAAAACTTTGTACACTGAAATAGACTGACGCCACATTTGTCCTTGTACTCAGGTAGGTAGTATTATATATATATATATATATATATATATATATATATATATATATATATATATATATATATATATAACAAATTAAATTCCCATCTCACCCTCCACGGGTGGTCTCATCCTTCCAAGCTCGGAGGCCTGGGAGCTTGAGGGTTCTGTGCAGTATCTTAGCTGTTCCTAAAATAGCATTTTTCTGGACTAAGAGGTCTGATGTTTCTCCTGGGATCTGCTTTAGCCACTCATCCAGTTTGGGGGTTACTGCCATGGGCACCACCGTCTTCACTCTGCAGGCTTTCTCTAGTTCTTTGAGGACCTGGTACTTCTCTAGTTTCTTGTGTTCCTTGATTGTATTTATTTGTAAATATTTGTAATATTTATATGTAAATATTATATACATGTATATATGTGTGTGTATATAAATATATATATATATATATATATATATATATATATATATATATATATATATATATGTGTGTGTGTGTGTGTGTGTGTGTGTGTGTGTGTATATATGTGTATAGGTGTATATATATACACACATACATATATATGTATAAATGTGTGTGTGTGGGTGTAAATATATTTAAAACCACGAATCAACAATACTAACAAATTAAATGTTGCAAATTATTTTATTTTAAAGATGGAAGTTGACTGATAATATTAAGCATGGCCCCTGAGTGTTGCTCATCAGCATTAAATATGGTTGTGTTTAGATTTGAAGTTGTTTTCATGATACATTTGTGAAATGAAGTACCAAAGAAGATCAAATGTGTGAAAAAAATACATTTATTTCGACTTTAAATCCTACTTTCTCTGTATTTTCTACCAAATGGCTGGTCGTGACTAAGTTGTTGCATTTACAGCTAATCTGTTAACAAAAACACCACAGAGTTTGTACTTTTGTGGCAATAATGAGTGAAAACTCAAAAGACCTATCTCATATTTCCTCCTTCCTTTAGAGCACACAAGATTTCATTATAACAGGATCAAACCCTAATCTTCTCAAGAAGTACCCACTGTGCTATTCACTATTTCACCTTTTTTATGTTCAGTGTATCGAACTTCAAAGTGTCCTCCGAACATCATGCACAGATCTTCCACTTTCTGGCTCATTTCTGAACATTTATTCAGCTTTCAGTGATGCGTTTTTACCAAACATTTCTTTTTTATTTAGCCAGACTAAACGTGACAGATTTCCCACATCCTGATTAGCTGGCTTCACATGTTAGGGACATCCACAGTGTCAGGAATATCGATCACTTGGAACCCCAGGTTGTCGATGCCCGTCTTCTGCTGGGTACCGTGATTCTCGTTGTTATGGTTTCTCTGGTCCGCATCCGTCTCAAAGCAGTGGACGCAGTGTGGCGTGATGGTCGAGAAAGTTTTAGAAAAGTTTGAGAAGTCCACGTGATATTTCCCTGTTTTTGTGCGGGAGATGATTGGCAGGAAGTTGTAACCCCACTGGATCTCCTGGGGGATGTAGGAGGTCCGTACCTGGCAGGAGGCGCTGGTGGACTCAGCTGTCCCTTCTAAAAAGACCACTAACTCAAAGTCCTGTTGGGGGAGAGTATCGGCTGACAATTCGTAGAATGGACTTGATCTGTCAATCACATGGTATAGGGTCAGAGGGCAAACAAAGAACAAATTATCCTTGCCAGCGTCAACCGAGAAGTTGACGTCCACTTGGTCCAGGATGATGGTCTCTCCATCTGGCGTGGTGGTTGTCCTCAGCAGCTTGCCGTAGATCTGGCTTCCAATTAGTAAGGTTTTTCTCAGGTTGGCCACTCGGATGAGGAGGCACAGACTTTCTTTCTTCACGCAGATGGTGGCCATCTTGCTGAAGCTGACAGTCTTTGCCCTGTTTTTGGGTAAGGAGATCTTCGCCAGGATGATGCCACAGACGAAACAGTTGATGACGACTCCAACCAGAGACTGGATGGCAAGCAAAGCCACTGCGCTGGCACAATGATCAGTCAGCATTCTGACACCATATCCCACTGTGGTTTGGGTCTCCAACGCGTACAGGAACGCTGACGTGAAGCCAGTAACGTTCTCCAAACAACGGACATGCCCGACTGTATGGTTTTGTCCAATCAGATCCCCGTTGCTCTTTGCAATCCAGTACCACAACAGGCCAAACACAAGCCAACTGCCTATGGACAATACCACAAAAAAAAGGAGAACAAAGCGCCAACGGATCTCTATAAATGTGGTCCAGAGGTCCCCCAGGAAGGCAAAGTGGTTCCCAGATTCTGCATTGCCAAACTCGATGTTGCAGTGTCCGTCTTTGGTGACCAGGCGGCTTTTGTGGATCCGGCGTCTCGTTGGCTGGAACATGGTGAAAATACTGGAGGATCACAAACAAACATTTGTGAAAAGATGAATCGGGTAGAAAGTAGAAAACTCCTATCAAGTGAATTTTTCATGAAAGCCAATTGGGATGAATTTGTTTGAAGTGTTTTATTAATGTTCCTACTTACAGTACATCTCATGTCGGGTGCTTTTAAAGCACAGCTGGCAGCAGCCAAGCTTTTTTCACTGTTTGTAATAAAATACATACATTATGTTGTTGACGTGAGTTCAAATTTTTGTTTGAGCCCTCTGAGAATTAACAGAAATTTGATCACCTGAGATTTTTTGTGTGATCTGATTTTTTTCCCATGTTTGTTATGACCTCACCACCCTTATAAAAGCTTATATAAGGGGAATTAAGGAATCTTGATCACTGCAATTAATACTAGCAGCATCAAATACACACTGGAGGCTATAATTAGACCTCCAACAACCCAAGGAGGAAGAGAAAGGTAAGAACAAAATGTAAATGGGGTAAGAGGCGTAAGGGGTTCAGAAAATGCTAAACTGACAATATAGGAAAAAACAACAAAAACTCATTAGATAAGGACAACAAAAGGGTATTTTACGTCTCTTTTAGCTAAAAAAAAACCCACTGTATTCAGCTGAGTGGTGGTTTTGTATAAACTCAGAACTGAACTAAGTTACAAAAGAAGCAACAATTGATTTAACTGTGGAATTCACAAAGTCTTTTGACGAAATAGTACAATTATTTGGGTTGTTCTGTGATTTAAAAGAAATATCTGCAAATATTCTGAAAAACAAATACAAAAAGAACTGTGTTATTATTGTTTTAAAAGAAGAGTAAATTCTGTAACATGAAATAATTCCAACAGTCTTCCTGGATTTTACATCTACAAGACTAACAATAAGCTTGTTCAGTTTCTCTAGTTTATCTTCAGAAGAGATAAAAGTTTGGTTCTGACGTACGTTCTGAGGGACTCCATGGACTCCATTGTGCTGGAACTTCGGACTCCTTTTTCCTTCAGCTGGTGGCGATGGAAGAGTTGGAAAGATTTTAATCCACAGTGAAATTTCTTAATCCCAGCCACATGCCACAGTGTACACTGGCTTCATCCAGCCTCAGAGCTCCTGGAGGGCGGAAGTTCTAAACAGGGCAACTCCCTTCATCACCAGTAACCAGTAGCTCCAACAAAACACCAGGTCTTGACACTGTAAAATCTCTGAGGATGGGGACTATTCTGGAATGCGGTTTTTGTTGTGTCTAAGGTCTTTCTTTTTGCAAGGTGGTGAAACAGCACTCCAATTTCAGTGAGAGCTTTGCCCCAATGACAATAAAGGCGTTGAATCTTTAAAAGTAGGTGTGTCCGATGAGGCTGCTGCTCACACTCGAGCAGTTTTTTGTTTGTAGTTCAGAGAACATTTGAGATTTACAGGAGGCCACACAATGGATCCCCATGGTCTTCCCCCCCTGAACCCCCCTTAAAGCTACAGGGTTGCCCCACATTTACATCAAAATGAAGAACTGAGGAGGCGTCCTGTTGACTGCAGAGCTTTAAAAACTATATAGCAAAAAGAAACCAGACACTACAGATGTATGCCGATAACTGCATGTATGTAAAGGAAAATTTAGACAGTGTTTCCTCAATAATGCAAGAATCTTTGAGTCTGAGATAGCTGTTTGACTCATAGAAACCATGTAACACTTGTGTAGCTCTGAGTTGCAGCAATGCTGAGCCAGACGGAGTCAGAAGAATCCAGTCCCCTTAATGTCACTGGGGAAAAATAGCATCGATGGCCCCGTCAAACTTAGCTTGGGACCGCCTACAGGAAGGAGAGATCAGAGTGCATCTTAGTAGAAGCTAACCACTATTACAAGCAACTACAAAACATGGCAGAACATGTTGGGGCTTTTAATTCCAAAGGAAACATCTCACAAGGCATTCATTCATACTAGAGACTACATAAAATGGATTGAAAAAAAGATAGTGAATGCAAATTTTATTGGGGAAAGATAAGAATTTTTTTCATTTTCACCACCTTCCAGAATGAGCCGTTTCAGGGCTTTGTCACTTTAAAGAAAACAAGTGGTTGCTGGCCACACCCACTCACCCTTTGGTTGGATGATATGAGGTGAGTAGCTGAGGGCTGCTCCTCCAACGCTGACAGGTGAGAGAGGTGTTCTATGCTAATTTCCCCCGTTGTGAGGCCACAATAAGGGACTTTTAAAAACATTTTTAGGCACATAATTCCGAAAACCAAACACTGACAGAAAACTATTTTTAGTCACGATTGAAGAGTTTATAGAAGCAGTACCACATGACAACACAAACATATGCAAAAAGTTAGTTTTGTATAAACTGTCCCTTTTACAAAGACTTCTGCTGTTTTCATATTAACTGAACACTTTTATAAAGAGCATACCACCGTCTTTAGACAAAACATTTTAGAATAAGTGTCCAACTTTTCTAAGAGACATTCCAAAATTGTCGTGTTAAAAGTCAGTCCTCTGAAAAGTGCAAAAGAGATTTTAGGGTGAAATGTTTTTTTTTTCTCTTAGAATGAGCACATTAGCAATGGATGATAAAAATGGTCAATCTACATCAACAGCCTGCTGGGAGACGCACATAAGACAGCACAATAGACAGCTACAGCTTATAAGCTTGACTCTCCCATATTCCAGTTAGAATTGACAAAGCTCCTTGGATGAGAAGTGAAACGTCATTAAGAAACCAAAGAAGTCCAGGTGCCTTCATTTGAACCCTTTGGATTACCATGACCTGGATGACTGAGAACCTTCACCAGCATACGAGACGCACATAAGCCCTGTTAGGGCCATAAATGTCCCCAGGGCCACGTTTTGGACATCCCTGGTCCAGGATGTTTGTTTCTATGACAAAAGGCAAGTTTACTTGAATTTGCCACCTAAACTCACCCAACTTACACAAAAAAGGTGAAAAAAATTGGTTTACTTTGTGAAAGCAAAATTGAAGAACTCGGAAATTAAACACAGAATCTTTGATTAATTAAAGATAAAAACATAAAATCATCACGTGGGGGTGGGGGGGGTTAAGAAATAAATCCCAAACATACAATATAAGTTGATTTTAAACGAGGTAACAGGATAAATCATACAACATAAAACTAGGAAGAGGTATTTAGGAGTAAGCTTACATTTTTAATTCTCTTCAGCACAAAAGAACAAACAGTTGGGAAGGGTTCGGCTTTTCTTTGATGTTATACAACACCAACAACAATCAGCTTCGACTATTGTTGTCTCAGTTACTGAAAGTTGATCCACTTTAGTACCATGAAAGGTGCTGAATCACTTTGTCACCTCATGTATCACCTCCATAGTCTGAATGTTATCTTTGTCGTGTTTAAACAAAGTTAGAGGGCTTTTTTCTTTTGTACCTTGGCGACGACGAGGGAACACGTTGGTGTTGTTTTGTCCGCAGAAGAGTTGCATAGTGAGACAGGAAGCTGGGATGTCCGTGGTGGCATTTCTCGACTAAATCACAAGAGCAACAGGAACAAAATCCCCACCTCCACCATTTAGCTAATTTTCATTTTAGATTTTAAAAAGCAAAACTTTATACGCAGAAACAATCATTTTTATGGACATTATGAATTGAAAAGACTTTATTAATCCCACAGTGGGGAAATCCACTTGCTACAGCAAGAAGACAAATAATAACAAGATTGTAAACACACAACCAGTATATTATTGTAACTTCCAACCACTAAAAACAACGAATAAAAAGAAAACTTGTGTTTCCAGAAATATGGAGCACAAGGGACACAGATATACTCATGTTTATCTGGTATTACACAATACTGAACATACACTGATGTTATTGTGTACCGGGATAATGCCAGTACCAGTTCAACTGAGGAGTTACACACTCTTACTGCAGAAGGGATAAATGGCCTACGGTAGTGTTCTGTTCTACATCTTGGATCTCTCAGCCTGCCTCTGAAGGAGTCGTCCATGGTCTCCACAGTGGAGTGCAGTATGTGGGAGGGGTTTTCCAAGATGGAGGTCATCTTCCCCAACACCCTCCTTTCACACATCTCCTCAACTGAATCTAGTGGGCAGCACAGAACCGAGCTAGCTTGTTCAGTCTCTTTCTGTATCGATCAGAGCTGCCTGCAGCCCAACAGACAACCTCAGAGTGATAAACGGATTTTAGCAGATTTGAATTGACTCAGAAGGACCTCAGCCTCCTCAGGAGGTGGAGGCGGCTTTGGTCTTGGATGTTTGCTGGTGAGTGAGGAGGAGTGTTTCTCCGGGAGTCAATCATCATTTCCTTTGTCTTACTGGTGTTCAAGCGGAGGTGGTTACACTCTCACACTAGTCCACAAAGTCAATGATGACTGACCTGTCCTCCAGGTAATCCCCCACAGACACACAGCTGACAACAGCTGAGTCATCTGAGAATTTCTGGAGGTGACAGCTGCTGAAGGTGAAGTCTGAGGTGTAGAAGGTGAAAAGAAAGGGTGAGAGCACTGTTCACCGAGGAGCTCAGAAAATTCTCCAGTTTTAAGAAATATCCATCTAGCAGTTGTGACACCAAAACACGCATTAATATTGGATTTAAGAAGCTGTTAACATGGTCATGATGTTTCAAGGCTTCCACTTTTTCACACAATTAAACCTTTAATTCATTGTTTCATTCTCCAATTTAAAAGGCTAATAGAATCCTCTCTTGCACTGTCAAAGCTTCAGACTGAGCTGGCGTTTTAATTAAAGCTGCATTTTCACACAGTGGAGTGGAGCTTGTTGATGCCAAATTTCTCACTGTTGCTTAAAAGAATCTTTAACCTTCGAACTTTTATCGCTTGAGACGTCAGAACAAAGTGTTTATGTGTGGTGACGAGGTTACACTCACTAGAGAGCCATTACCTCTCAGATATACGAACCTTAAATAGAAGCTTGTACTTTTTATGTGGAATCGGAGAAGTTTTTACCTTTCAAGCAAGCTGCTTTTTGAAAATACACAATTCAATGTTCAACCCCCTTTTGCGCTATACATCAACCACTGTTGTCAAGCCTTTGACAAGCTAATATTACCTGGATAGTAGCATTCATCCAGTCATTGTGTCTATGTGCTAACAACAGGCCTAATTTCATCTTTACAGACAATAATGCTCCAGTTCATTGAGGTTGCGTCATTTGAGAATAGCTGTTGGACACAAATGGAGCACCCTGCACTTTCTCCAGAACTGAATCCCGTAAAACAACAACAGGATCATCAGAGCCACCATGTAGGCTCATAACACTGTACGCCAGAACCCCAACAACCTGAAGGCCACCTTTCAAGAGGAGTAGGATGCTTGGACTCAACAGACAATAAGTAAACAGCATTAAATGTCTTTGTTAAAGACCAATTTCACTAGGTTTTTTTTCCAACACATTTGCAATGGTCTTCATATAAATGAATGACTTGTGAGTCTGTCTCTGTTGGAAAACAGCTCTGGCACTTGTTTCAGGAGGCGTAAGTTAGCTAAAGCAGAGGGGAGCAGAATATGACAGGATTTGGAGTCTTATTTCCTGACATCTTACTGATTGAATAACAGCACCACAACTCTACCGCTTACTCGGTTTGCTCTGCAACGCTGATGTTTATCTCCACAAATAACACAGCCTGAAGGAGTTCTGCTCTGTGGTGGAGTTGCTAATGCTAACAGTTAGCTTTGAATATTCAAGACATGTTAAGCTCTCTCCTGGACGCTAAACCAACAACAGCCTTCCCTGTTGTGAGCCAAGATGGTTGTTTTGCTTGGCACCAGAGTTTGTCTGGTCAGTCAGCCGTTGTTCCAACTTGTCCAGTTCGGAAAGCGTATCCAACAGAAGGCTGATGCAGGGAATTTCAGCATCTGGTCTTTCTGTTCCTAATCGAGGCTTTTTGTAGCAACAGCCACCTACATTTAGCAGCAGGGTCAGGATTGTGGTTCAGCAGATACAAAGAGTCTAAATCATTCAACTAAATGTTTCACAAAGCTGTAGCTGATTTGTTCTGAGAGTGGAAACAAAGTTCGTATTAAAGCTAGATTTAAAATCCTCGCTCCGTGAGTTCTTTCTTTAAACAATTACTACCCATAACCTATTTTACCTTTAACACATTTTTTATGTCAAAACTCCCACACTTCTCCAACCTCAAGTTAGCCAAGTAGTCAGTATGAAGCATTAAAAAGATACAAAAGTTAACATTTTAGCTTGGAGGTCTGCATTAATAGACAGACAGGTGCATGAACGGATGATTTAGACAATCTATCAGGGAATAAATCTTGATTTACAGCTATTATTTTTCATACTCTAGTTTCCTTTTACTTACTTATTTAGCTAGATAAATACCAGATACAAATTAATAAATTTTCTAAACTGACTAGGAACTGTGTAACCTGAAAGGAATCCCACTAGAGCAGGGGGTCACCAACCTGGTTCCCACTGGCCATTTCTCCAAATGGCACAAGTCTAAAAAAAAATTAACAATGTAACACTTCCTTTTACAGTCCCCTAATTACTAAGTAGATACATTGTAATTATATAGTAAGTTAAAGTATATTATTGTGTAATTAAAGTGTATAATTGTCATAAAGTGTAATTATTGTGTAAAGCAGTATGTACTGGGAATGATTAATAAAAATAAAAACTAGAATTGAACTTGAGTTACATGGTAATAACTGTTTAAGAAGTCAGAAACAATATTACACTTTAACTTACTATGTAATTACCATGTAAGTACTTAGTAATTAAGGGACAGTAAATGGAAGCGTTACCAAATAAAATCAGCTGCCATATTTTTTTTATTACAAATGCAATAATATACATTTATTTAAAAACATAAAAAATGTTAATTATACATGAAGCTTAGTTTAACTCTGATCTATTCTTGTTCAAAGGTCACTATTGCATCAACCTGGTACCCATCGTGTGGCTCAGTACCCACGAAGAAGCTCTCGGCTTCACGGTGACCCCCTACGCTAGAGCAAGGTGTAGATCCAAAGCCATTCTCCTCCCCTTTGAGTCAGCTCATGGGTCCCCTGAACAAAATAAACGAATAAGTGAACAGGGCTATTTTATTATCTGCTTTGCCTTACACCCTGAATCAAATAACGGATCTTCGAATATTTCTATCATATGAGATTTATTAGCTTGTAAAAAAAAATCATAACTAAACTTCTTGTAAATCAGATGTGTAGTAGCATATATGATGTCACCACAGACTCTCTTCTCCTCCAGCATAGCTGCTACTTACATGGCCAGGTTAATAGTGGTCTTCTCCATGTTTAATGCTCCTCCTGTTGTCCTGGAAGAAGGACTTGAAGCTCACCAAACTTCTCCGTGTCTGGTTTGACGATGTAAATTTAGCGTTATGTCTTTTTACACAAAACTTGAAATAACTTCTGCTGGCATTTGAAAATAAGCGCTTTCTTGGTATCAAAATGTGTCTTTAAAATTCACGGACATCATACGGTAAATCCACGGTACATATCAAATGATATTAGAAAATAACTTTTATCGGCTCACAGATTTCTTTGACATTATCGGTCCCATGGACTGGAAGTAGCTGAGTGTGCGTGATTTAGGCCTCTCGTCAGAATCTGAACGGGTTTTTGCCATATCTGCGAGAATCATAACATTAGGAAATTGCTGTGGTACTTGGTGCAAGAAAGAAAAAATAAGCAAAAATTTGAATTTAGAAATGAACACAATTAAATAATAAAATATAGGGAGGCAATAATTAGAGATGTTGCTATATACAAGTCAGTTTAGGTACTGGCCAGAGCGGATCAGTTCAGGTACAAACACAACACCAGATCAGGTGACTGAAACAAAGCAACTGGAGTGGGCACTATCTCGTGGTCAGAAAATCACCTTCACTGTCAGTTTTTAAGAGCCAGTTGAAGACTCTTATTCAGTGGCACATGAGTTAGTTTTAGCTTTTGGATATTTCTAATTAATTTCATAAATGATTATCCAGTTATATATTTACTTTATCTGGTTTTAATCAACATCTTTGATTTTATCTCTCGTTTTTTTTTATGGCTATGTATGTTTTTATGGCTGGTCATTCCTTGGGTCCTGTTTTGATGTTTATGTGTACAGCACTTTGTGTTCGCCTGCGGCGGAAGAAAAGTGCTTTATAAATAAAGGCTGATGATGATGATGATGATGGACAAATTTAGACAATATTGACTTCAATTACTTTTGAATATTTGCTAGAAAGGCACACATGGGAAGCGATTACAGACTAGGAAAGGAAATCTTTCGAGGCATCAGTCCCACAAAGAATCACGAGCTGCAACAGCTTGGTTTTGGTTCTATCAGAGGATGAAAATGATGACAAAGAAATGTTCTTGCTGTGAACCGACAAGTACATAACTGCTGATATCCAACTATGGAATTACAGAAATCAAACCCACTTTTTTATCTTGTTCTCTATATGAATGTGCAAATGAAGTCAGAGACTGCTGTATGATGATTTAATCGTCTTCCTACCTCAGCTTTAGTTTCACAGACTCTTCTCACGTAAGCATCTGATAAATTATAAGGAAGGGAAACCTTCATTTTTGTAACTTATGGTTAATTTTTCATGTGAACCAAGTCTGTGCTCACATGAGATGAAAAGGTGTGAAACTTGTTGGACTACATTTAACTGATGGCTCCATCTTGTGGGGGCTTCCTGAAAACTATCAGCTTAATCAGCTCTTGGACAGCAAAAGAAAAAAAAAAAAACGTCTTTTAGGGGTTTTGACAAAAACAACACTTGGTGTGACCCGAGCATTTTTTGTAGGGCTTTTGTGAACTTTTTTTAGCTATTCCTGAACTATTTGACCTCATAGAAACAAGAAGTTTTTTAAAATGTGTGATATATTTTTTTATTTCTTTAAATTATGGAGGGCCCTTTTTTGTCCCCCCCAAAATAAATAAAAATAAATAAATAAAACCCAATGGCACATAATTGTTAAATGCTACCTTCTCTGGCATATGGTCCCATAAATATAAAATATCTCGTAATTATAATAATTATGACATATTTCTAATTAGGACATACATTATTAAAAAAATTATGACATATTTTCTCAATTATTACAAAAGGTGTCATATTTAGGTTATGCCTCACTTAATCATTAATGTCTTGTAATAATACTTTATCATAATTATGACTTAGTAATTGACATTTGACTTCCTTTCTCATAGGTTAGAATTATGACTCAAGGTCATATTTAACATTTATGACAATATATCTGAATTATGACTTGTGTTCAAATTATTTGGATAAAAGCAACTGCCAAAAACAAACATAATTATGGCATACAGTATCATATTCATGAGATAGAGTCATAAATTTAAATCAAACTTAACGTAAGGTCCCACTAGGATGCAATATCGCCATGTGGAGTGTGTTTATTGCAACAGAAATGTTCTTATCTCAGTCTTATCAGTAGTAAGACCAAGTGATGAAAGTTTCAAACCCATTTTTATTATTGTAGGAAAGTAGAATCTTAAAAGCAAGAATTCTACAGTGAAATAATCAAACAGTCTAATTTCTCAAAGGAAATAATGAAAGTTGTACTGAAATTTCTTTCTCAGCCAGCTTTTATCCTTTGAAAATGGCCAAAGAGGGACACAGTTTTTGTTTACAATCTGTGAGCCTGTGCGGTGTCGAATCTGCGCTGCAGCGCAGACAATTGTAACTCGACACCGGCCAGTGAAACGCAGCACTGTCACCAGTAAACAGGAGCAACCCAGAAGTTATTTCTTGTGCTCATAAGAAGCCACGGCATCTTTTGTTTCGTGTGAGTTTTTTGTTTTACTCTAATTTTAGGTGAAGCAGGCTAGAGGCTAACGTTGAACTAACAACGCTAACAGTGAATTAGAAGCAAATGGTCAGCCCTAAAAAAAATTGTCAAACTACTTTTTGAATCTCCAGCAACTCGATTTCACAGTGAAATGTATTTACCCAATTGTCAACTTACTGTGTATGACTGGTCTTCGCTCTTCATCTGGAATCTTCCTGTGCTGATCCTTAGCTAGCAACAGCCATGAAACTCATGCAGGAGTGAGAAAGTCACCCTTTAGTGTTAAAAATGGGCTGCAGTAAACAAAATTCACCACAGGAAGTCAATTGCTTGTACATATTGTAAATGAGAACAGTCCTTTATCTTTATGTTCAACTGTTTTGTGTTCAATGTGTGTGAAAAACTCAGATTTATAATATTTAGAGTTCTTCTACAAATTAAATGAACAAATTCAAGAATCTTGTTGAAACATTGGAAACATGAACGTCTAACCGAAGGAAGATCAGAAAGACGAGGAGACTAATGTGACGTTGCAGCAGTCTGTGGAAAGAAGCTGCAGAGGTCGTCACTGAATGAAGACATTTTCACACGATTGAATTTCAATCCTGGTTCAGCTTAGATGATTTTAGAGTCCCTGTGTTTTCACCCTGCTACACAATGTTCCGCTCCAACATGGGCTCATGCACCAGAATCCGCCTGAAGCTGAAGTCGCTCAGGTCCAAAGTTTGAAATTCTCCATCCAGGATGAGTTCTGCAACTCCGCGACCCACAGCAGGCGAGTGCTGCAGGCCGTGGCCGCTGAACCCGGTGGCAAAGTACATGTTGGTGATGAGGGGGTGATTACCGATGATGCCGTTCTGGTCAAAGGTGTTGTAGTCATAGAAACCAGCCCAGGCGCTGGTCACCTGACAGGAAGAATGCCAGACAGATGATTAAAGGCTGTTTTTATGCTGGTGTAGAGGACACAGGGAGGACAGTGGTGCTGGATGAACAGCTGAAATCATTTTTCCTCCACAGTCGGAATGTTTAATAGATCTACAGAAATTACCGTAAATCCTCTAATACAGGCCCGGGTCTGTATTTGACTCAAGCTCATAAAGCTCCAGGCCTTTATTGGAAGGAGGACCAGAATTAGAGGCAGGCCTCAATTTCTATTTGAGCAAAATGAACTAATGGTTCGCTGGAGTTTTTGACAATTAAAATTGCGCCCACATTTTCAAAGTTAAACACATTTCTTTTAACAACGGTAGTTTCTGCTTCAGCCCTCTCCCCCCTCCCCCTGCACAGCGGCCGCAAACTCACTGATGCGCCTGCAGCCTCTCGGAGTTCCTGCTGCTCTAAACATTAAAATAATTATTTCATTTTCTGTTCCTCACTTCTGATTACCTTCAAAGGTGTATGTCTGTTGCAACCAGCAGGTACAAAAACTAACTTGTTTTTATTGACTATTTTTCTGTCCTGTCTGTTTATTACCTTCCTGCATCTCCTCTCAATCCTAAAGAAAAACTGCTACCTGGGTTCATATATATTCACCTTATGAGTTACCTTTGAACTGCAGTTCTAAAAGATCTACCGACCGCAAAAACAGCGGAGTGCGAGATGCTCGCCGGCCGCATCAGTGAGGTGCATCACAGAGGACAAAACAGGTGATGCGCCCCAATCCACAGCAGCAAAACGCATCAGGCACAAATAAAAGAATAAAAGACAGAAAACATAAAAGGAAATGAGCCGACATGAACGATCGTGTGTTAAATTAGTTTTTGAGGTGGTGACACCTGATTTGATAATGTTACTGTGGCCGTGCTAGGGACGCAGATGTCTGGAGCGCGTCAACAATCAGAGCTTTGCATGCGCAAGCTGGTTAAGGTTAGGATGGGGGTGAGGGGAATGTTAAATTGCAAGAGGGTAAACGTCACAATTTGGTTAAATGTCCGTTTTACGGCGGGTGTCAGTACCGACACTCTGGCACAGCGCGTTGCCTCCCGACGCGCAGGAGCTCGTCACCTGCTGACAGCAGGCTGCTGTCTTTTCTGTGGACTGCATCTTGCCGGTCATTATCACGTGACAGAGACTAGTCGATGACAGGCATAAAAAGTCACTATAGAGTGGTGAAGTCGACTAGTGACTAGTTCATACAACCCCTGCTACTCCACAGAGTGTTCTGCAGCATAATCAGCACGTTCTCTTTGAACTTGATATCAAATTTTCGCCTCCTCTTCGTCTCCGCACGGTTAAAGTTACCCTCGCGGTCTATCACTGGCAAATCAAAAGTGAGACGGATGACACAACCGCCCCCCGTACTTGCTTGTTACCACATTCCACCCAGCCACAATACAAAACCCGCCATTATTCACCTCCGCCGACACCGGCCAAAATATGATACCCGGCAGTTAATTAAATACAGGCTAATATTAGAGGATTTACGGTAGAACAAATTCTACCGAAAAAAAAAAATCTTAACAATTGGAAAGAAATTAAGTGAAAAAGCATCCAAAGTCCAAAGAAAGACTCCAGAAACCTTAAAAGGATAGTCTTCCTCTAGAAAGCACAGGTTTCTTATTCATGGAGTTGTTCATCATTTAGAGAGTTTTACCTTAAGGTTTTCAAACACCGGAGCTCGGTTGGCCAATTTTGGCCAAACCTTGTCCTCAAAAAACTGATGGTCCACCTCCAGATTACTGGTGTCCGGCTCCTCTGTCTGCAGGCGAAACAATCAGTTAAAAAAGTAAAACGTAAACATGGAGACTCAGCTCAGAGATGAATCCAACCTCCTCCGGTGAAACTCCGGTGATGTAGTTCCCCCCCAAGCCTTCTCTCCTGATGTAAACACCCGAATAATCAATCAGAAACGGGGTGTCCAGACCTGGACCGTTGGGACAATGAACCACATACACATACCTGCACAAGGTTACAGAAACTTACACCTCAAAAGCAAAGAAAAAAGAATATTTCAGGTTTAAAATCATGACAGCTAGCAGCAGAACAAAGCAGCAAGGTGTGAATAAAACTGTCAGGATATAGATGGATTGTTTTAAAAGGAAAGTTGGAAGCTGCCCAAGTCTATGACCCACCTCTTCCGAGGCTCCACAGGCACCGGGAGACCAGCGATGGAGTCTTTGGGGCCGAGGCCAATTCCCAGCATCTCTGCCAGTTTTCCAGAAAACGCTCCGGCTGCATTCACCACGATGGCGCATTCCACCGGCTGAAACTCCATGCTGTTGGGCATCTGTACCTGCCAAGACACACACTGTTACCCCCATAAACGACAACCACCATAATAACCTTCAGGACTTTTATGAAATACACAGATTATGTAAAAATATTATAAAAGCTCTAACTATTTAAAACTTCCTTTATATACTTTTATTTTTCTTATTTGTCTTAAAAATCCATTAAAACATAAATAAATACTAGGGATGCACAGATACCGGTATCGGTATCAATAAAAGTTAACCGATACCAATGCAGTTGCTTGAAAGTGGCTTCACTGTAACTTGTCATTTCTGTTCACCTAATATTTTTGTTTTGTGATCATTTGCATTCATATATTTTACTTTTTATCTACCTCACAGTCTTTTCCTGTTGAAAGCAGAGAAGAAAATAAAACCTGTATTCCACATTTTATTGTGTGGTAGAAGTATCAGTATTCGGTATCGGCGAGTACTCAGATCAAAGTATCAGTATCGTATCGGTTTGGAAAAAAGTGGTTTCGTTGCATCCCTAATAAATACATTAAATGACAAACTAATGACTTAATGATTATCAACACCAACAATAACCAACTTTCACCTGAGTTATTTCTACCAGTTTCACTTACTTTAACAGATTTTATCCTCTTCAGGTGAACTTCTTCTCCATCACGATTCATCAGAACGTTTGTCGTATCACTAAAACCTGTGGACAACAAACGTTTTAGCAAACATCAACTCATGAAGACGGTGACACGGAAGCTCCTATTTATCTGCTAAAATAAAAATATATCACTACATGAGGTAAATGGTAGGGGCTGCATGACTTAAGTTTTTTTAAAGTCGACCGTCAAGTAATGAAAATCGAGTTGACTTCGACTGCTTATTGATGACGTCATACACCTGAAGCGGCTAAAACTGATGATGGGTGACCAAGCGTTTATTTCCGACGCATGGAGGTGTGGGGTCGGTTGGTTCGCTGGAGTTTTTGACAATTAAAACTCTACCCACACATCTCTTTTAATAACGGTAGTTTCTGCATCTTGCTTCAGCCCTCCCCCTGCTCCAGCCCTCTCCCTCCTCCCCCTGCGCAGCGGCGCAAACTCACTGATGCGCCTGCAGCCTCTCAAGAGTTCCTGCTGCTCTAAACACTAAAATTATTATTTCATTTTCTGTTCCTCACTTCTGATTACCTTCAATGGTTTTGTTGCAACCACCAGGTACAAAAACTAACTTTTTATTTGACTCTTTTTCTGTCCTGTCTCTGTTTATTATCTTCCTGCATCTCCTCTCAATCCTAAAGAGAAACTGCTACCTGGGTTCATATATATTCACCTTATGAGTTACCTTTGAACTGCAGTTCTAAAAGATCTACCGACCGCAAAAACAGCGGATTGCTCGCTGCTTGGTGGCCGCACCAGTGAGGTGCGTCACCGAGGCCAAAACAGGTGATGCGCTCCGCTCCACAGCAGCGAAAAGCATCAGGCACAAATAAAAGAATAAAAGACAGAAAACATTAATGGAAATGAGCCGACATGAACGATCGCGTGTTAAATTTGTTTTTGAGGTGGCGACACCTAATTTGATAATTTTACTGTGGCCGTGCTCAGGACGCAGATGTCTAACCCTAACCCTAACAATCAGAGCTTTTCATGCGCAAGCTGGTTAAGGTTAGGATGGGGGTGAGGGGAAGGTTAAATTGCAAGAGGGTAAAGGTCACAATTTGGATAAATGTCTGTTTTAAGGCGGGCATCAGATACTGATGCTCTGGCAAAGCGCGTCGCCTCCTAACGTGCAGGGGCTCGTCACCTGCTGTCTTTTTTGAGGACTGTGTAACATCCAGCAATGGTCAGTCCTCCACTTCTAATGACTGCTCAGAGTGAAGGGAGCTAGCATCGTCTAGTTAGCCGTCGTCTTCGTCACTGCCGCGGCTCCGCCCTCTCGGTCCTCCAGGCAACGCCTACTAATGTTGCAGTTTTTAAAATTGATACGTGGGTGGAGTAAGACTCTGGGGGGGGGGGGAGTTACAACTTCTTTAAATACAGCCTGACCTTTCAACATCTATTCAACATCCGGTCAGAAAGGAGACACAACACTGCACGTGTTCCCTTTAAATGAGCCTGCCTTCATTCCAGCTGGGACTCACAGACTCTGCAGCTCTGAAAGATAAACAATAACTTTCTTTCCCAAGGTCCCATCTGTCTGCCTCCACAGAAGGAAGAACTCCAGCTCGAATCAGTTGCTAAATTCAAGAATGATTTCCTGAATCAATGAACTTCTTCCATGACTTATAATCTAGAAAATCATTAAATAAATATTTGTTTATTACTGCTTATAATAATTATAGTATAATGAAATGCTTCATTAATCTGTGCTCACTGAATGGATGTTATGTTATGTTTGTCTACTAGAACCTGCCATGTTTCAACATGTTTGGACGACAGGTTCTCACACCTGCACTCACACAATAACAAGTAAGGTTAAGTTAAACCCTGACACACATAGTATTAACCCAGTCAGAACATCCTGTATCAAGAAGGCGTGTTTCTGAGTTGTCTTGGTAACATCTCTCAAACTTGTCAGCCTCTGATTGGCTGTGCAAGTCATAACATCAAAACCTTAAAACTGGATCATCCTGAGTGATTCGAGAGTTCTAGAGAATCACTTCAGGCCAGCCACCTGTAGTAAACCTCTTTAACCATCAAAGGTTTTGACACGTCGTCAAAACCTTTTTGCACCTGCAAAGCTGATGAGCAAACAGTTCCTGCAGAAACAAAGCTGATATTGTTAGACTCCTTAAGAGTCCACCAGATGCACGCTTCCATCCAGCTGTTGTGACCCGAGACATCTCTGGACTGAAGAGTCGGTACCACGATATTCTACAGCCCCCCGGTGCCAGAAGTCAGCCGACCCCTGCGACTTTCAGATCCACCAAGAGGGTCTCTCGAAAATGGGTGAAGTAGACATGACAGATAGCGTCTGATGTGCTTCTGATGATAACAACTTCGTAGCTTAGAGCAAACCAAATTCTTTTCACCAGAACTCAGCTTACTTTGATAAGGAAGCTCTGACTGACATCGCATTCACACACAGTTTCCTTCCTCGCGTTTAGTTACATCCACTCACAGTAAACGCTTAGTTAACTAGTCATGTTTTAATTGTTTGTAAAATAAATTCCTACTTTTATAAACCTGACTCTTTCTTGAAGTAACACAAAGCGTGGTTGATCCCTGAAAAAGCAAAGAACCTAGATCTTCTGCATTAAAACCTAGAATCTTCTGAATAATTACAATACAGACCTCGCAGGTTAATATTTTATATTCATATAGAATGTTACATCTTCGTGGTCATAACAAATAAATATCATCAATTTGCCAATACTACAACTGCATCTTGTCGGTCATTATCACGTGACAGCGATTAGTCTATGAAAGGCATAAAAAGTCACTACAGAGCAGTGAAGTCGACTAGTTGATACAACCCCGAGTAAATGGCACTAAAAAAGAATTATGAGATTATAAATTTTTACATTATTCTGAATCTTTTTTCAAACTAAAATCCTCTAAAACTGTGAATATGTTTATTTTTAATGGCTCTAATGAACACTTTAATAAAAAAAAAAATCAATATTTATTTTGACGGGCATGACACTGGGTTTAAGCCTACATGAAGGGCATCATTGCGGGTTACCAAGCAGTCTGCTTGGCACAGCAAGGCTAGCCTTGTGGAAAACGGCGGACTCTGCAAGTCACGCAGCTGCTTCCGAGTCCGTTATCCTTCTCAGAAGAGGAGCGACCAAAAGATCTAAAACTAGAGTGAGTTTAGGTGAAGCCTACAACAGATGGACCCAAATAAAACGTTTCACGTATCGGCAGCAAACCTGGTATCCCAACGGATGGAAACCTTGTTGCAGCTGCAACCTCCACCTACTAGATGTTGCTTTGGTGTCCGTGTTCCATATTAAACCTTTAATTTCAACTTCTGCTCATTTCGGGCTTGTTTTTATTTATCATTTCATAAAAAGAGGCCAGAGTCACCTGTGACCTCTCCACAGCACTGGATCACTCCCATGGAAATGGCTTTCCTCTTGAAGGCATTCAGCAGAGTCCAGGGATCGAACCAGCCCTCGTTCTCCAGACCTGCATGATTAAGCACACACTGAAATTTACAGGTGCATTAAAACTGCTGAGAAATAAAAGGTTCAGATTGAACCTTCATCTATCATTTGTGACTTGTTTTCTACTGTTTTGCACCTTTTAGTTAATAAAGTTTATATAAATCCCATCGCTCCCAGAGACGAGTTGTGTCAGAAGTTTATTAAACTCCATTTAATAAACTAAGTTCTGTAAATCGATGCCAGCTGTCGATCCGTAGATGATAACATTATAGCACCGGCTGTTTAATTAGATGCAATAACTGAACACATGTATATCAGCTGATATTTTGTTTGCTCTCACCGTAGGAAGCGAGCGCCACATTCTCCGTGTTTATCCACGGAAACCTCTCCTTCACTTGGGTTGGAGACATAAGAGAAACTTTGGCTCCAGCGGACCTGGAACCAGAAGACCAACGACAGGATCAGTTCAGCTCCCATCTGAAATCCTCTAAACAGGAAGTGAGCGACACCTCTGAGTGCTGTAATTCTCCTCCATGATGTGAGCCACCGCCTCACTGGCTAAAAACAGGTATCCTGAATGGTTGAACTGCAGGTCGATGGGGTCCTCGTTCACCACGCCGAGATGGTCCTAACGGGACACAGGGAAGCATCTGCATCAGCTGAAAAAGCTTAAAAGAAGTGGATCGAGACTAGATTTTTATACTTTTTAAAGCATGCAGCTGAGAAAAAGTTTTAAATATTTACACTAGAGAGCTTCCTGAATGCCATTTGGATAAAGGAAGTTTACATCCTTTAGGATTGATGGGCTAACGGCTAGTTAAACATGTTCAAATGTTTTGCTGCCTTCCTAGAAAGCGTCTGTGTCCCCGTAAAGTCATGTAAAAATTGTTTAATGAACCTTGATAGTTATGTAAATTTTACATTACGTTTCTATTTCAGCAGAAATGTTTAAAAATTCCTGCCAGACAGACAGCTGTTGGTTTTGTTTATGCTTGTAAGAAAACAGAATTCATAAACCGGCAGCATTGAAAAATTTATAAAATATTGTTTGTATGAACAGCTGTTGAATTTTAAAGATTTAAGCTGTTTCAATAGCAACATACTTTGTTCCTGACTAGCTGTTAGCTCATCAATCCTGTAGGAAATAAACTCTGTTTCTCCAAGCAGAGGCCATTCAGAAAGCAACAGATAGTAATAGTTTATATTTTTTACACAGAAACGCACGTTAAAACCACCCCAAACATTTCTACAGCTTTAGCGTATCAGTCGCTGGTTTACCATCGTGAGGTCTTGATGCAGCTACTGATTTCATTTCACATCCGACAAAAACGTAATGATTTAGAGATTCTGGTCTTGGAGGGCCAGTGCAAGTTTCAGCTGAGCTCCAACCAACCAGATTCAACAAACAAAGTTCTTCAGAAGCCTGTTAATCACCTATCAAGTCAAACCAGGTGCGTGGGAAACAGAAAACATGCTGGTGGTGGTCCTGGAGGACCAGGAACGTCACTCATCCGCGCTGGGAACCAGCAGCTCAACAGTTCAGTGTGACCTACATTAATGTTCCTCAGGAAGTCTGCAGAGTGCAGGGAGAGGTGGATGTTCTCCGGCAGGGAGAACTGCTGACGGATTCCTCCTGCAGACAGCACCGTGGAGGCCTGGGAGTACTGAAGAACAAAGGTCCCATAAACAGAAGAATGGATTTAGACATTATATTAGCCATCTTGTGAACGCAGTTTAGTTTTTCTCTGCAAGTTTTGCCTCTTTTTAGTAGAAAATTAATCAATTACAGAAAAAAGGCCAAAAACAAGAGTCACTCACTGTTGGGTCTCTCTCCACGACAATGACCTTCATCCCTGCAGACTTGTTCTCCTTCTTCTTAAGCCAGTAGGCGATGGACCAGCCCATCACACCCCCTCCAACGATCACGACGTCCGCCCTCTCTGGAGGAAGGTCGGGGTTAAACTCAAAGGGGCTCCAGCTACTACCTGGCAGCGCATCCGCTGCCTTCTTCCTCATTGCTGCCAACTGAGCCTCCAGGTCTAAACACAGAATCACAAACTTCACATAAAAACACATCCTTTATTTTAGAGGAAACAAGATCTTATTATAATATTTCTGAGTGGGGCTGCACAGTGTCGCAGTGGTCAGAGCTGTTGCCCTGCAGCAATCAGGTCCTGGGTTCGCTTCCCGGCCTGGGATCTTTCTGCATGGAGTTTGCATGTTCTCCCTGTGCATGCATGGGTTCTCTCCGGGTGCTCCGGCTTCCTCCCACAGTCCAAAAACATGACTGTTAGGTTGATTGGTCTGCCTAAATTGTCCTTAGGTGTGTGTGTGTGTGTGCATGATTGTTTGTCCTGTGTGTGTCTGTGTTGCCCTGTGATGGACTGGCTCTCTGTCCAGGGTGTACCCCACCTGATTGCCCATTGACTGCTTGAGATAGGCACCAGGCACCCCCCTCCCCCCCTCACACACACAAACACACACACACACCCCCCACCCCCAGTGTTCACCAGTTTTGTTTTTATATGATCTTAAGCTACTTTTTTTGGCCTATTGTTTTTGCCTAGTGCCTGTTAATTATCAGAGAAATGTTGTGTTGTTAAGTGGAAACTTTTTGTAAACGGCATTAATTATTTACAAAACTGTAACCCTGGCATTGGTTTTTATTTATTTAAAGGTCACACAGCACACTGTAATTCATAACAGGGTTTTAGGCTGAAAGCTGTGCAAGAATCAACTCGTTGTGCAGTATATAAATACTGCAAACATCTTTTTTTTAAAGCTGGAACTCCCAGTCTCCTATTCGGCACATGAAGTAAATCACATCATTTTAAAAAATGTAAAATAAAATGCTATTCAATTTTGCTGCATTTCCTTAAAATGAACAAATGTAGAGAGCAATACTAATTTAGTTAATCAGGATGATTAAACGTATGCCGAATAAAAGCCAGTCCTTATATCGTTATTATAAGGGCTTAACAGAAAAGAAACATAACATATAAGCATAAACAGATGAACAATTATAAAAAAATCCCAAATCTGAATGAACATTTGTTAGCTCCGCGTATTTCTTGCATTTCTGTGAAAGTTCCAACCTTTAAAGAAGTCATTTCGTAGAGGTCCACCTGTGCTCAAGCTTTGACAAAAGGTTAACCAACCACTCCGGCCTGTGTGCCGCTGGGTTACCCGCGTCCAGGTGAGTAATCCCGCCGTCCGAAACTTCACCTGCAGCCGCCTCCAACCCGACATCTCTGTTGTGAGCTATTTAGCTAACGTAAAAGTAGGAAGCGGAAACGTGACGAGGATAAATATCATATTCCTTATGCAATCGTACAGCCTGCACTCATGGTTGTAGTCGGTCAGCGGTGTGAACAAACCACGTTTAGGGAAATGTACAAAAAAGTTAAAGCATATCCGGTTTGATAGGTCTGTCCTTCAAAATAAAAATACATGTCCGTTGTAAAATCTGACACAAGTCAGTGACTTATGCAATCTGCTGGGTTTCCTCACAGGAATCTTTTAACGGGCACAATGAACTGAATTCAATGCACTTATAAGTAAGTTAAAATGGAATTTTTACTTTGTAAAATGCTTTGAAGTCACTCTTGTGATTTGGCACTAGACAAATAAACTGAATTTAATTTAATTTAATTTAATTTTTGGAAGTTCAATTTTTGTCAACCCATGTTAGTAACAAAAGATGAATTTCCATACATACAAAATCTGTTTGAACAAAATCCAAGATAAAAGTTTCAACAAGGTTTATGAAGAACAAATACTTGATTGTTTCTCCTAATAAGAATGTATTTTATTTTTTTAACTGAACATATGCAATACATTTAGATTATTTATTGTTCAAAATACTTTTTATCAAACATTCACTGTTGGTTGTAGTCATTGGAAAACCACCAATGAATTTGTATTTTTTTTCTTTAAGTAAATTTTGTTTTCTTTTAAGCATTTAAAGCTTAAGGTAACATTTTTATTGATTTATTTTTACATTTTTTAATGCCATTGAAACGCTGACAACTCTTTTATTTTGAAGGCTTTGCGAGAAATAATAAACATTAAGTCATTAGCTTGATCATAGACATGCACGTGTAGACGCCCCATTGGGCGCTGAAGAGCGTAAAAGTGTCGCCGCCTTATTGGACGGGTCTCAATCACCAAAGTCAATGCAGAGTGAGCAACAATTACCCTTTTTGTGCAGCCTACGGTTGCAGAAAACCTGCGTACACACATTTTATCACATTATAAACAAATTTTATCAAGCTTTTTCACAAAATCAGACACATGGCATGGCATAAAAATTAAAATATTTATATAATTAAACAAAATAAATTAAAATACAAAATCCCATCAGGTAGGCTAGAAAAGTCATGATCTGTTTTCAATAGTACACTGGTTACTGCAACCATAGGCTGCACAAAAACGGGCATTGATGCCCACTCTGCAATGACTTTGAGTGGGGAGACCCATCCAACATGGCGATGACGCTGTTACGCCCTCTGACACGCAATGGGGTGTCTACGTATTCATGTCTAGTAATTGGCTCCAAACCAGCATTCTTTCATGTTTTTCTTATGACTCTATGGCACTGGACACCTCAACGCATTTTTAGGCGTTTCAAATGCGTCTGGTTGAGACTAAAATACAAAAATGGCTGCCATTTCTTAAAACTATATACAATTTATCATTGTTTTAGAGAAATATGTCACTAAAGATAATTTTAAAGTATCAGTTCCAAAACGACCACTGCAATAAATTAATTAATAAATGGACACTGAAAAAACGAAAACAATCAACGAATATAAAGATTGCTTGAATTGGTATTACTATTAACAAATTATATTTTGTAATAATAATATTTTATCTTACTCCTGAAATGTTATTTTTTACTTTGTGTGAAACTTTTAAAACGTTTTTATTATTATTATTATTTTTGTTTCGACGAATCTTTACGGAAGTTGTATCAAACATCAGTATTTTATTTTGTAGAAGTAACCGGAAGTGGGTGATTTTACTTTTGCCGTTACGGCTGTCTGTTTTTCTGTTCCCTGGGGCACAGTGTTTTCAACAGGACTCAACTTGCTCCGTACTGCACTCGCTATGGCGGCTTGACTCAGACTCAACTATCCTCCCTCCGCTGTAGTTTCTTCCAAACATTTTCACAAACTTTTCTAGACAAACTATCGGTGTTTTTATGTAAAGTTTATGTCAAGAAACAAGGATGCAACCCCCACCGAGAAAGGTGAGTTTTCCCCCGTAGTAGCTTCTGAAGCTAACTTCGACGGACGGAGTGGTGCATATTTAATGGTTGGAAATGTACGCTTTGTTGCTGCTCGTCGGCTTTAAACGGTGAACTCACACCGTTTTCCTGCTAATCTGATCTTGTTTGTTGTGTTTAAGGCAAATTTAATCGTTGCTATTTGTTTATACTGTATAAAAAAGAAAAGAAAGTTGTGAAAAGACCATGTGCTGCAGTTTTTCCTTGTTTTTTGGGGGGCGAATGACCCGTCAACGTTCACTCTTGTTCCAAGGGGAAAAAAAAAAGTCTTGCTGCTCAAAACATTCAGATGTTTCTTTTCATAACAAAAGGTTAAAAAGTCTGTTTTAGAAACAACTTTTAGGATATAACAATTGCAGTGTAGGTTAATAACTTTGCACAAGTGAAAAAGTAAAATGTCTTTGGTTTGTTTCCCATCTGTGGTGATTTAATTATATGTGTCATAAGAAATATGTTCATTTATTCACATGTTTTGCCATTTTTTGTGGTTTTAACCTTTAAAAAATCCCCAATATTTATTTTAACTAGGTTCTTAACATTTTATTCATGAAATCATACAATACTTTAGCAACTTTTTAACATTTTCATGTAGTACTTCTACAATTCTATTAGTTCGTAGTTATTCACAATTTTCTGCTTAAGTTAATTGTCTAATTTTAGTATATGAACAGTTTTTTGTCTGTAAAGGCCGAAATTCCTCATCAATATTACACAGTGCAAACAACAATTAAAGCTGATGAAACTTCTGCAACCTTGCATTTTATGGTTAAAATTTTATTATGAAATAAGACAAATGCTAATTACTCGTACGTCTGTTGGATGGTTTTCTACAACAATAGAAGCGCTAAATATTTCTTAGCACCTCGAAATGCAGATCTACGACTTCCCTTTTTTTGGATTGCAGGAACTGATGTTTTAGGCTGTGGGAACTTTCATTGATTGATAACTGCTACGTACAGAAACTTTTGAGTGGGTTTAAGAGTCATTTTCTGACCGGGTCTATTTCCATATCAGGAAGCAGAGGCTCAACAAAACACCATTTGAACGTTTTACTTCAGTAATTAACAATGTTTTGGGTTTAGATGTCTTCTGGTTCATTTTTTTAAAGAATTCAGTACAGTTTATTTATATAGCACCACAGCACTTCACAAAGTAAACATTCCAACTGAGTTCAGTTCATTATGCAAATTAGTTTAACTCGTTCACTGCCAGCCCTTTCCTGATCGCTAACGGCCTTCGCTGCCAGCGTTTCTCACCGTTTTTACTGTTTTTTTAAGAGTCACAGAACGTTGAGCGCTAGCATGATGTCGATGCCAAACCAACCAAAACAAAGCGAAGACTCACCTCTTACATCAGGAAGAATCCGTGTGTTTCGAGCGTTATCCGTTCTTTCATAATCCGTTGTTGAATTGTGATCGGCAGACGCTTTTCCGGTTCGCGGCTCACTTTTTTTTTACAGGAACGGCCCAAAACGATCTCCTAACACATGGATGGTCTTCTTCCTGATCATGTGACGTGTGACGTATGCGGATGAAGATCGGCTTCAGGGCTGAGATGTTTGTTCTCTCAGCGCGGGGGCTCGTTCTGATGCTCAAACAGTAAAAAAATGCAAATGACGACTAAAGTCGTCAATGGCAGTGAATGAGTTAAGGTTTCCTATGTAAACGCAGCAAATTGCATCGATTTACTGACTTGGAGACTTTACAGCAATCTCCATATTAAACAAGCATGTAGTGACAGTGGAGAAGAAAACTCTCCTTAAACGGGAAGAAACCTCCAACAGAACCTGAATCAGTATGAGCAGCCGTCAGTCACGACTCACTAGATCTTTGAGAAGACAGAAAAAAAGAAACATAAATATTTGGTTGGCCAATCAGCTGATTGACCTTCACTTTGGTTGGTTTTGGTTATGACGACCATCTTAATGTAAGCTTGAGACTTGCAACATGTCTTTTTTTAATTTGTTTTTCATCGAGTGTTATCTGGAACGTTCGCCTCATCTATCCTTTTGAATAATAATTTCATCACCACTTTGGCATCAGATCAAACTTTGAATCACTTTCCCACATTTGTTCCGTCTGCTTTTTACGTTTCCTGTGAAAGATAGACTTTGATGAAGAAGAGGTTGTTTTTGCTTTTTAAAAGTATGCTTTGATACTACAAACACATTTTACCGTAATGAATACGACGTTGTGGCTTAATTTAGTTTCAGAACTGACTAAAAACCAGATAAATCAAGTCTTACTCAGCCACAGCTGCTGTTTGGTTAGAAAAGCTCTCGCTGATACCAGATATCAGCTCAGCTGAGTCAACCCTTTCTTTTTCCGGACGTGCACACCAGGAAGCGCCTGTACAAACTTGAGAGGACGACTGTTTCTTACTGGCCTTGTTTTCCTCTCAGGTAAGGCTCATCCAGGAGCTGAAACACATTCAGGCTGAACAGATGAACCAGCTACAGGTCAAACACCAGACTGAATGTGACCTGCTGGAAGACCTGAGGTAAGAACTGCCACATCGAGCTGCCTGTGAGGTGGATTGTGGGAATTTAAGTTCAAATCTTGGTGTTGTTGCTCGTAGGGAGACTTCAGGAACCAGAGACGAGTCTTCATTTGGAATAAAACATTTTTTTCCCCTTTCCTTTACTGTGTAATATCTACCATAAATGATAAAATCAGTTAATCTTTAACATAATTGACCTGTGAACCAATAGAATCAGGGAACCACAATCCAAAGCAATTAGTAGATAAAAACCGTTGTAGGTAAACAATAGTCCGCCTTGTTTTATTACTGATTTATGACAGCGTGAATGCAGTTGAGCTGAATTTTGCAGAACTTCAAAGATTTGGCTAAATAATAAGATAAAAGCCTAGGAAACACATTTGTACAAATAACCAGATACATTTTTTTATTTGCTTTGAAGTTAATAGTTGTTGCTGCTGCTATTAATAAAACATAGCTATTCAAGTTGATCTTTAGCTCGTCTTCTCATAAATACCTTTTTAAGTATAACCTGTGAGGCTCAATTTACAGATTTAGATTTACATTATGCTAAAATCTAACCAGGTCTTTCCACTGGATGCAAAAGAATCGTAACATCTGCGAAGCGTAGAATGTTGCAATTAGCCGCTGTTATAGTGGATGGGTGCGTTTCCAGCCTCACATTTTCGGCGTAGGGACACATTGCTTACACTTTGAGTATTTCCTTTTTGCGCTATGCTTTCAGAATGTGTCAAACTTTGTCGATCAGGCCAGACAGGAAGTCAAACACGAAGCAGTGTAAAACATCTGGAAACTTTCAAAATAAAAGTCACAAGTAGATTTCCTGTCGCTTAACTGTTAAAAATGTACGTCATTTCCCGTGAAACCTCCGTAGCCGAGGTCAATGGAATAAAATGTGTTTTTCCTTGAATGTTACGATGTGAACTGTCGAAATCACGCGTGATGTTGCAATTTTCCCATGATTTTGTGGTCTTGCGGGACCAGCTGCGTGGAGCACTTTCGCACCCGTTTCACATCCCAGTAAAACGCGTCTTATGTTATTTGCCACTTTTGAATCCAGTGTAAATTCAAATCAAATTCAAAAAAACTTTAATCATCCCCGAGTGGCAATTGTAGTGTTCCATCTGAAATGTGTCAAAATTATTGAGTTAAATCATAGTCTGTGATAAAAATAAACTCAGGGCGCTTTGGTCACATATTTCTGTAACTAAGGTCAGTGTTTCCCTTACATAGGCGTAGCCGTGGCGGCCCGCCACGGCTGAAATCCCACCGCCACGCCTACAAGATCCCAAGTTTTATTGATTTTTTTTTTTTGCGCCGTTTCCCGAAGAAGCAGCGGAAACTACTGTGTTGTTGCTTGTGATCACAGCCGGCAGGCAGCAAGGAGGAGGAGGCAGGGCAGGGTGGTTACAGCTAGGGATGAGCGTACGGATAAAGCATTTTTGACGAATACGAGCATGAAACGAGTAAAACTCGTAAATATCTGTAATCGTGCTGAAGGAAAATCCTCATTGGGTCTTCACGCTGATTGGCCAGTCACATAGAGCGCCCGCCCCTCCCTCCACACTAAACTCTGCAGCCGGGAGCTCAGTCAGCTCGGCCCATGCATCCACGCGCACACACACACACAGACACACACAGACAGTAACGGATGTCTCTGTGCTTGCTTCGCTGTCTCTCAGGTTTCTTCAGTGCTCCCTAGGTTTTCTTCAGCTCGACTCTTTTTCAGTTCAAAATTTAAAGTTACTTTTATCGTAACGTACGTGGTGCATTTGACAAGACAGAGCTGAAAACGGCTCGTGCTGCGTCGGTCACTGCCTCCGCTCCGGTCAGGTTTTTTAAAATTATTTCTCTCTCTCTCTCTCTCTCTCTCTCTCTCTCTCTCTCTCTCTCTCTCTCTCTCTCTCACTCACTCACTCACTCACTCACTCACTCACACACACACACACACACACACACACACACACACACACCTCAATCAACATTGTTTTGTTTAACTGTGTGTGGGAAAAATGCCAACAACATTAGGAAAAAATCAGTTTAATCAAATTAAAATAAAATGGTTCTAGTATTTCATATTTCCTAGTTCCTACTGCATGAGTTCAGATGTATTAATTCATGCACTTAAATATTAATGTTCTGATTTTACTGAAAAACTTGTTCTGTAATAGTTCCTTTACTTTTGTGATCAAAAATATTTCATCTCAGTTCTGGGCTGCTCTGTAAATAGTTTTAAGATAAACAATACACATAGCAACTTCTGATCAATCCATACCAATTTCAGATTTAAAATAATGTATTGATGTAAACCACACCCACTCATTTCCAAATAATAAGTAAGAGTTGCATTCATCTGTGTTTCTCCTTTGATCTGCATTGCTGATATTTTCAGCACCAGAACAATGAAGCAAAGAAACAGATTCCTGAGTTTATGTTAGTAATTTTATTTATTAGGTGCATCTGACCTGTTCTATTTTTCTCTGAAATGAGATCAGATCAGTGCTTCTATGGGTTGTCTCCCCTCAGCACTAGAAAAATGTACTTTATTATAATGTTCACTGTAATGCATCTTGATGTTCTTAACAAATAAATTAAATCAAAGATATTGGTCAATAACGCCAAATATGTAAATTTGTGTTTCAGTCATTTTTATACTGGCTTAAAAATACTTCATTAAGTCTACTAAGCAGGGGTGTAGAAGGTGTTTAATTGGGCCAGCCCAGTAATGATCTTGGACCAAAATACAGGGGGGCAGAAGGAGATGTTTTTCCAGACGCCAAGAAAAATTAAATGCCAAATCCCACCCCCCCTTGCAAAGTGTGTCACTGAGAGTTTAAAACAGAAATTATTCTTGTGCAAATATTGGTGTATTCACCTTTAATGCTAGTTATTAAAATGCAGCAGTTGCTGGATTGGTGCAGTTCAAAGTGGAGTGCATCAAATAAAACAATATTAACATAAAGGTGAGGCGTGTCATAATTCCCCCCCCACCACCACAGCTGGAAAAATTCCTAGGGGACACACTGAAGGTGGTTTAATGTGGGTGTAATTAAAGTCCAGAAATAACCCACAGTCCTGGAAAGTAGAGATTCTGGTCTTTTTTAACTTTGGGTGTAAATAAAAAATAGTTGTAATAGATGAGTTCTTAAGTGGTAAAGATTGTTAATTGCTGTTGTGCAGAAATAAATACAGTTCTGACAACTGGCTAAAGTTTTTTTGAGTCTTGATGCAGGTATCACAACTTTGTGTTTTTGTGTTGACAAAAAAAATCAAAGGTTTTGTTTTCTGCCCTAATATTGGGTTGAGTTGCAACCTACTGGCTCCCCACTTTCTGTCTGTGGTCGGTGCCGGAGCTCTCGACCCCCTTAACAGCTGGAAGTTAGGGTCAGAGTGAGCTGCCAGATGTTCTGACTGTTAGCTGTGGGGGGCTTGACAGCTCTGCTTCACCAGAAACACGGGCTGATCTCTGATCATGGGCAAGAAATGATTCAGCAAACTGGAAACCCCAAATGGTTGTCAGCAAAACCTCTGCCTGGGAAAAAGACGGGAAAGGAAAGGGGGGTCGTTGGAAGAGCGCAAGCGTTGGAGGAGGAAGCTCCCAGGAAGTACACAGCAGATTGTTGAGAGGCAGGGTGGAGCATGGCGGCCGAGTCTCGACATGTTTAATGACTTAATGATGATTTTGCTGCAGGAGTTTTTCCCAAGGCCCCGACCTCGCTTCTTTTCTTAGACTCATGCCTGAGCCTCCCCAGCTGTCATTATCCTGTTTACATAAATGACCCCAAACGGTTAAAGGCCGGGATGAAAGCTGCTTACGTATCTCACATTTCTCAGTACATTTTATCACCCGCGCTTGTGTTTATGAAACCAGATGAGTGGATTCATCTGGTGAAAACATCTGGATGAGTGAATACAGGTTTTCTGTGATCGACTGTAATCTTAAGAGGGAAAAGGTTATTTTTATTATAGTACTTTTAGTTAAACACTCTAAAGGTTGTCGTTTTTTGACACTGTCAAGTTTATCTTGCATAATATCATATTAAACTACGCCTTTTTATTGGTTTATTGTTCTAATTGATCTTTTTCTACTTTTAAGGACTTTCAGTCAGAAGAGAGCGGCCGTAGAGAGAGACTACGCCCAGGTGAATAAATCTGTCATTTTTTAACACCGATGTTGCTGCTTGTTAGCATCCCTGCTGCAGTGTCTTCTCATTTGTCTTGTTAAAAATAAACATTTTTTACAACACTTCCCTCTAAACACGCCATGAGACAACAGAGTCGAGGATGTGGCCATGGGGGGAAAAGCCTTTAGTCTTTTTGTGGTCAGATTGCTCATGGGTGTTAACGAGCCACAGAAAAAAAAACACCACAACAGAGAGATCAGCAACTTCCACTGGTGATCTTGTTTCCTCCTCTCTGTTGTTTTTGCCCACAGCTTTCTGCAGACATTATTGGAATATTTGAAAATACCCTCTATTCCCTTTGGCTCTGTTCTGGTTTCGCAGCCCTGTAAGGAATGTCCACCAGCACTGTAAAGAGACATGGCGTGTTTGTAGTTTTCAACCAAGTCACCTTATAGATGTTTGCTCATGGACGTCCGCCGCAGGAGGTTTAATGTGAAAAGGCCTGCAGAAGGAGCCAAAGTAACTAAACCATGAGAATAAAAGTGAAAAAAGAAGATAAACTCCTAATTACACTTGGTAAGGTTGGGCGATATGTAAAATCTGTCCAACCGACAAATGACGATGGACGACTTTTTGTGGGCCTGACACAGTGCACGCAGCGATCCCCCGATCACAATTTTTCCCAATCAGTTTGCAGAAGCAGACAGTGAGGAGATGGCTCCATGGGAAATTACGTTGTTTTCATTGGCTATTTGATGCGTCTGTCAGCGATAACTGCGTCACAATTGGACCAAGCTACACACGTGAGAATAGGGGTGGTACTTTTGACCTATTGGCCAATAGTTGACGAGCTTGTCACAGCTGAGGCGGCAGCCTTTCACCTGTTGGATCAGGTAATGTGTCAGTCAAAAGTCTGAAGATGATGTGAGGCTACGGTGATAAAGAGATGGAAGAAATGGTGAACTTTTTCACTGATGTGTTGAATTATGGTCTTATTCAATTGGAGGACTTTCATTGAACCCGTATAGATGTAAAAAGACCATTTTTGTTGGAGGTGTGTCTATTATGTCAGTGATATGAGGCTTCACACGTTGTTTTAGATATTTAGAATTTCCGAGTGGTTTGACAAACGTGTTTACCATGTGTACAGTTATGGTTGTATTGTATAGTTGATTGCCACATCTTGTTGAAATCACAAGAATAATCGTGTATGTAAACAGAGAGTTGCCATAAAGACATTGATTTGACCCGTATGTAAGTAACGGTCGATCCGGGGACTAATAAATAGATGATGTAAAGAAAAATCACTCGTAAAACACAATGGGTGTAGGGCTCGGACCATTGCCGATGGTTAATATCGCCCAATCGTAGATGCCAACAGAATTTATGGTGAGGAAGAGACAAGTTTGAAGGAGATTTAGAATCTTTTCAGCGATACATTACGTTGGATTGTGGACGTAAGACTTGTGGACTAATTATTTAATGAAGGACTTTTATTTAAGTGTTTTGGATATTAAAAAATACTTTTCTTTTCTTTTTTAGATGACTCAGTTCTGTCAGTGATATAATACTTTAAATGATGAGGTGGACTTTATTTTGCATTTCTGAGTGCTTTGACAAAAGCATGTACAGTGTCTTCATTTGTAGCTCATATTGCCGTATATCATTGGATTCACTAGAAACCTAGCTTTTCGATTATGTAGAATAGGTATATGTACATAGAAACAATGTTGCTACTAAAGTACTGATTTGATCTGGAACTATTTAATGTCCCATCTACAAAACTAATTCATAGGCATAAAAATATCATTTATCACTAAATGATCATTCAAAGGCTCTGACTATTGCTGATAGTTGATAAATTTATCCAATCATCCAGTCATACTACCTGATACTTATTAACGTTTCGCCATAGTTACAGTGGTATAAATAGTAAATTGCCTGTATTTGATATAGCGCCTTCTAGAGTCCTGGAACCCCCCAAGGCGCTTTACAACACAATCAGTCATTCACTCACACATTCACACACTGGTGGGGATGAGCTACGATGTAGCCACAGCTGCCCTGGGGCGCACTGACAGAGGCGAGGCTGCCGAGCACTGGCACCACTGACCACCACCAGCAGGCAAGGTGGGTTAAGTTATTGTTGGTAATATATACCGACCACCTACATCTCCAAAACTAGAGTCTGTTAGTAACATCCTAGCTATGGTTTCATCATTGGGAGTTTCAAGTGAGATTATTCTGATGGGGGATTTCAACTTAAACTGGAATGATCCCTCTACACATATAGAACGCAACATGGTAAACGGGGCTAATTTGACACAAATAATCACTGAGCCTACTCGAATTAGCTGAAACTCTAAATCTCTCATTGATTGGATTCTTGTTTCTCATCCAAACAGAATTATGACCTCTGGTGTTCTCAAGTGGTTATTCCTCCGTATAAAATTATGTTTAAATAAATAAATAAAGTGTCTTGCACAAGGACACAGCGACAGACTGAGCTGGGCTCGAACCTGCAACCTTCCGATTACGGGGCGAGCACTGTGCCACTGTCGCCCAAGTATATATTAACATAGTATTGGACTTAACTACAGAAGTTTCTATTCTTCTTGACTGCCGCTAACTTGCAGCTATTTGCAGGATAAATCACCTTATCAGTCAATGATTGGTTTTCCCAGTCATCCATCTGTTTTCCACAGCTTATCCAATTGCAGCGGTCCAGGAGGGAAACCCTGGGTTGCTTTCCTGTCAGTAGATTGATTTATTTTTGCTCCTTTTTGATTTTGTTTCTGCTTTTCCCCGTATGTTAAAACCAAGTACACAAAAACGCTCCGTGTCAAGGTTAGGTTAGTTTAACACAAGCCTGTGAGCTGCTTGCTGTTAGGAGGAATGCTAAAAAACAAACTTCTCTAGTCTCTCCATGTATTATTGAAGCTGCTGTGTTGGCTCTGTGTTACCGTGCTTAAAAAATTTACATGGTTTCAAAACAAGGTTATGGAAATAGAACCAATGGACAAATCTTTGCATGATACATAAAAAACAAATGTTTGCTTGCCCAGTACAATATTTAGAATATTGGGTAATGCTTCCTTTTACAGTCCCCTAATTACTAAGTACTTACATGGTAATTACTTAGTAAGTTTAATTGTATTATTGTGTAATTAAAGTGTATGATTGGGGAAAAAAGTGGAATTATTGTGTAAAGCAGCATTTAATGGGAATGATGAATCAAAAACAAAAACTAGAATATAACTTCAGTTGTATGGTAATAACTGTTTAAGAACTCAGAAACAATAATACACTTTAACTTACTATGTAAGTACTTAGTAATTAGGGGACTGTAAAAGGAAGCGTTACCGAATATTGATATAACAGCAATAAAGGTGAGTTTTGGGTCTTTTTAGTGTTTATCTACTCGTCTTTTGGGGTTCAATTCTAATTGGCATTTTTTACATTTAGAGCATATTTTGTTGTTTTCTTGTTGTGCTCTTGAGATTTATCTGATGTTAAATCGAAACTGTGGTGGTGGTGTCTGTTTTTCGCTGGCATTTTTTCTCCATCACAAAATGTATAACCAGTTTCTAAATGTTTGAATCAAAGTGGGTCAGACTGTCTCTGGAACGGTTTGCTCTCTTTAGTGATGCTTTCCTTTTCAAATTGCCTCTCTTAAAGTGTATTTTCTGGAGCCTCGTGCACCTGCAAGCCCCATTAGTCTTCAGCCGATTGCTATTCGTATCACACAGTGTGATGAAAAAGTCCTCTGTGTGGCTCTTCCTCTGCAGTCTTCACATCCCTCCTCATCCCTCCTTCCCATCACATTATTCAGAGGTGTGGACTCGGCTAAGCCAGCTCAGACAGTGATTCTGTCTCTGTGTAAGCCCACAGTGATCGCATCTGTAGCAGTTTTGAAGCTTTGGCACAAAGAGCGCCCAAACCTGCCTCAGGACCACAAAACCGGGCCTGTCTATTCACAGTAAAGGACAGATAGATGAACGCTTGTAAGACCCTAAAGCGCCCATCATTCTTTATGAAATAAATTGAGTGTGTGCTGAAACTGTTTGATGAGCTGGATTTGTCTTTTTTGGACATGAATTTACAAACATGCAGAGAATTCCTGAGAGTTCTCACTCAGGTGTAGACGTACCAACAGAAGCTGAAATCACAATATTTTTCTACTGCGCTCATTTTCAGATATTCACCCTCAGATGTTGAGTTTATATTTGGCTGTAGTAGAGTAACCTGACTTTTTTTAAATGTTTTTTTTTCTTGCAGTAAATTTAAAAAAAAAATTCTTTAAAGAGCAAGTCACCCCCCAAATCAACTTTTTTTCTGAACAACTATATAAATGTGTGTCTAATCGTGCTGCAGACACGTGTGGTCAATAGTTTTGCACTTTAGTGCATTCTAGTAAAAATTTTAATTTTCTGCCTAAAACTATCAGTGTTGTGCCGTTGTCATGTAAAAACTCTGCACTGCATTTGAATTTAAATCTGCCATCGCTATTAGAGGTACCCTAGAACGTTAGCTGGTACCATATGATGTCACAATGTCGTTGTGAGCCTGTGTGTGTGTGTGTGTGTGTGTGTGTGTGTGTGTGTGTGTGTGTGTGTGTGTGTGTGTGTGTGTGTGTGTGTGTGTGTGTGTGTGTGTGTGTGTGTGTGTGTGTGTGTGTGTGTGTGTGTGTGTGTATTTGTTAGCGGCTCCATCCCCTCGGTCTGCTAGGCAACAGCATTTGTTGCATTTTTCAAACAGGAAGTGGAAGTGGAGTAATACTCTGGTAGGGGGTGACTTGCTCTTTAACATGTTGACAGCAGGATTAAAACTATTTAGGCTTTTCTGTTATTTGTGTAGATGGTAGGAAACTGTCCTGTCTGTTGTTTTTATTCCTCTTTTCCTCTTTCAGGCTCTCCAGAAGTTGGCAAATCAGTATCTGAAGAGGGAATGGCCTGAGAGTGTAGCAGAGACACAAGCAGACCACGGGTAAGTCATTCAATTCCAACAAATATTTCCACTCTCTGAGCATCTTAACTCTGCCCTAACTATAAATTTACAATACTGAGACTCTTCAAACCTGGACTAAGTTATTCTGCACAAATAGCACCTAATGACTTTAGCACCTGGAGCAGCAGTAGCTCAGGAGGGAGTCTGTCCAGTAATCAGGTGGTTCTTTTCTCAAATCCGCGTCTTTAGATAAAAATCACAAGAACATAAAAAAAACGTTAAACAAGATAACAATGGGATAAATTTAACAGCTTCTAATGTTTGTATGGTGTGAATTTTATGACTTGTGAATAATGTGTTGAACTCTGATCAGAAAAAAACCGTGAATCGAACCGAAATTGCAGTTTCTTCTAGAAGAATCACAATGCAATCTTTTCCTAAAATTGTTCAGCCCTGGTTTTTAGTAAGGTTTCCAAGCTAACCCCCGGATTGTTTTTTTCTCAGGAGCATGTTCTGTGTATGGAGGGCCTATTTGGAAGGAACAGTCCAGTCCGCCCAGTTTAGACTCGGCGCCTGTGACAACTACAAAGCCCAGGTCGCAGACCCGGTTAAGACGGCGCGACTTCAGAAGGAGCAGCAGCTCAGGAAGGTACTTCTGGTTAAGCTCTGCTTGAGGTTTCTCTCACTTCTGCTGTGTGTCCTCATCTCCTCTTGTGTTTTTCATTTTGCACTGCAGAAGTTAGTTTGAATCTTTTACTCAGGAGTTACAGCTTCTGAATTCACTCTCTGGGTGGCTGAGCCAGACGATAAACTGGTGCATTTATCAGCCTCTCACTTTTGTCAGTTTTACAATAGAAAATGAGGTGAGACAGATTATACAGAAGCCTGCTGTTTCCTGTTTCCTTCGCCTGCAGGAACAAAGTGAGTTTTACACCATCAGGTCCAACAGAGTCGTTTTATTTATACAAAGATCTGTGTGTGTGGCTCCATTTGGTTATAGTCAGTGGTTCTTCAGATTAAGGGCTGATTTACTTATAATCTGTAAAAAGATCTGAAAATACAACAGCTGTGCTTGACGATGTGCTGCACCGACATTTAAAAACCGGGGCGGCTTGTTTAGTAAACTGAAATGAACACAGCCGTTCGGCTTTAACCACAGCAGTGGAGAGAGAAGGTTAAAGAGGTGTTGATTCTGATGAGACTTGGAGGTAAAATGTTGCTGAGTTGGACAAGAGAGGGGCTCTTTGGTGAATTTAGATTTTGAAGAGCAGAAGGAATGTTTGAGGGAGGAGTTTGTTCGTATTAGTCGTTGCTCTGAACTCGGTGGGTTTTTTAAAGCTTGTTTTCTGATTAGAAATGTTTCTGCAGGCCACTTTCCACTGCTCACACGCTAAATCGCTGCTCCTGTTTATCTCTCAGCTCTCAGATGATGCCATCTGATTTCTTGTGCATCACACATGCTGTTGTGTCGCTGCTCAATTTAGAGGAATTTGCACGTTTTTCAGGTGAAACCTTAAGACTGTGTGCGTGAATGTGAAGTTGTGTGTTGGTCTTTATTTCCCTGCAGTGCGTCGAGCAGCTGACGGTGATCCAGGCTGAGCTGCAGGACTCGGTGAAGGAGCTGACCAAGAGCAGGAAGAAGTACCAGGAGGCCGAGATGATGGCGCAGGCTGTCCGAGAAAAGACCGAACTGGAAACCAAGTAGGATTTTTATCTCTGGACGATTAAAATCCTTTCATAGCAAAAGATAAAGTGCAAAGAATTTGACTTTTAATGACATTATACTTAGAAAATCTGGAGTCCCAAGCTTTCACATCAGCCAGTTTGTGTGCAGAAATCTCCTCGGGTGGGACAACACAGACATGAACGCTGAATGACCTTGAGAGCAGCGTCTAACCTCTGAATACAGTTTGTAAAACATGTTTTATTCGAAGAGAACGTAGCTTCACGAGAGCAACTTTTAGTCAGACTCGAAGAAGCTGCCTCTCAAATTTTTGTCCTGGCACAACATCAACAGCTGGCTCTCTGACTCGCCGCATTGCAGACATTTTTCTGCCCGTCAGGAACATTTATAAAAAGCAGAACCCATGAAGGACTGCTGCGGTTCTCCAGTCTTAATTTTTGTGGCCCAAACATCTCAGTCATGATCTGTGGAGATCATTTCCTGTCCTTGTCAATAAACATGTTTATTGGAACATCAGCAAAGGTTTGGATTTCTATAAAGGAGGATTTTTTTTGCTGTGTGCCGATCTGGACTGTTCAGGAACGAGTGTTGACAGCTTAACTAGAGCGAAGAACATCAGCATTGTGATGGATTACCTCTAAAAATGTACTCTAATCAGCCTTTTGCAAAAGTTTTGAGCTTTTCAGCAATCGTGTTTCAGTGTTTTATGATATGTTTGAACCCTTTTTGTCCTCTTTGTCAGAGAAGATAAATTTTTGGCTAATATTTTACATCGTCTCTAAACCACAAAACACATTTTATGTTACCTTTCTTTAATCTCCAACTGTCATTCGTTCTAGGATGATTTGTCTGGTTTTATTCTCATTTTCAGTGAAGTCGTGTCCATTTCCAGTGAAATTTGGATTCTTTGAAGCTAAATAAGAATAATTGATTCAAAGCTCAGTTCTCCTTCACATGAGTATCTTTTATAAACCTGAAAGGGTCATTTCCTGGTTGTTGTCCAAAGACTTCTGCTTATTTGATTCAAATAAAACTTTATGCCACAGTTAATGTTACAAAAAGAAAAGTAGAAGAAGAAGAAAATATAATTTCTATAGCGCCTCTCAAGATAAAAATCACGAGGCGCTTCACAAAAACAAAAAATGTAAAAAATATAAAAAGCATTTAGAAAATGTTTAAAAATATATTTAAAATGAGCAAAAATAGACAATTGTGATTAAAAATGTTAAGAAAGAGAGAGAGTGAACAGGAAAGAGGGAAATCAGTGGATCCTGAGGAAGGTGGAATAGGTGGGGAGAGCAGAATAAAGAGAGAGTGGTGAAGAAGGTCATACAAAAGCCAGCTTGAACAAGTGAGTCTTCAGCTGCTTTTTGAAGGAGTTCACTGAGTCCACTGATCTCAGGCTCAGGGGAGAGAGTTCCAGTCTGGGGGCCACAGCAGCAAATGATCTGTCACCTTTGACCTTTAGCCTGGTGCTGCACAACCAGTAGGCTTTGGTCACTGGACCTCAGGGACCTGCTGGGGGTGTAGGCACTAAGAAGATCACCAAGTTCTGTATAATTTATCTGTATATTATTGTAAAGTGAGTGTTTTGTTCATTTTTCAGGTCCAAACTAAGTCTCTTCCAGTCCAGATCCAGTCTCCAGAGGGCCACCATAAAGGTACGGTCTTCTCTTTATTTAGTTAAAGTTTTGGTCCAACCATGGCAGAACTGAGTTTACTGTTGAACTCCAGCTGAAAGCCAAGAGGAGCGAGTGTAACTCCAGATCAACCCACGCCAGGAACGACTACCTTCTGACGCTAGCAGCCGCTAACGCTCACCTGCAGCGGTACTACGCCACAGACCTGATGGACTGCATCAAGGTGAGGCCATAAGTCTAAAAAGGAAGAGGATGATGAAGGAGTGTGGATGTGTTCTTTGGAATAAAACAACACCTTGTCCGATCATGTCTGCAGACCTTAGATGGAAGAATCCACGAGCAGGTGAAAGATTACCTGGTGTCACTTTGTCAGACTGAGCTGGAAACATACCAGAGTGTCCACAACACCTTCAACCAGATCCTGAGCAGCTCCGGCGGGGTGAGTCAGTTAGTACCCAGTCTATACTCAACCTGTCGCCCAAAAAGGACATGAAACTAAATTATCTTCATTATTTTAACATATCACACCTGGAGAGGAAACATCTTGAATCTTTTCATTTACAGCATCTGTTTAACTTAAGCAACATTTTCTTATCTAAAGTGTGTTTAAAGAGGAGCTACTCCCTCTCTCTCTGTGTGTGTGTGTGTGTGTGTGTGTGTGTGTGTGTGTGTGTGTGTGTGTGTGTGTGTGTGTGTGTGTGTGTGTGTGTGTGTGTGTGTGTGTGTGCGTGTGTGTAGCTGGAAGTCGAAGATCAACTGCGTCTTCACAGAGTTTTCTTCTTTTTTAACCTTTTTCCAAAACCTCATAATTGTAAATGTTTTTATTCACATTTATTTTATTTTGCGTTCTTTGAATCACATCATCTCATCAGTCGTGACATAAACCAAAATAATGAGCTCATTTCACTGGTCAAGGCTGTCCTAACACGACTGTCAGCTGAACTTCACTGCCTTCCTTTGTGCTACTCAACTAAAATGGCTTGAGTTACTCGATACTGTTAATTTACATGTTCTCAACCTGCTGCTGCCTCACCAGCCACCCTTATTCAGGTCAACTTGTGTTCCTGGATTCACAGAGACATTTAGTTTCTTCTCAGGCCAGAAAAAAAAATGGGCATATTATTTGTTTAATTATTTATTTAAAACCCGCAGGTCCTGCAGGAGCTTCACCAGCAGGTCTTTGTGCAGAAGAACTCCATGTTTCAGCAAGCCTCGGGTTTCTTGTACCAGCCAGTGGACTCAGACACGGTAAAGTTTTGGAACTTTATGTTTTTACGTGGTTGTGACACCACATAAGGCATTAGCAATGGTTTTTATTTTGAAAATGCAAAGAAAAAAGTCTAAATTAGTCAGAAACGGAAGTTTACACCCGATCTGTTAAAACGTCTGATCAGACCAGGCTGAGTTGAAACTGGCATGTATAGGTTACATTGTTGGACCTCATCAGATTTCAGTTGTATAATCATGAAAAGCACCTGAGGGATTATAATTCAGACACAGATGTACTCAGATTACTGGAACGTTGTGCTTGTGTAGATCTGATCAGCCATCATGAAAAACCGTGGACCTGATTTTTATCACATTATCATCATAACTCAACGTTGCACAGATTATAAGTTCTGTACTTTACCGCTTTAGATATGAAGTCTCCCACCCTGTCTGTCCCACCTCTAAACTTTCGGAGGTGTGGGACTGAAACCCGACAGTGGGAACGTATCTGGGTCATTGTTTTGTGAAGGACTGCAGCTGGTGTTCACAATAGCTCAGTTGACCCACTATCACCGTGTAAAAAGCAACAGCAAGTAAAACCTTTGTGGGATTTTTCATCAGAGGTGGAAAGTAACGAATTACATTTACTCAAGTTACTGTAATTGAGTAGTTTTTTTTGTATATTTATACTTTTTATGTCGTTTTTAAAATCTGTACTTTTACTTGAGTACGTTTAAAAAGAATTGTAATTCTCTACATTTTAAATCATATCCGTTACTGAGCAAAAATAAATTGTAGGCTTAATAAATTAAAAACATTGCGTGAAGCAGCGTCGGAACAGAATGAGACACCTGCATGAGCACCGCGTCTAAACGGGGGGGGGGGGGGGGTACACTTTTGCTAAAAAAACATCAGTTCAGTCCCTCAACTCGCTGTTTACCTCCTCTCCTGTGGGTTGGAACCCGCTCCTTCGCGCACCGATGTGACATCATCAGAATTCTGCTCGGTTCGGTAGCCGGACTCGGTTCCGTGTTTGAAATGTGTTTCCTTACCGCTCCGCACGGAAGTGGCAAAATAACATATAGCACTCATAACAAGTGGATTATCAGCGCTCTGCTCATAAAACAGAAGACCTGCAGGCCTCCGTGAGTTAAAACATCCTGATATTGTTCAGGTGTAAACATTGTGCTCCATCCCTGTGTTTGAACTCAGGAGATGCTTCTTGATGCCACAGATATGTGATGATTTAGTTTGTTTCTTTACTTTACTCCAGAATACGAGATTAAATTATTACTAAAGCAGTTCAGTGTAGTTAAATTAGTCATGACGTGTGTGTGTGTGTGTGTGAGTGTGTGTGCGTGCGTGCGTGTGTGTGTGAATTGTGAACTGGCGTTGTGATTTAGCACTACTTATGGGCCATTCCCATCTGTACCGGGTCGGCCCGGGCCGGGTAGCCCCAGTCGGCCCCAGCCTGGCCCGGCTGATTCCACACATCCTTGTCTTAAGCCCATGTGGGCTGATTCTACCCACCAATCAGAGGCTTGCTCTAATGGAAGGTGTGAATTTGCTGTCAGCAGTGGGTGTGTTGGCCCTGGTCGGCCTGAAGCAGACCCCTCGAGAAGAGGGCTGAGAATGAGCCTTGGTTGGCCCGGAAAAATACCAGGCCACCCAGATATGTAAACAACCTACGCTACCCGGCCCGGGCCGACCCGGTACAGATGGGAATGGCCCATTAGATGTAGCCATCCTTACGCTGACAAAAATGTATAAGTAACTTTTACTTTGAGTGCATTTTGTTTACGATACTTTTGAGTAAAAATTTAGGCAAGAACTTGTACTTGAGTAAAAATGTATCGAAGTATTGGTACTTGTACTTAAGTAGGAAATTTTAGTACTCTTTCCACTTGTTTTTGATATGTACCGTATTTTCCGGACTATAAGCCGCTACTTTTTTCCCACGCTTTGAACCATGCGGCTTATAATGAGGGGCGGCTTTACTGCAGAATTTCCTTCACCTGTCACTAGGGGGCGCTTTAGCAGAAAGTGAAACAGGTGGAAGTCAAAAGTGGAAATCGAAGAAAGTGCTCATTTTAATTTAGCACATGCAAGCAGCCGGCACGATCCATACCCCCTCATCATGGTAACTACACGTATGAGTTCATATGATGCCACATTTAAGTTGAAGGCATCGATCTGGCCGTAAAGGAGGGAAACAGTGCTGCCGCACGTAAGCTTGGCATGAATGAATCCGTGGTTCGGTGCTGGAGACGGCAGCGGGAAGAACTCATTCAAGCCAGCTTCACCCGGGATGATGACAGCTACACGGACAGCGACACTGACATCGCCACAGAAAAGGTATGTGACGAAGCTCTTCTGAGGCTGTTCAACTCCGACACTGAAGAAGAGGACTTTAATGGCTTTAGTGCGCAGGAGGAAGATGAGAGCGAATGACTTCTTCTAGTAGGCAAGTGTGTTTTATTTACTAACCAGGCATGTTTTGTGTGCAGTTTTCATTTTCTAATCATCCAGGGCTTATTAATGCTGTGTCAGCGCTGTTCTTTTCTTCTAAACATGCAAATTACCGGTAATAACGTGTCAGTTCTGTTTTTATTTTATAACCATCCAGAAATATGAATGCTATCAGTGCTGTTTTCTTTTCTAAACTTGCAGGCACGTTCACCCGTGTTTAAAATTTGTTTTGTTGAATTAAAACAACAACGAAAAACCTCCGTGTAGCGTCTTTCTGTCTAATTATTTTATGTTATGGCCATACATGCGCTGTGCGCCGGAGACCTGCATGTGGCTGCTGCGCCGCGGCTTGTATTTGAGTGCGGCGTGTGTGTGTAGAAAACATTTTTTTTGTTGGTGCGGCTTATAATGAGGTGTGCGCTATAGTCCGGAAATTACGGTAATCACATATCTTTGAATAAAATCCAGATTTAATTGAGACTTGAGTCATTTAAATTCTGGAGAAGAAAAAATGTGCATGTCTGAAATGTACAATGTAAATTCATGAATATTTGTTGCATTTTTTTAAAAACTAACAGGTACAGCAGTTAAAACATAAATCAGTCTGGGTTACAGATCTTTGAACACAAGAGAGAAAAAGTGAATGATGTTTGACTTTTGTTTGAAGAGGACAACAGCTGGCAGATGTTGAAATCCCAATCAGACCCACAGAGTGTGATGTTTTATCCAACCGTAGGACAGGATAAAGATGCATGATCACAACTTCTTTATGTTTTACAATATTTTAGAGGTGTGGAACACTGAAAAAACAATCTTTTCTGATTATAATTGGTTACTCGAGTGAGTTTTTCATGCAGGCTGAACATGAAATAGTCTCCTACACCTATGTCCTGCATTAGCTCCTGATAGAAAATGGATGGAAAAACGCTGTCGAGAAAGGCCCGACAGATCTACATCACACTGTCACTTAACATTCATGGACTCACCCATCTTGACTCACGACGGGGAAGGCTGTTGTTGGTTAGCGTCCAGGAAACAGCAGAGAACGTCTCGGCTAGTAGAAGCTAACAGTTAGCATTAGCTACTCCACCACACAGCAGAACTCCTCGAAGCTTGCGTTCTTTGTGGAGATAAAATGCCAGCGTGAGCAAGAAGGATTGTGATTTGTTGAACACTGTGGTACCCTTAATATTAGATGAGAATGAGTTTAGTCTGACGTCACAGGGAAACTGCGTGATGTCGATGCTCAAACGTAACATTGTGCAGCTCTATTTGAAGCCTTCACTGGGCTCTTATTTCAGACATTTTTCTCCTTACTACATGTTTATTTGTTTATTTAAACAAACACAAATGCCACCTTTGGTCCACTTATACTTTGAGATGAACTTGATGTTGAAATGTGCAGGTGAGTCACAGCGGCTCCTGAAAGTGCAGCAGAGTTCCTGTGAATGGCCCGTTCTTAGGTCCGTTCCTCCTCGCTGCTGCTCCACTGGACAACACTGGACAATTTGTTCAAAATGCAAACACTTGTGTTGTTTTGATTGGAAGTCAAACAAGCAGCAGCCTGTTCCTAAAGAAAACATTTGTGGTGTTGAGGCTCTCTCCCTCCAACACCACTCGCACCAGACAGAGGAATCCGGTAAGGAGTGGAGCTGAGCCGGGAGGGAGGTGCAGGAGGCAGGCCGGGCCCTGTGAACGGGCCATCTGTGAAAAGGAGGCTTTGTGAGTGGGCTTCATCAGAGTGCACTGACCTCAGCAACCCCGCCACACAGCCTCTTTCCTACACACACAGAAATACTTAGATACACAACTCTGATCTCATGTGGAAACTAGTTAAGTCAAATTTAGGACTTTTATTTTCTGCATTCACCAAAGTAGAGAGTGTCACCTGGAACAGTCTAAAAACAGTTACACCTTTAGAGATGCTGACCCATCCATGCACGTCCACAGTCGTCCAAATGCTAGCTGGCGTTGTGATTGGCTCTGGTTGTTTAACATGCAGAAAAACCGTTGTCCGCTATTTGAGAGCAGCAGCTGAAAACTACAGTAAATGTATGAAATCAGCACGTGAGCTTTGTGCATCTCAATGATTTCCTCCTTTTAGCCTTTTTAAGCACGTGTTCTTTTGTCTTTTTCAGGTGATGCAGCTGCAGAGGGAAAGCGGAACGGCAGAGGAGCACAGTTTAGATAAGGAGGCGAGGAAGTGGGCGAGCCGTGTGGCCCGGGAATACAAGAGTATTGTCCACACGCAAAGGGTGAGAACCATAGCAGGCTCGGTAAAACTCTTACTTTTTATAAAACACGAGATTGGATCACGAGCATACAGAGCTTTTGTTAAGAGGTATCGGTCCTCAGAGCATCTTTTAACTCATTCACTGCCAGTGACGACTAAAGTCGTCATTTGCATGTTTTTACTGTGTGGGTGTCAGAACGAGCCCCTGCACCATGAGAACAAACATCTCAGCTCTAAAGCCGATCTTCATCCGCGTACGTCACACGTCACGTGATCAGGAAGCAGAACATCCATGTGTTAGGAGATCGTTTTGGGCCGCTGCTGTAAAAAAAAAAAGTGAGGCGCAAACCGGAAAAGCTTCTGCCGATCACAATTCAACAACGGATTATGAGAGAACGGATAAGGCTCGAAACGCGCGGATTCTTCCTGATGTAAGACGTGAGTCTCCGCTTTGTTTTGTTAGTTTTGGCGTCGACATCATCCTAGCGCGCACCTTTCTGAGACTCAAAAAAAAAAAACTAAAAACGGTGAGAAACGCTGGCAGTGAATGAGTTAAACAAACCATATTTATATATCTGTCAATAAAAGCAATAGAAAAAGGAAGAATGAAAATGTGAGTGAGGATCAGGCGGTAGATCGAGAGCCTGGCTTTCCGGCTCAGCTCCTTCACCACAACAGACGGTTCAGCGTCCGCATCACTGCAGACGCTGCCCCAATCCGCCTGTCGGTCTCCTGATCCCTCCTTCCCTCACTCGTGAACAAGACCCAGAGATACTTGAACTCAGCTGCTCCCGATTGTAAACCAGCTTGTTGCCATGGTTATGCACCATAACAAATGCTCAAAAAGTGAAAAAATAGCGGTAAAAATCCCTAAGCTTCACAGCACCAGAAACAGAAAAGCAAAACGTCCAAAAGAACACACTTTTCTTGAGAATCAGAAGAAAAAACGTCAAAAAAAAAGACAAAACGTAGATATAGACAACAGAGCTACTCCAAAATACAGCCACCCAGAGCTGCGCAGTTCTGGAACGAGCAAGATCCTGGTTCTGGTCTATAGGGCCTTACATGGACAAGCACCATCTTACATTGGTGATCTTCGTAGTCCCTACACCCCCAGCAGGTCCCTGAGGTCCAGTGATCAAAGCCTACTGGTTGTGCAGCACCAGGCTAAAGGTCAAAGGTGACAGATCATTTGCTGCTGTGGCCCCCAGACTCTGGACCTCTCTCCCCCTGAGCCTGAGATCAGTGGACTCAGTGGTCTCCTTTAAAAAGCAGCTGAAGACTCACTTGTTCAGGCTGGCTTTTGTACGACCTTCTTCACCACTCTCTCTCTATTCTGCTCTCCCCACCTATTCCACCTTCCTCAGGATCCACTGATTTCCCTCTTTCCTGTTCACTCTCTCTCTCTCTTTCTTGACATTTGTTATCACAATTGTCTATTTTTTGCTCATTTTAAATATATTTTTAACCATTTTCTAAATTATTTTTATATTTTTACATTTTTTGTTTTTGTGAAGCACCCTGTGGTTTTTATCTTGAGAGGTGCTATAGAAATGATATTTTCTTCTTCTTCCTCCACTTGAGGAAGGACCTCTCCCCCGACCTGGAGTTGGCAAGCCAGAGAACCAGAGGTGCTGATCCTCGTCCCAGCTGCGGCTGGAATATTTGTAAAAGTGATAGTCTTACCCTGTACTGGGATATAATGTAGTCAATATGTCATTTTTTGCTAAGTCTCCATACACAATTATTGTAAAATACTGTTAGAGGTGTGTGTTGACGAACAAGAGGCGTTGCTTCCAGCCGTAATCATGGAGGTAGGACGACGGGCTTAAAGTGCAATACATAATATCTGCCACTAGATGGTGCCTTGTGGAAGAAAAACTCAGTTTCTGCTTCAGCTGTGATACAAAACACCGGATGTTTCTAGAAAGACCAGTCTAGTGCAGCTGATAATAATAAATGTATATTAGTGAGCCGTCAATAGGCCTTCACACAAGAAGTCAGGTTTATGGGAAAGTATTAACTTGGAATCATTCGTATACAGGTGCTGGCCAGTAAATTAGAATATCATCAAAAGGTTGAAAATATTTCAGTAATTCCATTCAAAACGTGAAACTTGTACATTATATTCATGCAATGCACACAGACCAATGTATTTCCAATGTTCATTACATTTAAATTTGATATTTATAGGTGACAACCAATGAAAACATCAAATCTGGTATCTCAGAAAATTAGAATATTCTAAAGGCCAATGAAAAAATGTTTGTTTCTCTAATGTTGGCCAACTGAAAAGAATGAACATGAAAAGAATGTGCATGTATAGCACTCAATACTTAGTCGGGGCTCCTTTTGCCTCAATAACTGCAGTAATGCGGCGTGGCATGGACTCGATCAGTCTGTGGCACTGCTCAGGTGTTATGAGAGCCCAGGTTGCTCTGATAGTCGTCTTCAGCTCCTCTGCATTGTTGGGTCTAGCGTATTGCATCCTCCGCTTCACAATACCCCATAGATTTTCTATGGGGTTAAGGTCAGGCGAGTTTGCTGGCCAATCAAGGACAGGGATACCATGGTCCTTGAACCAGGTGCTGGTGGTTTTGGCACTGTGTGCAGGTGCCAAGTCCTGTTGAAAGGTGGAAGTCTGCATCCCCATAAAGTTGGTCAGCAGCAGGAAGCATGAAGTGCTCTAAAACTTCCTGGTAGACGGCTGCATTGACCCTGGACCTCAGGAAACAGAGTGGGCCAACACCGGCAGATGACATGGCACCCCACACCATCACTGACGGTGGAAACTTTACACTGGACCTCATGCAACGTGGATTCTGTGCTTCTCCGCTCTTCCTCCAGACTCTGGGTCCTTGATTTCCAAAGGAAATGCAGAACTTGCTTTCATCAGAAAACATAACTTTGGACCACTCAGCATCAGTCCAGTCCTTTTTGTCCTTGGCCCAGGCGAGACGCTTCTTGCGCTGTTTCTTGTTCAAGAGTGGCTTGACACACGGAATGCGACACCTGAATCCCATGTCTTTCATGAGTCTCCTCGTGGTGGTTCTTGAAGCGCTGACTCCAGCTGCAGTCCACTCTTTGTGGATCTCCCCCACATTTTTGAATGGGTTTGTCGTCACAATTCTCTGCAGGGTGCGGTTATCCCTAGAGCTTGTACACTTTTTTCTACCACATTTTTTCCGTCCCTTCGCCTGTCTGTTAATGTGCTTGGACACAGAGCTCTGCGAACAGCCAGCTTCTTTAGCAATCACCTTTTGTGTCTTGCCCTCCTTGTGCAAGGTGTCAATGATTGTCTTTTGGACAGCTGTTAAGTCAGAAGTCTTCCCCATGATTGTGGTGCCTTCAAAACAAGACTGAGGGACCTTTTAAAGGCCTTTGCAGGTGTTTTGAGTAAATCAGCTGATTAGAGTGGCAGCAGGTGTCTTCTATATTCAGCCTTTTCAGAATATTCTAATTTTTTGAGATACCAAATTTGGAGTTTTCATTAGTTGTCACTTATGAATATCAAATTTAAATGTAATGAACATTGGAAATACATTGGTCTGTGTGCATTGCATGAATATAATGTACAAGTTTCACGTTTTGAATGGAATTACTGAAATATTTTCAACCTTTTGATGATATTCTAATTTACTGGCCAGCACCTGTATTACATAATAGTCTTTAGTTGTTTCTAAATAAGTAGAAAACTCCCCATCAGGGGTTGTAAATCTGCTGCTCTGGAGCCTCATGTGGCTCCTAGCTGCTAACAGACTAAAACAACTCAAGCCTGACTTCTTAAACGTCGGACGGTTGGCCGTTAAAATCACAATTAATTCATACTTTGTTGTTGTTGTTTTTTTTTTACATCATTCTGGTGAAGATTAGTGCTATATTTATGTTTGACTGGGCAAATTTTCCTAAATTCCTACAAAAGTAGGATTTTTCTGAACAAAACATTTTTTATATTGTACAGAACTATAAAGTAATATTATGTGTTTTGGCATAAACTCTTAATTTGAAGGGCGAGTGGCTTAACACAGTTAGTTTATTATGAGGAATAATTGTGGCTCTTTTATTCATAAATGTTTCAGAGTTCTGGAGAACATTGAGTCGAGGTTATTTTCTGTTCTTTAAGTGTAATTTGGAGACGCCTCAGTCACACCGGCCCCTTGTCATCTAAACTCCACTTTAGTGGTTCAACTGAAAGTTGACGTTTTGCTCCAGAGCAAGACTTTATGCTGGTTTGGTGAGGATACACCTGAAGACTGCACACACCCACCCGTTACACCTCCGTGTTAAAGATAACGGTGATGAAACGAGACGGAGGTCAGTAGTTAGTCATCTGATTTATTATCAGATGTGTTTCCAGGATGATGTGATCACACCGTTTCCAGTCAGACAGGAAGTGGGTTGGTCTTCAGAGCGTGACGTCATTACGGGATGGTTTCCATCCACTCGCGTGTTTTTGTTTATAATCTGGATGATGTTTGTGGTTTGGCTCCAGGCCCTGGAGGAGTACGGGACTCATGAGACGTCGGAGCAGAACAGCAGCGATCTGGAGACCAAGATGGAGGTGGCGAGGCAGAGTCTTCGGAGGGCAGAGGTGAGACTAAATAAATCTTATTCATGTCTTAATGTGGCCCCAGTGCGCCACCTGCTGGTGGGAAAGAACAGACAAAACTGCTCACCTCCTTCTAATTAATTATCCTAATTTCATTCATCTAAAGGTTTCAAGTTTAGGAAAACTTTGTTAGTCTGCATAAAAGTACGACCACAACAGAAACCCTTTTTTTCCAACATTCAATTCAATTCAATTTTATTTATATAGCGCCAAATCACGACAAGAGTCGTCTCAAGGCACTTCACATAGTAAACATTCCAATTCAGGACAGTTCATTAAGCCAATCAGAAATAATTTTCCTATATAAGGAACCCAGCAAATTGCATCAAATCACTGACTAGTGTCAGTGACTATACAGCAATCCTCATACTAAGCAAGCATATAGCGACCGTGGAGAGGAAAACTCCCTTTTAACAGGAAGAAACCTCCAGAGAATCTTGGCTCAGTATAAGCAGCCATCCTCCACGACTCACTGGGGATCGAGAAGACAGAGCAGACACACGTGCACGCACGCGCGCACACACACACACACACACACACACAAAGACAAAGTAATGTGTCTATAGTTATATTGTGATTTCTTAGTAAATATTCTATTTGGTGAGAGATAAACTTTATAGTATTTATCCTAGTGGATCTATAATTAAACGGATAAACTAGTAGTAGCACATCCAACGTCAAGGAAAGCAAAAAGTTATTATCAGGAGAGGGAGAATGTTTAAGTGGTTAGCAGCAGTGTGCTAGCCGATAGCCCCCTCCATGAGGCCACCACAGCTCAGCAGAACATCACTGTAGCTTCTGGGGAGAAAAACACTTAGAGAGAAAATAAAGTTAATAGCTGAAATTGCAGAAAGTAATACAGTTGAAGAGCAGACTGTAGAAGAAAGCAGTAGAGTGTGAAAAGTGGTCAGTGTGTCCTCCAGCAGTCTAAGCCTATAGCAGCATAACTACAGAGATAACTCTGGATAATCTATCCTATTTAGATGGTGGCATGTTGGAGGCAGGGCAAGGGAGAGCCGCCTCTACCGACTGTACACTCCACCATGCGGTTTTAGTTCAACATTTCTGTTTTAATCAGACCGTGAAGGTGAAAGCAGAGGCCCGGCTGGACCTGCTGAGGCAGGCTGGCGTCGCTGTTGAAACGTGGCTGAAGAGCGCCATGAACCAGGTGATGGAGGAGCTGGAGAACGAACGCTGGAACAACCTCAATACCCACGATCCTTCACTCTCCGTAAGAGCCGGGAGGGTCGCAGTAAAACCCAAACGAAGTGAAGACGTGATAATTTCAGTGGTTCATCCTTTCCTTTCAGGGAACGGCAGATTTGGATCGAGAGGATGAGGAGGAGATGGAGGACAGTGGGGAGGTGTTGGATGACAGCAGCTCCAGCCCCTCCAGCACCCTGAAGAACTACCCGCTCACCTGCAAAGTGCTCTACTCCTACAAGGTAACAGCTATCAGCGGATTTACACAAACCAGACCTGCAGAACTGGATGTTTGAATTTACCTGTTCAGATTTGAATCTGATCGTCTCGTGTTTTTTCAGGCATCTCAGCCAGATGAGCTCACTATAGAGGAACAGGAGATCCTGGAGGTCATTGACGATGGAGACATGGAGGACTGGGTCAAAGTACGCTACATCTCCTCTCATGTCAGACTGAATTTGTTAACCGAGGGGATCATTTCTGCCTGACGAAGTTTCTAGAGATGCGTTGAAATGATTCTTCATCACATTCTTGTTTCTCCTCATGAACCCTTTTCAGACCCTTGTTCCTAAAGTCAGAACACACCTCGAGTGGACTGTACCTCCAACCTCCCACCAGGACGTGCTTTTATGGTTTGTGTGCATGCTCTGTTTTCCCAGGCCAGAAACCGCAGCGGACAGATTGGTTACGTCCCAGAGAAGTACCTGCAGCTTCCTTCCTCCAACAGCTTACTGAGCATGCTGCAGTCTCTAGCTGCGCTGGACGCTCGATCCCATTCCTCCAGTAACTCGACTGAACCTGAGACCGAACTCCCGACCGGCTCAGTTAACGGGGACTCCGGCGGTGAGGGTTTTTATGTCTTAACAGATAAAGTTCCTCAAGTCTCAAATCAGAAATAACTCAACAAAATAAAAGACGTGGAAAGAAGAGAAGAATTAAAGAAGGAAAGTAGAGTTTTGGAGGTAACTTCCATCTCTTTGCAGCGGTGTCATTTGCGAAGGCCTTGTACGACTATGCGGGACAAACGGACGAAGAGCTGTCGTTTCCAGAAGGCGCCATCATCCGTATTCTGAATAGAGAGACCCATGAAGACGACGGCTTCTGGGAGGGCGAATTTAACGGCGTCGTCGGCGTCTTCCCTGCGGTTCTGGTGGAGGATCTGTCGGGTGTTGGTGAGAACGGAGGTGGACAGAGAGAGAGCAGCACACAGGTTTGTCGAAGTTAAGGGAACGAGAAACTACTAATGATTGTTTTACTCAGGTGATGTCATGTTTATTGTGTTCTAACCAATAAGAAAGCTGCATTTTTATGTCATTTGTGTTCCAGGCTTCTCTCTCCGCTTTGGTCCAGTGCGACCGCTCCCCCTGTAGTCCCTTCCAGTCTGTGCCTCTCCACAGCAGCCCCCTCCAAACCCCCACCACATCCTCCCCTGGATCCAGCCCCTGCAGCACCACCAGCTCTCCTGTTGGCCGACCGCCCTCCTACCACAACGGACACCACAGGCCACCCTCCGCTTCACACAAGAGCCCATATCACAGTAAGTCTGCAGTAAAAGTGGGGAAAAAAAACCTGATGAGATCCTGGATTATAATCTGTGTCCCCCCTCCCTCCTCCTTCAGGTCCAGCTCAAGGATCCCCCCAACCTCCCAAATATCCAGAGAGCGGTGCCGGCACCCTCCGACCTGTGAGTAGCATGCAGTGAAACCTTTAACCTCACATTGATCATAAACCGACTGATGAACATCTGCAGGTCCGTGCTGCTCCTCCGCCTCCGAAGCAGCATCCTCGTGGGCAGGTGAAGCGCCGAGAAGAGGTGGAGATCACGCTGGTGTGAAGACGTGCCTCCGTTGTGCCTCAAGGCAGGAGAGGCCCTGCGCTCAGACCTGACCCGGGTCTGTGTGCTGGAGAGGAAGGTTGTGCCTTTAAATCCCAGATATTCACCCAGATTTACAAAACGCTCAGTCCAACATCCAGCTGCTCCAATTGGATGTAAAGCATGTTCTGTCCCCCAAAAAGGAAAAATGAACCTGGTGCTATTGGAGAGATTTATTCCTTTAATCATGATTTCATTTCAGTAACCTGGTTTTAGAATTTCCCCTGAAGCCATTTTGACATTTGGAGGCGATTAGCTTAAGACTAAGCAGGAAGCTAAAGTCTTCGCTCTTTGTAAAGGTCCCTCAGAGATATGAGCTGAACTCTGGCTGATGTCTAAACTATCTACACACGTTTATTCTGGAGGTTGGGACTTGGTGACCCCTCACATGCACTCTTAAAGGTTAGGAACTCTGAAAAGCCATTTTAAAATGTTTTTTTTTCTGATTATAATCAGTAACTTGAGTGTTTCGTGCAGGCTGAACAGAAAATAGTCTCCTACACCTATCCTGCAGTAGCTTCTGATAGAAAACAGACGGTGAAACTCTAGGATTAGAAAATCTTCACAGATCTACGTCGTACTGTGAATCTTCATTCATGGACTCACTGATATCGACTCACGACGAGGAATGCTGTTGTTTTAACGTCTGGTAATCGGCAGCGGACATTTTGGCTAGTTTAAGCTAATTGTTAGCATTAGCAACTCCACCTCACGGCTGCTCCAGGCTTGTGGTATTTGTGGAGGACATCAGCGTTGCTCGTCAGTGGTAGAGTTGAGTTGCTGTTATCCGATCCGGGGTCAGATTTCCAAATATCAGGAAATAAGACTCAAAATCCTGCCGTCTGAAGCTCAGCTGTAACGTTGCAGGCTTGGTCCTGCTGAGGCAGGGGCCTGTGGGCTTTTTGTGCCCTGAGTACTGCCTGCAAGACATTCATTCTTACTAGAGACCACCGCGAATGTATTGAATGAACGAGTAATCCACACCTTAAGGTCAAAGCTAATCTCTCCACAGTTTCATTTTTATTTTTTATCTCTGCAGAGAACACAAATCTTTTCTGCAGAGAACAAATAAACAAAGTTGTTCCCCTGATTGATTAATTTGTGGGCATTAGTATTTTTCTATCCCCTCGTAATCATATTGATTGAGTTTTAAGGGTTTTTATTGTTGTAAAGGGATGGCTTCTCATGGAGCTACACGTGACTCCGACACAAATCTCTGCGGCGCCAGCACGGGCGAGGCCGGTCCTCTCCAGCGACACACGTAGCCGGAAACGGCTTTACACAAACAAGGGAAAAGTGGCAATTCTACTTGTGATTGTTCCGTCATTAGGAATGATCAGATAACGGATCTTTCATCCTTCAGTACGTTAGTTCTCTTTGCTCCATGTCTTTAGAAAACACACAATAGTCTAACTTGTTGTTTTTGCCTTGTAACGTACGGATTAGAGGTGTTTTTGTGACATTGATGATGCCGGTATCGACTCTGGGTTTGGTGTCGGTTCACACTGAAGTTCTGTGCGGTTTAAAGACCTTAATGTTTAAGGAGGAAACCATCTGAGCTACTAGCTGTCCAGTTTAAAACCTATACTGTCATAGTGAAGCACTTTTATTTACCTCTTTTATTCCCTTCCAGTATTGTTGTTTGAGTTTTACCAGCTGTATTGGTATAAATATGCTCTTGTTATTTTAGCCTTTAATAGCCACCGTAGTGTCTTTGAGAGTCTGACTTAGCGATCAAACTGTTTTTGAAACATGGATAGTTTACAGAGCGCTTGGAGATTGATATCTGTACAAAAGTGAACATTTATTTCTTTTTAATTAGCGTTAGAAATAAAAATCCTTGAAATGGTTGTTCAGTTTGATCAGATTAGGAGATATCCGTCAGCCTTGTTGCTGTGTTCTCGTTGATCTCCTTGAGATCTAAATGACATCAAACTTATTTTTGAAGTTTGCATTTACCCTGTTGTATTAAAAAAGTTTCATTAAAAAAGTCTCTTCCATCATAGAAGTCGTAAACTGGTTCTGATTTCATAGCTTCAGTTCAGTAAAGAGAAAGCCCACATTTCATGTCTGCTCTGAAGAAGCTGCAGAGCGTCATTTACACACCAGTGGATGTTTGAATATTTATTGTGTACAAAAAAATGTGAAATAAAGATACCTTAAGTGAGATGAACAAGACTTGTTTGATGTAGTTTTCTTTTGTTGCTTATTGAAGAGGACATTTGCAAAAGTCACCTTTTACATCCTTTTTTGCTGCCGTGCCACACTCAAAACGTGAATAAAAACAGTCCATCTGTTTTCTGTCTGCCTTTTGTTTCTGGAGTTTTGTGCCTAAATCAAGATGTTGAGAAAAAGCCCCCATTTATGATGTCACAAATGAGGAAATTAAGATAGAACCACCCTGCATGTGCAAGAGAGCTGCTGCTGGAGTAGCAGCGGCTCTACTCTAAGCCCCTCACAGATATTGGAGCTTCTCGGCTTATAGCAGCTTATTGACCTTTGCACCAACGTCGCCTAATCACGTGGGTCGGGTCCACCATGGTGGACGGCAAAAGCATGTAAACAGTGAGCGACACGATTACTAAACAAAGGGAAAAGTAGAGCCTGAAATTGTTTTTGCGATCAAAGTAAAAACAAAACTCCTCCAGCATTCCTTCAACTAGTTCATGCCCAGTTCAGTTAGCAGAAGAAGTAGCGCATCTAGCGGGGGCTCATAGAGAGCGGTATGCTAACTAGCTTACCAACGTTAGCTTACGTTCTCTCTGCAGCTGTTCACCGATGTAAACATGTTGCTGACTTTGCCTGAATTCACCCCGCTGGATTTATAACTTTATGTTGTAAACAGCGTTTCACTTTACACCAAAGCTGATTGTTAAAAAGTCCGGATCCCCACCAGCTTCTGTTGCTGGTGGTGTTACCGGGTTCAGCTGCTGCTCTCACACCAGAATGAGAAGATCTCTGAACGCCGACGCTCATATAAATAAATAACGTAATTTTAACACATGTAATCATACATCGGAGCTTTAATATTGTTAATAATTGTCTCGCTGTACACTACAGTGGACGGAGCGCAGCCTCCGTGGTGAAATACCCGTCCATCAGGATTATCATTAACCAGTATAAACACATCACATTTATCCCTGTCCCTGTCTTCCTCGTGAAATAAATTAACGTTGATCGTACCCGCTAAACCCCTTTTTTTCCTGCAAATCTGAGGCCTGCTAGTCCGCTTGATTGATCGCTGCAGTTCATCCCCGTCCTCAGTCTCCATCAAAGTTATTAAAAAAACAAAACGAGTTGAGTTTACGTCCTTGTCTGTTAGTGCAGCCGACCACGCAGCAAGCTTAAACCATTTTACTGTCAAATCAACTAAATAAAAGGCTACAAACTGCCTTGTTTTGACTAGCTTCACTGGAGTTTCTACGGGTGTAAATGGTCTTTTTGCCGTCCATCATGGCGAAGGGGCGGTCACATGAGTGGCGTGACGTCACGTGCAAAGGGTCAATAAAGGGGTAGGTGGGCGTGGCCAGCTCCAGCTTGTTTTCTTAAAGTGACAGAGCCCTAGAATGGCGTATTCTGGAAGGTAATAAAAATGTTAAAAATTAAACTGCTGAAAGAGCTTAAAGTGAGAAGGTTTGAGTGTAAAGAACGTCATAAACATTTTGTATGCATTATAGGAGTTTTATATCATAAGGAAAGAAAATCATGTCACCTTTTAAGAGACACTATGCAACTTTTTCATATTTTTAAACAGTTTTCTTGAGCCAGTATGTGCTAAAATGACCTTTTACAGGGTTAATGAAATGTCACCCAGCCCCTATGGCCACCTGTGGCCTGAATCTGGTCACTTGGACTTAAAAAAATGGAGTTTGCATACCTGGTACTGCAGTCTGCTTCCAGCAAGTTTCCTGCATGTTTTAGATCGCGGACACAGCTGATTTGTTTAATTTAATGAAGAATCACTCCTGTAGACACAAATGAAGGCTGGGGAGATGTTCCAACTGTTAGATTAAGGTGTTAAAAAGATGAATGTACAGCTAGGAGATATATTTTGCTTTTGGTGCTACTAAATGGACACTAGGGGGTGCTAAAAGCAAGCCAAAACTGCCTAGTCTCCCTTTAATGTCAAAAAGAAGTTTAATTTTTCAGCAACGACACAAAGATCCTCAGAGATGACGTGTTGAGTAAAGAAGGATACTTAGTTAAATAAAATCAAAATTAATCATGAATCTTATCAAAAACAAATCAGGGTATTTTTTTGGCTCTCCAAGTGATTTTGTGTGGCCCTTAATTTTATAACATTAGGCATTTATTTATATAACATAGGCATTTATAGAAAATTGGATTTTTGTTTTTCCATCAGGATTTTGATGAAGATCGACTCTTTTTAACATCAGAGTTCATTATCGTGTGGCCAATTTTGAGCAGGAGAAATTTAAAAATGAAATATAAAATATTTTTTGACAGTTTTTAATAGAAAAATGTTTGCATTCTATAAAAAATTTCATCTTGACAATTTTGGCCTTATCTTAAAAACAACCCATTGGTCAAATTTTGATGTAATATTTGCTGCCCCCATGTGGCCAAAGTAAATAAATGTAAATAAACTGCTAGACAGATGCAAGTTGTGACAACTGAACTTGTTGAAATATTTGTCTCAACTTGATTTAAGGATGAATTTATTACATATTTCAGATGACTGAAACTCATGAAGCGTTTCAGTTTGAATGGGTGCAGTGATTCTGCCTTAGTTGTCAAAAAGACTGTTTTAGAAAAACAGTTTTGTCCGAAAACCAAAAATATGTTAAAGATTTGGATGCAACAAAACTGTTTTCAGAAAGGTTGCAAAATTTCTTAAGGCTCATTTGTTAACCTCTGACCTTTGACATCAACATTGACCTTCCTACATATCTGATCTAATTCACATCAGCACTCCTGTTCGCGCGTTCTTTGTTCCTCTTCTGTTCCTCAGCTCTCGACTACCCCTCTCACCTTGTCACCATGGGGAGTAAAGCTTTCAGCCACCCTGCTCCCCACCTCTTCCCCCTGATCTTCGCACCACTCACTCTCTCCCACTTTTTAAATCAAAACTCAGAACCCACCTCTTCAAACAAGCCCCCGTAGTTTTAACTACATTGTTTAAAATGTTTGCATCTTATTGTTTTACATATTTCTGTACTGTTTTTATCTTACTTTATTTATTTACTTTTATTTCTAGAGGATAAAACCCCTTGAGATGCATCATCTCGTTTTCAAGGGGGTCCTCTTTTAAAACATTGAAAGATAGCAAGACTATCAGTGGCATAAGCCAAAACTAAGTAATACAAAGAGACCAAATAATTGAACAAGAAAGAAAATAATGATACAAAAATTAAAATAAAATAAACAAGTTAATAGGATATTTGTTTTCCCCATTGCTGTAAAGTGTCCTTGGGTGTCATGAAAGGCACTTTTAAATAAAATGTATTATTATTATTATTATTATTATTATTATTATTATTATTATTATTATCAATAACAGACTTTTTACCGTCTGCAAAGTTCTGTATATTAATATAACGTTTATTATGTGTGCTCAAATCATTTTTATAAACTGACGAGAAACAGGTTATATATATATATATATATATATATATATATATATATATATATATATATATATATATATATATATATATATATATATATATATATATATATATATATATATATATATCAAAGCTTTTAATTTCTTTTTAATCCACTCGATTTCTAATTTGTGTATTTTATCACCGGAAGTCGTGTCTCTAGTTTCAGCTAGCTTGACATTGGTGTGGAAAAGATGGCTGCTTCGGCGGCAATAGCGAGTTCTTCCCCCGGTTTGTGTCCAAATTACGCCGTGATTTGCTCTTTCCTGGAGCGGTACGGAGCCTTGCTGGACTTACCGGAGCTTACATTTCCCCAGCTGGAGAGATACCTGCAGGACACATCCTCAGGTAGGGCAGAAAACACGCAGCAGCTAGCGAGGACGAGCAGAGCCTTCAGCGTTGCACTAATGATAATGGAGCTACGAGCTAACGTTAGCTCGCTGTGTGTTATTGTGTGTGTGTTTTTTAACCATATTTTTTACTTAAATTCTTGTTAATTGCAGCCCAGGCATGTTGTTGGAAGTGGGAAATGCATTTAAGCACATTTTAGCGTTGATTAGAGTTGGAAACTTCCGAATTATTCGATGATTTCTGTCACTTTTCAGCTTTTGAATTGAGCTTAATTTTTTCCAGCCTTTATCTGCTGCCGCTGCTTCTCACAACAACAGACACAAATGTGCGATGAAAACGCTGATAAACGTCATGATAGTGCACACAGCCAACGTGGGTTTTAAATTACTGTCCTGGTAAACACGCATGTGTGTGTGAAACATCCTAGAAACTGTGCACTTTATATACAGTTAAAATAATTCGTAAGGTAGTGGTTAGCTGAGCTTCTGCAGAATGATCCGCAAAAGTATTGACATCCGGCTGAAACTTTCAAAATAAAACTATTACCTTTAAAATTTTCACATTTTCTGGCAGTTCACATAACTAGTTACTGCATGCTTGTGATAATTTCACTCAATAATTTTCTATTTGAGTTAATTTGAAAAAATTAAATTTATAAATTTTTGTTTGTTGTACTTTCGGCATTGAGGCTAATTTTAGGAGGCTTGACGGTTTATTGTGCTTCCGGTTTGAAGCGCTTCTGATTGGGTTTTAATTTTGTGCCTCAAATTTACAAGTGGTGTCACCTCGTGCGTTCAGGTAGCACCATGGTAACGTGATTTACCTTAATGTCAAAAGAATAAACCTTTTAGCCATTTAAATACTGTCCTTATTTCGTTTTCCTTGGGGTCTGTTGTAAATACATAGGAAAATTTATAGAGTAAATTTTACTCAAATAGAAAAAAATTTACTCTTGAAAAAGACTATATTTGGTCCCAGTCTAAATAGAGTAAAATTTACTCTCTTATTAGTGCAAAAATTTTACTCCACAAAATGAAAATTGACTCTATTGTGCAAATTTATTTTTACTCCAAGTTGAATAGTATGTTACTCACAGTGGAAATAAATGTAACTCTAGTAATAGGTCAATTTTACTCTGACTTGCAACATATTTTACTCTGAAGTGAATTGAACTTTATTCTAAATGGTATTGAATTTTGCTCTGGAACGAAATAAAATTGTAATCCCATTGGAATTGAATTTTATTCTGTAAAGTGTACTCAAAATGTATATCTTCTTTGTACTCTAGACAGAATTACAAATAGAATGGTACTATTACATACAACCAGATTTTTGAGTACAATAAATAGATCAGAAATCAGTCTTAACAGCCTCCTTTATTGTTCACAAGAAACAGTATGGTACAATATAAAAACTGCTATCACCATGACTGTTTGACTGTCATTTGTAAATCAAAAGCTTTAGAACACAAAAGCTGTTCAACACAAATGACATGAGGTCCAGCTCTTGTAGAAAAAACTTGAAAAGCATTGAAATGCTCATTCAGACACACTGTCTGCATCACAAAAGTAACCAATTCTCATCTTTCATAACAACACTGTTGATCTTATGAAAAACTGGCATAACACGATGAACTTTTACACAAACAAGAAAGTCTGCACGGTATATATTTCCATGGTGTTTGGCCCATCTAACATTTAACACCTTGGTGTTGAGTGGTAGCTGAAGAGTCTCTGCAATATCACCACCCCAGTTTAATGCTTTTTTTAAATTTATATTTTCTTCTTATTGAAAGTTTTGTTAAGGTACACAAAATATATAACAACAATAACAATAACAATTGGCACAGTGGAACCGTCGGGTCCGCCCTGTTCCGGGAGAGCCATCCTCCCTTCTCTTCAGAGTCCCATGACCTCTGGTTTTGTCCATATATCGGGGTCCGTGTAGCCCTTAATGTTCCGCCTCTGATGATGATCTGAAGGGGTGCTTCCAGTCCATTATGAAGTGTTCGTATCCACAACAGGCTCTTCCACTAAACATATGGGAGTAGGTTAAACCTTAGTTATACACTCTGCCCTCCATCATCGCGTGGTATTGCTGTTAGTAAATCTCTCCCATTTCTCCCAATTCTTATGAAAACGATCTAATTTAAGGTTCAAAAAGGCTGTCAGTTTTTCCATCTTATATATTTCCTCAACTATTCCCTGCCAGGCTTTCCTTGTTGGGGCATTCTTCTCTAGCCATTTCCTGGTAAGCGCTTTTTTGCCTGCAGCCAGCATGATATTCATTAAATATTTGTCTCTTGTGGGGACTACTGATGGGATATCACCCAAATAAACAGTACAGAAATCCTTAACTACTTCACAACCCGTCACGACTGTCATTGTGTCGACCATCTCCCTCCAATATGGCTGAATTACCGGGCATTTCCAAAAAATATGGAAGTGGTCTGCCATGTTTTCCCCACATTGTCTCCAGCAATGTCCTTCTCTCTGTTGGCCTCTCTGTTTGCATTTTATTTTAGGGGTTATAAAGAACCTGGTAAAATGTTTCCAAGTGAATTCCCTCCAGTAACCCGAACTGGTAGTTTTCCTCTGTGTTTCACATATAGTTGCCCAACTTTCATCTGATATGGTGACTTGTGCTTCCCTTTCCCATTTAATTTTTATATAATTAGTTGACTGGTCTTTGAGTAATTGTAGATTCTGTTAAAGTTTAGTAATTTGTTTGTTTTTAATCTTACTTTGATATGCCTCTTTTATAAGGGAGACTAGGCCGTCCCTCTGTTCTTCCGTGTTTTTTTATGTTACTGTTGAAATAAGACCTGACTTGGAGATATCTAAAAAAAAAATCCAGGTTTTCCAGACCATATGTGTCTAGGGCTGCAACTAACGATTATTTTCATAATCGATTAATCTGTCGATTATTTTTTCGATTAATCAGTTTGTTATTGTTTAGCTGTTTAACCTATACAAGTGATGAATACATTTCAGTTAAGAAAAAGAAAAACATAGGAGAATTGTGCAGTTGACTGCAATCTATTTTATTGCACATGAACACAGCGGTGTAAAATGAGCTAAACAGTGCAAAATATCAGTCCAGAAAATTTTTTGGCATCAAAATATAAGAGGTAAATTCCATAAAAATTATGTAGAATCTAGAATAGAGTTTGTAAGTGCTATGCATTGCTGGGGGGTGAGTGAGTGTCTTGTTCCCCATGTAGTTGTCCATCGTTGCTTGTTTTTTTCTGCATAAGAAACACAAATTGACTGACATAAGTACACATATAAAACAAAGCAGCACACACACTACAACACTAAATCAATATTATATTATTTGAATTAATTAACAATATACAGTGATCATTTATTTTGATAAAAATGCGTTGTGAGGCGTTTTACAGTGTTGGATAGTAAAACAGCCTTTTAATAGTAAAAGACTTTTTCTGAATTCTCCTGTATTTAAAAATTGAAAGCGTACAACTATGCCGCGTTATATTCACCTGGACACAGCTCGTCTGTATATTTTTCTCCGGAGTTGTCCTTTTTTTGAATGAGGAACATAGTTATGGGTTTGTGCCGTTTTTCTCTTAACGAGAACATTCTTATAAACAGACGTGCTAAATTTGGCAAACGCATGATACACAACACGGAGGAGATTCACGATTGCATCTAGTCAATCAGAAGTAGAACACCGTAGACTGACGCGGCAAAAAAAAAACATATTTAACATCCACTATAACGAACTCAGCTAAAACACTAAGTCCCAAATTTGATCTGCGTGTAGTATATTTAGATTGTTTATTTTCTGTTACTTACCGGGCTGGCGCTTCCTCTGCTGCATCAGCCCCCACATGTTTTCGTCTCAAATGTTCAGTTAGGGACGTCGTGCTTCCGTGCCATGCTAGATGGTTTTGGCATATTTTGCAGGTCACCCGTCTTTTCATGACATCTAGAGTGACGTGCTCCCATACTCGTGAGGTTTTTGTCCGGGGTTTCTCTTCAGTTTAGTCGCTTCTATTTTTCTTCCGTATTTCTTCTTGTTCCGCCATCTCTCACAGCAAGATGAGCGTCAATAACGTGATACGTCATGAAAACCGAGGGCACTTATTGGCTTGTTTCTTCTTCTACGGCTCCACTGGTAGATCAGTGGCTCATTACTGCCACACACTGGCGGCAAATTTAACAGATTGTAACCGATGTCAGATTGTGGTAAAAATAGACTTTATGCGGTAAAATGTGATTATTAAACAACTAATCGATGACTAAAAAAGTTGTTAACTATTTTAATAATCGATTATAATCGATTAAATCGATTAGTTGTTTCAGCTCTATATGTGTCCCTTAATTTGTCAAAACTGTGTAGTCCATCCCTCCCTGCTATTGAGCAAAATGGTCCGATCCCTTTTGACAACCATGCCGCATAGCGGCCATCTATTTGTGCCGGGGAGAATTCCCTATCGCTTGTGACCCATCTAAGTTGTTTTATGTTGATGTCTGATTCATGTTTCTCACATTTGTCAAACCATATCTTTAAAGTTGTTTTAGTCCATTCATTTAACTCTTTTTTTTCTTTTCCAGATATAATTTTTTATCCCCTAATATTGTCTGTAATGGTAATTTTAACTGTGTCATATCTAAATCTTTCCATTTTGCCACATACAATGGGTCACACCAATAGAGTAAATATCTTAATTGTGCTGCTTTAAAATAACTTTCTAAGTTTGGGAGGGAAAGTCCACCCTTCTCCCTAGGCAGTTGTAGTGTTGTGTATTTAACTCTAGGTTTGCGGTCCTTCCATATAAATCCAGAGAGCATTCTGTTCCATAGTGCAAATTGTTTGGCTTGTATATGTACCGGTATAGCTTGAAAGAGGAAAAGTGGTCGAGGCAATATATTCATTTTGATCATGTCGATTCTATTATATAAATCAAGTGGCAGTATGCTCCATCTTTGGATGTTTTCTTTTAGCTCCTTTGTAATTGGTGAGTAATTTATTTCATAGATGTCTGTCAGTATTTTGGGGATCTTAATACCGAGATATGTAATTATTTCATTGTTCCAATTAAATTTGGATATGTTTTTGATCCTTGCTGTAGGTGTGTAATTATGTGTAATCACTTGAGTTTTTTGGATGTTTATTTTATATCCAGACAGTTCTCCGAACATTTCCATCTTTGTCAATAGGTTGGGCAGACTTTTTTCTGTGTCTGCGAGAGTCAGCAGGACATCGTCTGCGTAGAGACCTATCTTGTATTCCGTCCTCCCTATCCTCATCCCCCTAATTTGGTCGTCCTCCCTAATGGCTTGTGCTAGTGGTTCGATAAATAAGGCGAATAAGGCTGGGCTGAGCGGGCATCCCTGCCGACAACCTCTTTCCAGACCTACCGCTTCAGTTAAACTCCCATTTATTTTTATTCTCGCTGAGGGTTGATAGTATAGGTTCCTAATCATCTGAATGAAAGAGTCTACGAAACCAAATCGTTCCATAGCCAGAAAAAGGTATTCCCATCGGACAGAATCAAAGGCTTTTTCTGCATCCAGGCTCAGGGCGACTGACTTGCTCGGGGTTTTATTCATATAAAATCTATGTAGGGCTTGTCTTACGCTATCTTGAATCTGTCTGTTCTTGAGAAATCCTGTCTGATCAGTGGTGGACCTTTAAAGCGCCCGAGCGCCAATGGCGCTAAATTTTCTCGTCGGGCGGTAAATACTTGACGACTTACCGCCCGGGTGGCGCCCAAGCTTTATTTGTCATTTACACACCGGCTTTCACCTGCATCATGGCCCCGCCCTGTAGGAAGCTGCCGTTTTCGTTTCGCGCGCGTGAACCTGCGCGCCTCTAGCCACGTACTGCACTTGTACGATTCGTGCACGTCCTGCACGATTCTAGTTATTGTCACGTGAACTATAAGTTCACTATTAAAGACGAAGTGGAACCACGCTAGAAACACACAAGCACGCAGGAAGATCGCGCCACCACAGGGATGGGATTTCTTGATGAAATCTCCGGCAAAACGCTTTAAAACTGGTGAGGAGAAGCGAGACAGTTCGAAATGGTATGAAGCAGAGAAGCGTGTGCGTAGGTGGAATGATTCTTGGAGGTTTAAAGAAGACGGTAGGCGCGGAGAATGGCCGTATTTGAGTTGAGTAGCGGCTCGCCTGGAAAACAGACGAGAGCAGACGGAAGCAGCAGGGGGAGTGGCTGAAAGCCGGCGTTTAACGCCGGGGACACACCAGCCGCGGAAAAGCCCGAAGCGAATCGCTCACGAAGTCCGGCCGCTGCTCGCCGCTCCTCAGTTCAGATCAGACGCGCCCCATTCGAGACGCGCCTCGGCTCAGCTGTAGTTTTTCTTTTAATTACTTGGTGTCCTCCATTTCCTCAGCTCTTTTCCTCTGTGTGTGTGTGTGTGTGTGTGTGTGTGTGTGTGTGTGTGTGTGTGTGTGTGTGTGTGTGTGTGTGTGTGTGTGTGTGTGTGTGTGTGTGTGTGTGTGTGTGTGTGTGTGTGTGTGTGTGTGAGAGAGAGGAGAGAGAGAGACTATGCTGTGAACCAGTTGTTTCTGCCAGTTGAATCTCTTGGACTTCCCTACATGTGTAGCTCGGGGGTGCCGATGGATGAAGATATCGCGTTAGCATTCACACTTGTTCAATTTTCAATTTTAATTCTGGTGCCTGTTAGCAGCAGAAACACATCCTCACGTGCTTGTGGATATCATATATTCTATATGAAAACATGACTGTAATAATAAGTAAAGGTTATCAGCTGTTCAGTGTGCTCATAGGAAACGTGACAAAAGAACACAAAATACATTTCTCCTTATGGCCTATATTGTTGTTATCATCAACGTAACATGATTTACAGAATACATGTGACCAACTAACATTTCATGTTCTACCACCGGATGTTTGGATCAGAATATGAACCAATCAGATCTTAGATCAGGTGAGAGCCAGGTGTTTCCCGTCATCCTCTAGGTTTTGCAGCCGGTGGAGAGCAACTGCAGCGCCTTGCTCCAAAATCTGCGGCCGCCTTGATCTCACGAGGTTATCGTTGCCTACGTATGCATGACGTCAGAGCAAGTCGGCGTCAATTCGGACACAAATCTAACCGGCATGCACTGCTCGCCGATCACCGCTGGTCTAATCTGCGCAGAACTGGCTCATCTAGAACACAGTCTATGGCTCGAATACAGCAAAGCGGCGTTGGTGATGTACTGCGTTGTATGCCAGAAGTATGCGACGACAAAATCGTGTTTTGTTGAGGGAACAAACAAATTCAAACTTGAATACGCTATTATGTTTGTGAACGTGTACAAAATAAAGGTTTATTACATTTAAAACGGTTCAGTTGTTATTTGGACTCGTTTTGGCAGCTGACCAGCGGGGCCGGTAGATTCTTGGCAGGGCCGGTAAATATTCAGAGTTACCGGCCCGGCTGGCCGGTTGGTTTTGAAGTTAATGTCCACCCCTGCTGATCCTCATCAATAATTTCAGGTAGTATATTTTTGAGTCTGTCTGCTATTATCGAGGTGAAAAGTCTATAATCCATATTTAGAAATGAAATTGGTCGGTATGAGCTGCAGTGCCTTCTGTCCTTACCCCCCTTCGGAATTACTGAAATTATTGCCTGTCTCCAGGATGGTGGTGCCTCCCCTCCCTCTAACACATAGTTGAAACATTTCAATAATAGTGGCGAGAGCAGATCTCTAAAGATTTTGTAATATTCTGATGTATAACCATCCGTACCCGGCATTTTATTTGTTTTTGTCTTTGCAATGGCTTTATCCAATTCTTGTTTAGTAATCTGTTGCATTAGTTTATTATTTTGTTCCCTCCCAATGTTAGGTAGGTCCAAAGAATGTAAAAATTTCTTAATATGTAGAGGGTCGACCTCTTGGGTCTGCGAGTATAATGTTTTGTAATAGTTTACAAATGAGTTTTGTATCTCTTTAGCAGTATAACACAGCATTTGAGTCTCTTCATCTTTAATACAATAAATTCCTCTTTCTTCTTCCTGTTTTTTAATTCTCCAAGCCAATAATTTCTTTGCCCTAGGGCCATAAACATAGTATTTTTGCTTGACAAATCTAGCTTTTAATTCCTCTTGTCTGTCATATAGGGCTGTCGCGGTTGAGGAATTCCCCCTGCGGTGGGTCAGGGCAGCTCAATATTGCGATATGCGATATTATTGCACCTCATTTTTATTTATGTACTTAGCAAATTTGTTTGTTAATTACTAAACTCATGGCAATATTTCCTATGAAACATTGTGCTTACACATTTAAAAAATGTTAGAAAAAAATACATGGCCATTTGTAACACTTTATTGAATGCAGATCGAAGGGCAGTAACGGCATTTTCTGACTGAACTTAAAAACAACATTCAGGAGGTTTAACTTTGAAATGCAAATTTGGCTGAAACATCTAACAGTAATAAAAAAAAAGTGCCCGTTTTGTTTTGTGGTTTAAAATAAAGTATACAAAATGAGATGTCCCAGGCACTGTCATTTCACTTTAACACACAAGAATAACTGATTTATAACTCGGTCATGTCCTTGTTACGCGCAAGGAAAACCAGCATGTTAACTTTATGTGGTTTGAGAGAGGATCTGAGAGGGGTGACAACATTTCCAGCGACACTACCCCCCCCCCCCCCCCCCCCCACACACACACACACACACCAGGGTTTTTCCTGGCCCAAACTGAGGCAGAGGTGGTACCATCCTGACCATGCGCCAGCACATGCATGCTCTGTGCTTTCAACTACCTCACTTTTTTAAAGGCAAATTGTTATAAAAGTCTCAATAATATGCATTAGATTAGTTCTCTTTTCCCATCTGATATTTATAGTTAAAATATTTTTAAATATTTGACCTACATTTCAGTAACACTTTAGGTTTGTATTAATAACACTCATCTTAGTCAAATTAACACATAAATATATCCAGTCAAATATAATGCATTTCATTAACATGCATTTGTATTGGAAATGGTAATAACATTTATTTTCTGCTGCTAACAATGTAATGGTGGCATGTCTATTATGTACTATGTAGGGTTAGGGGGGTTCCTTTTTGCCTTGGCCCGCAAAATGCCTTGAAACGGCCCTGGGTGTGTGACTTGAGTTTTGAAGGTGATCTGAATTGTATCAGATGTATAAATATGACATGTGTATAACTTATTGCTTTATACAGGTAAAAACGTGTAGTGGAGATAAGTCTCCCTATATTTAACTTTCAAGCTTTGTTTTCTTGTTTTTATTTAACTATTTCCTGTGCTGTCTGCACACACACACACACGCACACGCACATACACATACACACACACACACACACACACACACACACACACACACACACACACACACACACCAGATAAACATCACCAGCAGCTCTGAGGTCCCTTTAACTCTGAGTAAAGTCTATCTTGCATTTTTATTCATTGTTATTTTTTGGAACTTAAATTATCTTTATTGTCAAAATTCTGTGTTTTGACCCTTATGTAGCTATAAAAAAGATGCACTCTGACAGATTGACCATTTAGCAGAGTTCACTGTGGTAATACACATTAAACAGCCTCTGTGTATGAAATGTGCTGTATTAAGAAAACTAATGACTGAAACATAGAAACTGTCTCTCAATCAATTTGTTTTTGTCTTCATGGATCTGAAACGTCTGCCTGAAGGCAAAGCTTGTGCCTAGAGCGTAATTATACTTTTATATCTACACTGGTCAGGGACTGCCTGAGGATCCCTCTGTCGGAGCTGTTGGAGGTTACTGAGGAGACACAAATTTGGGCTCTGCAACCCGGACAAAGAGGAGGGGACGAAAAGGGACTGACCTTAATAACTGCTTGAATTTTATGTCTCCTCAGTCCCAAAGCTGCTGGCTGACCTTCATGTCAAGCTGCTGAGGAAGATTGGCAAGTCCGTGTCTGCAGACCGATGGGAGAAGCACCTAGTCAAGGTAAAAGATCACATTTAAGCTCAGTTCTAGGTTATCAGTGCTTTTCTGTTTGGAGTCGTGTTTGTCAGCTGAGATAATAAGTTTTCTGAAAGCTCTCAAATAAAAACTAAGATCAACTATAATCTGTAGTGCTGGGAACAAAGATCTTGCACACTGCCTGCCCTTTCTCTATACATTTAGCATTTGTTTTATTATATGTTATATGCATGTTTGCATGCGTCCTAATTTCTAATTTAAATCGGATGTTTTTTGGTAAGACAGAACTGCTGCTTTTCTGCTGCAAACTAACTTGAGCTTCATTTTTAGTAGATTCTCATCTTTATTTGTAACTTTAATTTGAGAAGTCGGACAACAGGAGCAGCAGCTGACATTTTTATAAAGATCAGTGGGAAAAAATCATCTGATCAGGAAGGAGGGGAAGGTTATTAAACTAATCATGTAGGACAGGGGTGTCAAACTCAAACTCACACGGGGCCGAAATGAAACTCTGGGACGGAGTCGAGGGCCAAACTTAATATTTTTTGAAAAAGTGACGGTAAATTTGCACGTTTTCTTTATCAACATATATGCAATTTTGAACCTTTAAATTTGGAAACAAACTTATTTCTGCATTAACACTGAATGTGGAATAACCAAATTACACACGAGCAAGTCAGTTACAAATAAAACACATCAGTGGTATTCATTACTTGTGGTATATTCAGCATTTTAAAAATCTATTCAGGATTTATGTTTTCTTGTTTATTCATTTTTCTTATTTTTTATTCTCCTTTTTTTCTCCTGTAATAAGTGTCATCGCTGCTGTGACATCTAGCTTTCCCCACTGAGGAACAATAAAGGGATTTTCTATTCTATTCATCTATCTGCAGCCTTTCCACCTCCTGTTTACTGTAGGTTAAATCTTTTCTCACGGGCCAACAACAAAATAAAAAAATCATTTTATCTTAACTCATTCACTGCCAGCCGTCTCCTGATCACTAACGGCCTTAGCTGCCAGCGTTTCTCACCGTTTTTACTGTTTTTTTAAGAGTCACAGAACGTTGCGCGCTAGCATGATGTCGATGCCAAAATAACCAAAACAAAGAGGAGACTCACCTCTTACATCAGGAAGAGTCCGCGTGTTTCGAGCGTTATCCATTCTTTCATAATCCGTTGTCGAATTGTGATCGGCAGATGCTTTTCCAGTTCGCGCCTCACTTTTTTTTTACAGGAACGGCCCAAAACGATCTCCTAATACATGGATGTGTTGCTTCCTGATCATGTGATCTGTGACGTATGCGGATGAAGATCGGCTTCAGGGCCGAGATGTTTGTTCTCTCAGCGCGGGGGCTCGTTCCGATGCTCAAACAGTACAAAAATGCAAATGGCGACTTTAGTCGTCAATGGCAGTAAATGAGTTAAATGAAAATGCAACATCTCACCTGTTAACTTTCACGTTTTGGAGCAGAAAAAGAGCATAAAACCAACATATTTAAAGCTCAGTTTGCTCCACTGGTTTACTGTGATGCTCACCTGTTCCAGCCAGATACCTGCATCATGGGGTTGATCTGAGCTGAGGAGGAGACTCCTGTTGTTTTGTTCATCTTCATCATAATAATGACAACATTAGATGACAACAGGTGCTCACATAGGTTTGTGCTGATGAACATGTCTGAGCAGCTTGACCGCGTTGTTGTGTGTCGGGGAGGAAACACGACAGCAGCCACAGAGTCGTGCTGGTTTGAGCGTGTTGCTGTTCGCTGGAGTTATATCGGCTCTGTCTGGACGTTAGTTGAAAAACTTTCTCTTTCAGTCGTGAACACATTACTGAGCGGCTAGAATCTCCGTTTCTGGGCTTCAACCTCAGAAAATAGCTGAGTGAACTCGGCGCTGAGCGAGAGGAGTGTAGTTTGTCCGAGACAGCGGAGCTGCAGACAACCAACTACCCCTGACTGCCTCGGCGCTGAAAAAACACAAAGGAGGGGGCGCGCCTGCTCCGCGCTGGCGCCGCAAAGCATCATGGGAGTTGTAGTCTTTGCGGTAAAATCGGCCAGCGGGCCAGTTTTAATATATTTTTGATATTTATCTCGCGGGCCACATAAAAATGCTCCGCGGGCCGCATCTGGCCCGCGGGCCTTGACTCTGACATATGTGATGTAGGGAAAAGGCTAATTGATCAGCAGTCTGAAGCTCGGTCACTTTTTAGATTTACTCTTCAGTCACAAAACAGTTCATCTAAATGCTGACAAAAGAAAGAAAAGGTGGATTTTAGTCAGGAGGGCTGTGAATATTTTTATTGGGTAGAGATCAGTTCTATTCATCCTCAAAAACTTTTTTTCCCCTTCACACAGCAAACATACAGTTTTAATCATGTGACCTTTTTAAGTCCTTCGCTGTCAGCGTTTCTCACTGTTTTTACCTTTTTTTTAAGATTCACAGAAAGTTGTGCGCTAGGATGATGTCAACGCCAAAACAACCAAAACAAAGCAGAGACTCACCTCTTACATCAGGAAGAATCCGCGCGTTTTGAGCGTTATCCGTTCTTTCATAAGCTGTTGTTGAATTGTGATCGGCAGAAGCTTTTCCAGTTAGCGCCTCACTTTTTTTACAGCAGCGGCCCAAAACGATCTCCTAACACAGGGATTCCAGAAGTGTGGTGCGCGCGAGGTGAAAAGTGTAATGGCTGCATAGCTCAGAGAAGTCTGTCATATGTCACCATTAGCGTAGCCAGAAACTCATTTGTGGGTGGGCCTAAGAAAAAGTAAGTGGGGCCCAATAAATGCAATTGAAAACAAGTATATTTTGTGTGTGTGTGTCCTCCGCATGTGCCCTAGCTTCATAATAATGCGCTCCGAGCTTCAGCGCTCTGGCCTGTGCACGCTGTTAATAGCAAGATATGTTTCGTATTTGATCATTTTTATCGGTGTTGGAGAAATCTGAAGGTGGTGAGTCATTCTGGCAGATTGTAATTAACACCCTGTCTCATGCAGGTGTTCTGACATTGTAAACCTCACACACAGAACATTGTGGATGTAACTGAATAAATCACGAAATGATTCCCATCTGAGCATTTTAGCATTATTATATTATTATATTAGCACACTGACTGTGGGACAGCATTCTAAACGTGTCAGGCTATTAACAGCATGCTGAAGATCTGAAGTTCAGAGTGCGTCTGTCAGAGGTCAGACGCGTTCCAGCGGAACCACGGCTCACAGGTGCACAAGTGAGCACATCTGGGCTGGGCAGAAGTAATTTTACAACATTGGTTTAAATAGCGCCAATAACGAGACGCGGTGACTGGAGTGGCTCATGGAGCTGTTCCGCACACACACGCACACACACACACACACACACACACACACACACACACACACACACACACACACACACACACACACACACACACACACATACTGATTCAACAAGCGCACGCTGCACATACTCGGGCGCTGCGCCGCACCGTCAGACTGAAGGCAGAAATGAGCGCTGCCTCCTCCGTTATAAAATACTTTGAAGAGGTTTTATAACAACATTTTTCATTCAAGGTCAAATTAAGATGAGCTTCTTTTGGGATGACGTATTAAAGTTGGGTCCGCTCCAGCCAGTGACTCCTCATGAACCTGACTACAACTCATGTTACTGCAGCATTTGTTATTCCAGTCCGCGTGGCAGCGGATCGCAGATTCAGCCACACCATAAAACAGCAATAAGTCGGTCTGAGGCAAAAGTGAACCTCATGGCTATAGCTTTTCCATCTTTTCCCCTATAGACATTTGATTACGCACAAGTAGGTGATCAGTTCAGGTTTACGCAGAGCAGAAGGAAGGAGAGCACTCTTGCCACAGGTTAAACGTTCCTGCTTTAAGAAAACCGTTAAATTGCATTTTTTATGTGCTACCTGGGCACTCTAAATATTTATTTAAAATTAAATCAAAGGAAATTGTAATGGTATCAAATGTTTTTTAATTACTATTTAAAAAATGAAAGTGATGGGGAAAAAGGTCGATCATATTTTTTTAACCCTGTCTGTCAAATGACTGTTTAGCTTGACATCTGATATATGTATATATATATACACACACATATATATATATATATATATATATATATATATATATATATATATATATGTATATATATGTATGTGTATATATATATAGCCATGCCCTGATGTGGGGGCTGGGGGGGGTGTCGACATGGTCGGGGCATAGAAGGGGGTGCGCGGCTAGATAAGTTAGGGAACTTCTGTCCTAACACATTGATTTTCTGCTTCCTGATCACGTGACGTGTGACGTATGCAGATGGAAGATCGGCTTTAGAGCTGGGATGTTTGTTCTCACGGTGCGGGGGCTTGTTCCGACGCCCACACAGTAATGACGACATTAGTCGTCATTGGCAGTGAATGAGTTAAAGGTGCAGTTTGTAAGACTGACATCCTGTGGTCAAATGTGGTTACTGCATTCCATTTTTGAACAAAAATATTACTCTCTTAATCCCGTTACGTGAGTTTCATGGCTGTTGGCCGTTACGGATCAGTACCAGAAGATTCTAGATGACAAAGACGAGTCATACACAGTAAGTTGATGAGTAGATAAATGGTCGTATCTGGTGTTAAAGGGAGACTTTGCAGTTTTATCTTGCTTTAGAACCTCCTATTGTCCCATAGTAAAAGTGAAACTTACCTCCTCCTGTCTGTGTTTTTAATATTTTAATCTAACAGCTGAAATGTCTCCTCAGCCTTCATTAGTGTCTACAGGAGCGGTTAATCACTTAATTAAACATAGCTGTGTTTGTGATCTAAAACATGCAGGAAACGTGCTGGAAGCAGACTCTAGCACTGGCATGTCAGTTCCACATTACCTTAAGACTAAAGTGGGACCTAACAGGTAGCGGCCTACCAACTCTGAAGTTGCACATGTGCTATTTTGCCAGCAGGTGGCGGTGGAGTCTGAGTGACATTTCATTTCATTTCATTTTAACATAAACAAGAAAATCATTTATAAATGTGAAAAAGTTCCATTATTATGTCCAGGCATTTTTACCACAGGGGTCCGCAACTTTGTCTTGATTAGAATTGTTTAATTGTTGTTTTTTATCTGTTTTTATGCTGTTTTTATTGTGTTTTTATTTTTTGATCTTTTATTGTATTTTTTAATGTGATTGCTTTTTATTGTTGTGTTCAGCATCTTGGGCTTCTGCTAAAGGTTGTGGAAGGTGCTCTTGAAATGAATAAATAAAATGGCATTGAAAAAGTAGCTTGAGATATTTTTAGAGCCGACTGTTTGCTTCTAGTTAACCGTTAGCGTTGTTAGCTCAATGTTAGCCTCTAGCCTGCTTCACCTGGTAGTAGAATAAAACAAAAAGATGCCATGTCTACGTAGGAGTACAGAAAATAACTTCTGGGTCGCTCTTGTTTACTGGCTTCGGTTCTTTAAACAACTCTGGAGCTTTTTGCCTGCTTGTGTCGAATTACAAATGCCGGCGCTGCAGCGTTAGCTCACAGCAGATTCGGCAACCTCAAAAACTCACCGAGTGTGAACAGGAGCTACGTCCTTGTAGTGGTGCTGCTAGTGGTGGCTACATTTTTGTTAAGTGATCAATAAGATGTGATATCCCATATAAATATGAGTCTGATTGAACTTTGAATGTTGGATTTAGGTTACTCTAGGTTCTTTGACTATTCAGGGAACACACACTTCATATTAATCCAGACAGAGTCAAGTATATAGTTATAAAAATGAATTTCATTCTATTTTCCTAAACTAAGTTATTATACACGACAAAGTATGAATGAAATGGTGGGATGTAAGCTAGATGTTTAGCAGAACCTTGTAAGTATCTGAGAGAGCTTGTAATGTCTGTGTTGTAAGGTCAGTTTGGCTGTATGGTTTGATAAACTAGAGATTATACGTAAAACCGTCCGACACAATCGTGCAGAGTCTTTTTGTGTGACTGTCAATCTCTGCGGTCCGTACGAAAATGAGCCAGAGTGGGGATTTACCAGACGACGTGGCTACAGGAATCCCAAAGAGTCACAGATGCAACCAGGATCTGCAGATTAAACGTTCCACGTCTGAGGTTTTGGGTGGCTCTTAAAAGAGCCATTGTCCGATATCCCTCGCAAACGTGGCAGAGAGGCTTTGACCTTGGTGTCAAAAGAGAGGATGGTTCCCAATGCTTGCTCACCGATTGGCCCGACCAGGAGGCAGCTGGAGAACTGAGGAATCAGGAATGTTTACAAATGTAGACAAATAAGACAAAATAGCTCAGTAAATCACGCCTTCACTCAGACACTTGTATGTTTTCTCTTAGTGTGAAGTGAAAATGTTATTACACATTACTGTGAAGTGAATGTTAGAACATTAATAATAACAATAAGTGTGTGTAATATTCACACATAAGAATATTGATTCTTATGTGTGAATATACTGATTAAATTATTAAATCAACTAATTGTTACATCCTGGCTATGCTAGGAAGGTCAGGAGGTAACATGAACCTGTGACCAGATGGAATGGGGGAGTACACGCATTTAATAAAAAACAGCTTAGAAATAAAATTAATGAAAAAATATTTTGCCTTTAAAAAAGTGAGGCAGTTAGGGTATGCATGTGCTGGTGCATGGTCAGGATGGTACCATCTCTGCCTCAGGCCCTGTCCACACGTAGCCGGGGATCTGCCAAAACGTAGATATTTTTCTACGTTTTGGCCTGTCATCCACACGAAAACTGAGTTTTTTCACACGAAAACGGATCTTTTTAAAAACTCCGGCCAAAGTGAAGATCTGCGTTTTCTCCGTTTTGGGTGTCTGCGTGTGGACAGACAAAACCGAAGTTTTTAGGTCCGCAACGTCACTTTCCGCGACAAAAAAATGCTGACATCACGTGTGCGAAATGTGTTTACACTAGCCGGCATCATGGATGCCCTCAGAGCTGCGCTCTGTCACTACCCGATCCATCAATTGTCCAAGCGCTTTCTGCTTGTTTGTTTTTGCAAGCGGAATTACTGCTCCTTGCGGAAGACCACAGGCAAAGGACGAGGTTAAGAACGGGGGAAGTACTGCCGCCTACAGGTCTGGCATGTCCTTAACAACGTATTTATCCGGGTACGTGTGGACAGAGTTTTTAAAACGAGGTGGTGTGGATGCAAGTTTTTGGAGGGGCGGATATTCATTTTTTAAAAAGCCCTGGCTACGTGTGGACTAGGCCTCAGTTTGAGCCAGGAAATACCCTGGTCCTTGGGCAAGACACTTAACCCCCTTTGCCTGCTGGTGATGGTCAGAGGCACCAGTGCTCGACAGCCTCGCCTCTGTTGGTGTGCCTCAGGGCAGCTGGGACTACATCGTAGCTCATCCCCACCAGAGTGTGAATGGGTGAATGGCTGATTGTGTTGTAGTGTCCAAATATTGTTTTTCTAGTTTACTTTTTTTGCACAGGTTTGTATTGTTTATATGTAGATGAGTTTAAAAATGTAACAAAACGCTCTGACAAAACAACAGTTAATGTGTGATGTCAGTTTTTGCTCTACAGCTGTGGACAAACCCAGCAAAAACCCTAACCCATCAGGAGAATCTGCTGCTGACAACCAGGAGTTTGCTTTGATAAAGACAGGCTTCTAACAGCGGTTTCTTTGTTTATTGCCACGTCGTTCTGAGAGTTGGCCGTTCTTCACATGTTGTGTCAGTTAGCCGTCTTGTTCTTGTTGCAGATTTGTCAGGAGGTCAACGCGGCCTGGGCATGGGAACTCGAGCAGAAAGGATACAAGGAGCTGCCGGTGGAGGGCAAGACAGCCATTCTGAAAGTGAGAACTCTGCCTTTTTCTTGTTGTTTCTAGGAGAATACCTGTAGAAAGGTGAGATAGGCCTCTCAGAATAGTTTATATCAAACTACATCTGTAAATAATCTTAACCCATTAATCTTTGACGCATCCTGTTGTTGACCTGGTTTGATTTCTTTCCTTCAGTTCAATTCAAGTTTATTTATATAGCGCCAAATCACGACAAGAGTCGTCTCAATGCACTTCACATAATAAACATTCCAATTCAGGTCAGTTCATTAAGCCAATCAGAAATAATGTTTCCTATATAAGGAACCCAGCAAATTGCATCAAGTTACTGACTAGTGTCAGTGACTATACAGCAATCCTCATACTAAGCAAGCATAAAGCGACAGTGGAGAGGAAAACTCCCTTTTAACAGGAAGAAACCTCCAGAGAATCCTTTCATGGATCATTTTGTTGCTGTTGTTTCTCCAGCATCTGTGCGAGTGTCAGTTTGACGAAAACATAAAGTTTAAAACCGCCGTCAACGATGAAGACCCCGATAAGATGCGCCTGCAGCCGATCGGTCGGGACAAAGACGGACAGATGTACTGGTTCCAGCTGGACCAGGATGATAACGTCCGCGTCTACGTGGAGGAGCAGGACGACTTGGACGGGTCATCGTGGAAATGCATCGTCAGGTTGGGCAGACAAGATCAAGAGGCTTTAGCCTCCTGGAAATGAGATAAAATTCTAACGTTTTAGTCATTTTTTTCTTTTGACGAGGAAGCATTTATGTTTGATTTTCTTCCGACTTTAGAACTAGAAATGATTTGGCCGAGGTCGTCGCCCTGCTGAAGACACAAATTGACCCGGCGCTGCTGAAGAGAGACGAGGAGCTGAAAAACAAAACTGACCAGGAGGACAAAGAAAAGGGTGAAGATTAAACTAAGCTTTTGTGATTTATTTAAAGATAATCTGCTCTTAATCGCATTTTATAAGCAACAATCTTCTGACGCTTGGTGATTTTCAGGTGACATTAAAAAAGAGGATGCATCAGATGAAGACGGCAAAGACACAGACAAGACTGTTTGTTCTGAAAAACACGAAGAGACACAGAAAGATGAACTGAAGTCTGAAGTTTCAGAGGAGAAATCATCGCTGAACGGCATCGTTGAAGGCAAGCCGCAGGCAGAACTGGAGGCAGAAAATGTCGTCACCAAAGCTGAGAGCATCAAAGAAGAGCCGATGGAGCTGGCCAGCGTTAAACCAAACCCCACCGAGCCGATTCCGCTTTGTGAGACGTCTTCTGCACCAACGAAAGAAGAGGCTAAGAAGAAAAGCTCAGAGGAGATCCATCATTCCATGAAAAATGAGCATCAGGCAAAAATCCCCTTGAAAAAACGAGGGATGAAGTTTAGTGAGGACTTTGACAAAAACGGGACCATAGCAGCACAAAATCCTGCAATCACTAACCTGAAGGAGGCTCGCGTGGCCGAATCAGCGTTTGAGCCACCACCGAAAATTCCGAGAGTCAACGATCAAGTTAACGGCGAAATCCCGCCCTCGTCTGAGAAAGAGCAGACGAGTAAATCCAGAGAAAACGTCGTTCCAGCTGCAGGAGAGGATGGATCACGAGTCAAAACGAGTGAAACGTGTAGCACAGAAACTCTAAAGGAAGCCAAGTCACAGCAAAGCAACGCTAAACGATTAGACGATGAGCAAGAGCTGAAAAATGGAGTAGAGAAATCATCCAGTCATGAAAAACTAGAACATAGAATTACAGAATCCGGGTCGTCGGGTAAGACAGACTCAGACCGTTTAGATTTAAATCAAGGAGCTAAATCTAAAGAAGCTGATTCAGAATCAACGTCGACAAAAATGTCCAACGGTAACAAATCAGAGTCTTCGGCATCAAAGGAGGAACCAGAATCCACCAAAACCGATGCAGAGACATCTGTTGACTCTAAAGCCAGCGTATCAGTCATCAAAACATCAATCAGTGACAAATCAGAAGAAACAAAGAGCCTTAAGGAGGTTGTTGCTAAAGACGACCAATCAGAATCACCTAAACCTGAAGAGCAGAGAGACAAAACCAGGAAGGAGAGTTTGAGTAAAGCAGGTAAGAAGGAGGCAGAAAATCCTGACAGAGTGACGAAAGTCAGCTGTGAGGATCACACGATGCGGGATGTTACCCCGGCGAACGACTCCACGTCCAGGCCGACTGTGGAGCCGACCCTGGGAGAAGACAATCTCACAAAACCACAAGAGGGTCATAAAACCGATACGAATGTTGATGAACGCAAGACGCCGGACATCGTTTGTGAAGGGAAGAATAAACCGCCTAGTCCCGTAGAGAAGACCTGTAAAGAAACTGAGGAGAAATCTCAGGAACTCAAGAAAGAGGAGGAGAAAAAATCCGACTCGAAGGAACCCAGAGCAGACGGCGTGAAGGATACTGAAAAACTTCCAAACGACAAGGAAAAGGAAGATTCTTCATCTGAAGGGGTGTCAAAAAGTAAAAAAGAGACTAAAAAGTCCCAAAAACAAAAGCAAACATCAGTGGACGAAGACGGATCTGAACTCCAGAAATCAAGCAAAGAACCTGAAGTAGAATCCTCGAAAACCGAGAAACAAACGAGCGAAGGATTCGCCTCAGACGAGCAGAGCAAAAACAAAAGTAAAGAGGTGGAGAACGGCGGTGAGGCTCCAGCAACAGAGGACGCTCGCCAGAGAAGCAAACGTCCAGCACATCGACGAAGAGCCGAGCTTCAGAGAGAGGAACGCCACGGAGGAGACTCTGAGTCGGACACAAACACCAGGATGTGTCTCCGGAGATCGCCAAGGATTTCCAAACCGACGCAAAAGGCCGTGGAAATCCAAGACAAGAAGACGGAGAAGCCTCCGACTGCTTCGCCACCACAGAAAGATGAGGAAGAAGAGGAGGAAAATGAAGAAGAAACTCAATTGAAGGCTGTTCAAAAGAAACCCAAAGAGAAAAGAGTGAATCAGGAGAGCCATCCCAAAGTCAAGGTAGGAATAACGACTCCTCAACCCGACTGGGAGACGGTTCCTGTTTTCACACAGGAATGTGTTCTGCTTCCTTTTAGGGGAGAAAGAGGAGAAGAACTCGCTGGTCCAACACGCGGGCGCGCCGGAAAAAGAAAAATTCAGATGATGAGAGCGAGAACAGTGATGAGGAGTCCAGCGAAGAGGAGGAGAGCGAGGAGGAGGAGGACGACAGCGACGAGGACTACAAGGTGGAGCGAAACAGGAAGAGGAGAAACCGGAACAGAGAGAGACGAAGCTCGGACTCTTCCACGTCCTCCGACGACGACCTACCTCCTAATGACGACCCCTGCAAACACTGTGGTCTTCCGAATCATCCTGAGCTGGTGGGTTCTTGCAGAACATTCCTGCTTGCTGCTCTTTGTTCTTGCGTAACTTAAAAAGCACGTTGTGTTTAGATCTTGCTCTGCGACTCGTGTGACAACGGCTACCACACAGCCTGTCTCAGACCTCCTCTCATGATCATCCCCGATGGAGAGTGGTTCTGTCCACCCTGTCAGCACGTACGTATCGCTCTGAGCTGCGGAAACGGATCACGGCACATCAAACAAAACACGAAGGAAGCTGAAAATGTTTCTTTGATCCCGTCTGCAGAAGCAGCTCTGTGACAAACTGGAGGAGCAGCTCCAAAACCTCGACGCCGCCTTGAAAAAGAAGGAACGGGCTGAGAGGAGGTGAGACGGTTTCTGTTTTTGTGCAAGTAACTGTTCTCAAATTAAAAAATTACCATCCAATCTCAACTCTTTTAACATTAAAGTCCATCGTTTTATCTCCTGTAGGAAAGAACGTCTAATTTATGTAGGCATCAGCCTGGAGAACATCATCGAGCCTTCTGTGAGTACATGCTGAGGTTTGCTCTTTCGTCACCTGATATTTGTGAGAATAAAAGAACCCTAACACTCCTCACAGGTGGAGGTGGAGGAAGAGAAGCCTGACATCATCATTAAAGAGAAGAAAGAAGCAAAGAGGAGTAAGAGCTGGGGTCGAAGGTCAACGAGGGCAAAGAAAACCATCAGCTACAGGTTTGAGATGACTGGACTGAGAACATAAACGTGAAGCTCTAGTGTGTTCTAAAAGCTTATGTTTCACAGGAAATGGTAATAATTTTAAAAAGTGCTACTTCATAATAATAATAATAATAATCTGTTTTCAAATTTTAAATCGTACATTTCTACTGGATGCTTAAGCGACACGTACCATCCACGACTTGTAGCACGCAGCGGTTAGCGGCTGTCATAGTGGACGTGAAGTGTCACGTTTTGGACGCATCCCAAAAGCGTGGTGTTACGTTGATCTGCTAAATCTACACTTTGTGTCCTTTTTTATGTCAACCTCCGCAGTTCGGATCGGGCCGGACAGGAAGTCAAACACGGGAGCTGTGTAAAACATCTGGAAACCTTCAAAATAAAAGACAGATTTCCAGTTGCTTGAAGAGTAGGTTAACTGAGAAGCCATTTTTATTTGTTTTTTGAAAATGATTGGTCGTTCTGAGTTTAACATGCAGGGTGAATGTGAACAAAAGTATTACCCCTGTTTCAGTTAGTGTTAGCTTCTGATAGAAAATAGACGTAAAAAACACTAGATTCAGAAAGTCCTGACAGATCTACGTCCACTGATGGGAGCAACGCCATTTAAAATAACGGTGTTACTAAAAAAAAAAAAACAGTTTTTCCAGTAACGAGTAATCTAATCAATTACCGTCCCCTTTTATCATAACGCCGTTTCCGTTACTGATAAGAAAATGTGTGCGTTACTAATTCAGCAGCGCGGTGTGTTGAAGCCGTCATCAGCTGATCGGGAGCTAAAGAGGCGGATGTCATCCAAGCGCACCACGGCCCGTGAAGAACGAGGAAGACGTGATGAATAGTTACGGCTGCAGATTCGCTGCTGCTGCCGTGGCCTTCTTAGTGTGACAGCGCGACGTCCCGAAGGTCCGCTCCCTGTTCACCGCTCAGACGTCACCACCTTCTACCTTCCTAGATCATCCGGCTGTAACCTGTTTCTGATCATGTCTTTAGTCCCGCTGCAACACTGATGCATCAGTCTCAAACGCCATGGAGCTCAGGTGTTATCAGAACTACCTGTGTGTGTTTACCGCCCAGCTTCAGCTCTTCTGTGGTTGGGTCTGACCCACGTTAGTAAATGTAAGTCCTCCATCGGGCTTGTGGCTCTTCTAGTGTCATTTTAAAGGATTTTATTTATTTATTTAACCATTACTAGATTAGCAGCAACAGAAATGCTACTAAAACACACACTTATGTGAAGCTGGAAACATTAGAATACTGTGCAAAATGACATTCGTTTCTATAATTTAACTAGACTGAGAAACCATTTAAAGGCTCAGGAACTTTTACAGGTGTTTCTATTTGCAATTATAAATTTTAGCTGAATGGGGTCTTGTTAAATGTCACACAGTGACCTTTTAATAGTGCAGATTATTGTAATGTTCCTGTTAGTAGTTCCAGTTATTAGTCATTTAAATTTCAGTGTTGTAGTAATTTATAATAAATTAAGTAAGTTTAATTAAGAGGGAACCCATTTTTCTTGCATTCTTCAATGAAAAAAGTAACGAAATATTTATTCTTCTTGGTAATTAGTTACTTTTATAATCTTGTAACTGTAAGTAACTGAGTTACTTTTTTGACAAAGTAATCAGTAACTATAACTAATGACTTTTTTCAAGTAATGTTCCCAACACTGTCTACGTCACACATTCATTGACTCACCCATCTTGACTCACGACAGGGAAGGCTGTTGTTGTTTTAGCATCCAGGAAATAGCTGAGAACATCTCAGCTAGTAGAAGGTAACCGTTAGTGTTAGTAACTCCACCACACAGCAGAACTCCTCCAGGCTTGTGTTATTTGCGGAGATAAAACATCTACGTTGCAGAGCAAACAGAGTCGGTGGTAGAGTCGTGTTGCTGTTATCCAGGAGAGATGTCCAAATATTAGGAAATCCAAATCTTGTTGTCTGAAGTTACTTTGACCTCCATCTGACTTCTCTGTGCTGAAACAAGCGCACTGGAGCTTTTTTTCCCTCCAGAAAACAACTTACTAGGCGTTTGTTCCTACCAGAGACCACTGCAAATGAATTAAAAGTACGCGTCCGGTTAGAGCTATGTAGCTTCAGCTGTGGGTTTGTGTAATCTCTTGATATTTGAAGTTTCAGTTCAGAAATATCATTTAAAAAAGAAAAAAATACGATTTTTTTTAAATTAAAAACGCAAAAACTTTATTTTTTCCAGAGAAGAAAAATGCAATGATTAATAACAAAAACGCTGTTGTTTATTTTGTCTGAACTGGGAGTTTTTCCCAACTGCCTGGACAGGTAATGTGGTGTCACGCCAAGGTAATCATCCCCATTATGATGTAGGGAGCACGCACCGGGCTGGAACATTCAATACGGTCAACCAGTTCTAACCAGATCCTGAATTGTTAAGTTTTACTTTTGTAAAAAGGTAAAAGTGAGCATTATTTATTATTTGTTTGTGGGTGACAGAAATAGAAAATAATATGTCTTCTTCTCGCAACAAGGCAAGAAGGTTTCCCTAATAGAATGATGTCAACTCCATCCATATGATGCTCAGTAAACCATCAGCTCTGTGTTTGTTTCCAGACGTGGGGACAAAAATAACTTTTGGGTGATTCATATTTATGTCTGAAGCTATTTCCTGTTTCAGACAACAAAAATTCCAGAAAGTACAAATGAAACCGTTAGATCTTTACATTTTTTTTCCACTTTTTACAGATTTGATGAATTTGACGAGGCCATCGAGGAGGCCATAGAGGAAGACATCAAAGAAGCAGAAGGTGGAGGTAGGAGAACGGTTTAAGTCTACTTTGGTTTATTAAAACAGTAATCAGAATGAGACGACAAAACGTTGGCGACGACCTGACAGTTTGTTTCAAATAAAGTTTTCTGCTTGTCTCTAATACAGGAGCTGGTCGGGGTAAAGACATGGCCAACATCACGGGTCACAGAGGAAAAGACATTTCCACCATCCTCCAGGCAGAGGAGGGTAAAGAGAACGGCCGACCGCCGCGACCCAATGCCAGTCAGCGCAAGAAGAAACGCCGGCGGCTCAACGACCTGGACAGCGACAGCACGGTGGACGATGAGGAGAGCGAGGAGGAGTTTTGCCTCAGTGAGAGGTTGGTTCTAGAGCCTTGGCTCCAGCCTTTTCCCTGCTGTGGGTCTTTACTGAACTTTTTATGTTTGGCTTCAGCTCCGAGGAAGAGTTCGTCGCGTCGGATAACGACTCGGAACCGGAAACAGACCAGGACTCGAAGGACAGCGAGTTTGGCAGCAACAGAAGTGGCAGACACCACTCTTCCTCGCGGAGCAGAAGACCACAGAAACGAAGACAAAGCTCTAGAAAGAGGCGGAGACCAAAATGGTTCTCTGACGATGAAGAGGAGACGGATGATGAAGTGGAGGAAGATGAGATCGGTATGTAGATTTAACCTTTCTGTGAGCTTTTAGAGAGTGGTTGTGTTGTAGGTTTGATCCAAACGGGTCGTGTTTGTGTGAGCAGTGACTGAAGGCTCCAGTGATTTCAGCGACAGCGATCTGGATATGAGTCGACGGAGGTCTCGGCGGAGCCACAAGAAAGAGGTGAACTACTGTGAGACGTCTGAGTCTGAAGGATCTCAGGCAGAAACCAACCGGGCCAAGATGAAACCCAGGCGGCGCCGGGACAGCTCCGACAGCGACGGTAAGTCAGAACCACACAATGAACCATCAGGAGACGGTCTGTTGAGCTCATGATTGTTTTGGGTGATTTCTGGTTCTGGAAATCAAAACCACATATAAAATCACCTCAGGGTGATTTAGAGGCATGATTTTCATTTATCTTGTTGAGTACAAAAAAATTATCTTGTGGAGTGTCAGATGTAACAAAACGTCTGTACCTACTTTCCTGTGTAAACGAGTAATGTTGTAATGGCCCCTGAGAAACGGTTTGTCATGAGAAAAGCTGGTTAAACACATCACAATCTTACATATACCCCCTAAACCAACACGTACCGCCCACTTGTTTGTGGCAAGGCTGCTAACCGTACAATTAGCTAGCCCAAACTACTGCTAACGCTAGCCAATGCTACTGCTAAAGCTAGCCTGAGCTACTGCTAATGCTAGCCCAAGCTACTGCTAATGCTAGCCAATGCTACTGCTAAAGCTAGCCTGAGCTACTGCTAATGCTAGCCCAAGCTACTGCTAATGCTAGCCAATGCTACTGCTAAAGCTAGCCTGAGCTACTGCTAATGCTAGCCAATGCTACTGCTAAAGATAGCCTGAGCTGAGCTACTAACGCTAGCCTGAGCTACTAACACTAGCCAATGCTACTGCTAAAGCTAGCTTGAGCTACTACTAATTCTACCCTGAGCTACTAACGCTAGACTGAGCTACTGCTAATGCTAGCCTGAGCTACTTCTAATTCTATCCTGAGCAACTAACGCTAGCCTGAGCTACTGCTAATGCTAGCCTGAGCTACTGTCCATGCCCTTGTTGGTCAAGAGGAAAACATCAAACAATATTGGCGCACACGTGTAACATTCCAGGAGTGTACCGGGAATATCCAGACTTGGAATGAACATCAGATAGCTGTCTATTTAGTAACCCAGATTCTGTACATGGAGTTTCTAGCTTCAAGCAGTAACCTAGAGTCGTTATGGTAAATGGGCCAATCATCATGCAGCTCATTTAATGCTCATGCCCTATCTTTCAATTAAAGGGCTTTATAACAGGGTTGTGTTTGGCCATTTATCAGGGCTCCTGGGCCATTTTGAGCCCCAGCAAAGTCTCATATTATACAGAGGCTCAAAGAAGTTTCCTATTGAAAAACACTTAACTGAAGCCGTGTGTTTTGCTTCTCCAGCAAGTTTCTCTAAAGACTCTGAAGAGGATTTGAGAGGTAAGAGGGAGAAAAGAAGAGCTGACTCCTCAGAGGAAGATTTCCGGCAGCGGCGCAGGCGTCTAGCACTAAAACGCAGGCGAGCGTCCGAAGACGATGACTCGGACGACAGCTCAGACGAATCTTCGGAGGAGGACCGGCCCGTCCGTAAACGAGTGAACCGCATTGACTCAGACGACGACGACGATGAGCAGGATGAAGAGAAACCGAAGAAATTGGTGGAGGAGGATTCAAAGGGAACAAACCAGTGGGACAGCGGTACGGCTGAGCTGCAATCCACCAATGGACAGAACGCGGCGAAGAGCCACGAGGGCTTTGCCAATCGCCCCGCCCCCGCTGCGCCGGGCCTCGTCTCACATCTAGAGCCGCCCAAAAGCATCGGTTCCACACCAGCTGCTGCCACGGCGCCCAACGGTCTGGTCGGCCAGGAAATCGCTGCGCAGGACGACGAGGAAGACGACCTGTTGGGAGTCACAGACCTCGTGGACTACGTCTGCAATAACGAACAATTGTAAAAACACAAGCTGTGTACTGTTTCCTTTTTATGTGGTATTGTATTTTTATATTGCTTAACTTTATTATTCCCTCCCCGCCAACACTTGCGTTTTGTTCCTGGAGCTCGAATCTTGATGGTCTCTCCCAACAGCATGAACTGGATCACCAGTGCAACGCTGTTCCCGTGAGACTGTGCAGCCAGTAAAGGGCACCGACATATCATTTCCTGTTCGTACCTCTCATCTTCCAGCTCCACTGCCAAACCTTTCTTTTCAACGTCACCCCCAAATCTAAAGTGTAAGTGTCTAAGTGATGTACCCATCTGTTTGTGGAAATAAGGACGTTTTGTCTGGGGTTGGGTCTTTCAACAGCATTCCGGAACCGAGTTGAAGTTGTCTCACCTATGGGAGAAGATGACGATGGAGGACATTTGCTTCTCTCACATCTTTACTCTGAATAGGGAGTTTATTAGCATAAATTGGCGACTATTATATATTTATTCACACAGATTGGCACCTTTTAAAGAGATTTTTAAAGTGATTACTTCCCTTTTTCTTTTGAGCTGCAGCTTTTGTGACACCCAGTAATTTAAAGCAAACTTCCAAATATTTGGTTGAGAAAAGCAATATCTGTCCTGGTCGCATAAATTTGGCTGCTCTTAATTACATTTATAGAGTTTAGATGTTAAAAACAACGTTTTATTCATACTCGACTCGCTAGCCTTCTCATGTGCCAGCTAGCATTCTACAGGATCCCGTTCACCGTTCAGATGTGGGAGTTTTACTTTAAGCTTTCCTGTTTTCTTTCACCAGCGGAGCATTTTTAAACGATACAGTGTGTATTTGATAAGCTAACCCTCAACGAGTCCCAGCTGGGGTCTTACTGGTCACTCTGGTGTTTTCAGTGGAAATCCGACTCGTTTCCACCGTTTATATTCCATCCGTTTGCTGTTTAAGGTGTGAATGTATAGAAGCGACCAACCTTTTGTTTTTCACTACCCCACCATAAACGTTTGTATTTGAACGATCGAGCTTTTATGTATATGTATAATATAAACTCGTGTAATTATCTGGACTACGCGCTCTGCCATCAGCACCAGCGTGAACTTTTATTTTTGGGAAACTAAATCAAAAAGACAGGACTGTTACTGTCCTTCATTCTCCGATCTAGTTTTGTGTCATTTGTTGCTCTGGTTTTGTTCTGATGATGTTTTTTTTTTTTTTTTTTTTTTTTTTGTATATCTAAACCTTTAGTCTCTTGGAGCTAAAATGTAAAGGGTCAGAAACCTGCAGACCCCTGGCCTTCACTCCAATAACACTTCGTTCCAAAACGAACCTTTTCTTTTTCTCATTTGCGTCTTGTGCTTTCATAATGTTGGACTCCCATCAGGATTATGAAAATGAAAGTGTAATAAAGAGTTTAGCAGCTGTTTTTAGGAGGGGAATAAACAAACATTTAAAGCAAAACCAATGACTTAACTGACCTCTGCTGGATCCAGGCTGTGTGTATATCTGTAGTTTTTGCTGTAATATATTTAGAGGCGTTTTGTAATCATGGAAAAATATATCGGGCAATTCTTTGGGATTGCATGAGTTTCTTATAGTTTTCTTTTGTAGGAAAGTTACATCGGCACAACAGTTTTTATAACATAACTGGTGGCATGTTTTCAACTATGTCGTTTCTCTTCTGACCTGTTGCTGCAGAGGGGTTGGGACGCCTCAGAGTTTCTCATCATTCAGCAGTAAAACTGCATCGGTAAGCATGTGCTGACCAGGTGGTGGCGTGTTTCAGGAACTGACCACCATGTCTGGTTTAGAAGGAAACAACATGCCTGTTTGTAAAATGTTTTGTAAATTACTCTCAGCATGTTGTTCATAGAGATAGTCCACCCTCGCACAGTTTTGATACCTGCCTAAACTGACATTTCACAAGCTGCCCGCAACCCGATAACATTTAGCTTTTAGGCGAACAAAATAATATGGAAAACCCAAATTTAATGTAAAGCGGTGTGTTGGCTGAGTCAGAGGGGAGACGGGAATGTATTGGTTATAAAATAACCAAGAGGGAAACCTTCGTGGAAACGGGAATGGAGCAGAGTAACGCCTCTCGTGTATTTAATGATTGTGCCAATGACTGAAGTGTTAACAGTTTCTTATTTACCTCATGATGAGTCTGGACAGAGGAAAACCCTTACCGCTGTGTCTAGATCTTAGTAGACTGTGTTTAGTCTTTGTACCTTTTATTTACTGTTATTTCTTATGGATCAGATCTTGTACATTTGTTATAATAAATTGGGTTTGAAGCCTTTTGTTGCTGTCGTCTCATGTTGGTGCGGAAATGTGAAATTGAATTAAAATTGTAGGGTTTGGAGCATACAAAAGGCTAGTGTTCTATTTTGATTAAACTCCAGAAACGTTGGAGATTATCAGCCAGATTTGGTATAAACTTTCCAGAATCTTTTTTTTAAACAAACTGATTCTGTTTTGCTTCATGTTCTATCCCTTAAAAGTTGTGAATTTGGTGAGAACGGACCATAAAGTATAGGTGTTTGTAGCCTTCATGCGGGGGTGCTGACGTACTCCTAAATTTAATCCCAGCACCCCTGATGTAGATTTATTTATTTTATTTTTACTAATTGTGGTTATTTTTAATTAACCAAATGGAGTTGCAGTACTTTTTATACAGTTTTTTTTCTTTGTCTAAATAGACTTTTACAAGACTTACTAGAAATACTGCCTTGAAAGAATGAGGAAATTGCACCCTCCGCTGGCAAAAGAGAACAACACTAAAGTTTCTATGAGTTTCATTGTGAGAAGGGAAGATGAGGAGTTGCTGCCCTCCAGTGTCTGAAAGCTGGTACTACACTTACACTTTGTAGCCATTAGAAGATATTTGGCCCCATAAGCGTTTGTAACCTGCTTTTAGGGATGCTGAAACACTCTTGAATTTAATCCCAGCACCCCAACGTTTGAGATTTATTTATTAATTTAATTGTTTATTTTTTACATTTTGTGGTTATTTTTAAGTAACCAAATAGAACTGCAGTACTTTTTAAACTGTTCTTTGTCCAAATAGAATTTTCCAAGACTAACTTGGAAACACTTGCTCAAAATGTTTTCAAACTATGTATTGTCTCGAAAGAATGGGGGATTTGCGCCCTCTGCTGGCAATAAATAAATAAAAAATAGAACAGGGGGCCTCATTTATCAAGCTTGCTTACACACAAAACGGGGTCGGAAACCTGCGTAAGCAACTTTCCACGCAAACTTTGGGATTTATGAAAGAAAACTTAGCAGAAAAATGTGTGCACCTCTAAGCTGACTAAGGACCTGGCTTACACACATGTTGGACATGGAGAGCTGCTGCTGAGAAGGATACAATTATGAAATCCTGCAGCATTATCACTTGTACTGCTTCGTTTTCACACAGAACAAGACCCCCCACACTCACGCGCGTACACACACACGCACGCACGCACACACACACACGTGCGCACGCACACACACACACACACGCAGTCTGAAGTGCAGAATACAGAATGCAGAATATCAGCAGGGGGACAGATTGAGACAGAATGTCATGCATCTATGACAGTGTGTGTCCTGTCACTGTGACCCAATTGATCATGCGCCCTGACTAGTTGAATACAAGAGATCTCCGTTTGGCTGACTGGTTAGCTCACATGACTTTCACCTGGGAGTCTGGAGATTGAATCCTGATCGCGTCACTTTTTTTTAATATCTGCCACAGATCTCTCTAAAGAACTCAGCATTGACGGCTTCAGCAACGCTGTGCCACTGCGTGGATTTTCTCTGATTTGTTTTGCAAAAGCACTTCCTTTCATTTCTCCACCTCACCCACAAGTACCTGAATTTCTGCTTGTGAAGTTGTGAAATAGCACTTCCTTGATCTGCGGTTGTGATCGAAATGCTGCAACAAGCCGGCTTATGTATATGCATGAGATCCACAAGGCACTTTGCATTGACTATTTATGGCAGTAAGTGGGGGCGTGGTGAGGGTGGGGTGTGACAAAAAAGCAGCTGAGAACCTTTCTAGATAGTTTCTGATTTATGAAGCGGAGATTGCGTGCAGCTATGCGTACTCCATGTTTGATAGATCACAAACCTACTTGGCATAAGTACTTTTTTTTGCTGAGCTTAAGTACGGTTTTAGTAAGGATTCTACGCAATGTTTGATAAATGAGACCCCAGCACTCTAGTTTCAAAAAGCATTAAGAGAAAAGGGGAAGGTTAGGAGTTGCTGCCCTCCAGTGTCTGAAAGCTAGTACTACACTTTCTGTTGTTTTCAGAATACGGAAGGGTTTTATTTCTGTATGTGAGAAATCAAAACATTAGGAAATTGCATTTGGTCCAAAAAAGTAGAGATAAACAAAAATAAGAAATAAGTGCAGTAAAATAATAATGTAGAGAGGCAATAATTATAGAAACGACTAATATATCTAAGACACTGTAGGTTCTGATCGCAACACAACAAAGGTGTAGGTGACTGGAAGCAAGCAACTGGAGTGGGCAGTCCTAGGATTATCATTCATGAGTCCAACTGTATGCCTCCTTAACGACCTCTACTGTCTTCTGGGTGTTAAGCACCAGGTGACTGCACCAGGACACCAGCCACTTGACCTCCACTCCATCTGAGATTCATCCCCGTCTGAGATTCCTTTAGCCACTTAGGAGAGAATATTTAGCCTCTCTATCTTAGTTAAGCAAATAAAATAAAATTTCTGTTTTGTAGCTAGCTGCTAATAGCTCCAGCTGCAGCTTGTTGGTTAAATCTAGTCGAGTACAGATAATTAAAATTGATTTCAAATTCAAATTCAAAAATACTTTATTAATCCCAGAGGGAAATTGATTGCTGTAGTAGCTCAGAATAATAATAATAATCAAGTCATCAAAGAGTTGTTGTATATTACAATGGCTGTTGGGAGGAAGGATCTCCAGTAGCGGTCAGTGTTGCAGCGAAACTGAAGAAGCCTCTGACTGAAGACACTCTTCCGTTGTCGGACAGTCTTGTGAAGAGAATGCTCATTTGTTTAGTTTTAATAGTTAATACTTTTTTTAAGTGAAGACATTCTAAATTTCCCATCTAAAAAGTATTTTTAAACTGCGGTATTTTTTTAACCACTGAGTGTCGCTACTTTTGACACAGTAGGAAAAGCGCCAGAAGTAGAGTTGCACCGGAAGTTCATATTTTGTATTTGTCAGCTATTTTCTGTTATTTATTCATGCAACATTATCAGTTGTTGTACATTTGTGTGCTAGGCGCAGCTATAACTACTCGGTAACTCGTAAACATGTTTTGAAGGACTAGAATAAAAGAAGATGCGGAGCGCTTTGGAAACAACTCCCCCAGGAATGGTCGTGCTAATGACAAACCAGCAACAAAACCACACGCTAGACCACACTGTGAACCCCAAAACCCAAGGTCGCCGATTAGGTTTGTATGTTTTTTTTCTACCACGCGTGAAGAAATCATTGATCTCGCTGAGGTTCGTAGAAGCTAAAGAATTTAGCTAGCCTGGTTGTAGCTTAGCCTGCAAACTGGTAAGTAAGTAAGTAAGTAAAAGTTTATTTATATAACGCCTTTCAGAGATATAAATCACAAAGCGCTGTACAACATGATAAAGATCAGGGCAAATACCTCTAACCAATAAAAACATCGGAAAAACAATAGCAGTGATAAAGTAGAAAATAAAATCATGAGTATAAACAAAGTGAAGGTGTGAACCCGAACAAAGCCATCTGCTGGATTTGGTTAGGAGTCTGGCTGCTGCATTTTGGATGGCCTGAAGGCGTGAGAGGGAGGTTTTGCTGAGACCAGTAAAAAGAGCATTACAGTACTCTAGCATGATGACACAAAGGCATGGATGATTTTTTCCAGATCTGCAGTAGAAACCAGTTTACGGACTTTTGAAATGTTTCTCAGTTGATAGAAACAAGAGCGGGAGATGGTTTTGACGTGTGAGTCTAAACTTAAAGCTGGATCAAAAATAACTCCTAGGTTTCTAATGTTGGCCTTGGCTGATGGGCAAAAAGAGGCAATTTCTTGCTCGATTTTTGGCTGAAGTTCCGGGGGTGCAGCGATCAGGGTCTCTGTCTTGTTAGCATTGAGGACAAGAAAGTTGCTGGACAGCCAGTTACTGATCTGGGTCGGGCAGAGTACAAGTGTGGCCAGCCTGTCCAACTGGTGTGGCATAAAGGACATATAGAGCTGAATATCATCAGCGTAGATGTGGTAGGAGATGTCTGGGAAAGACTGAATGATGCCAGCTAGGGGAAGAATATAGAATGCGAATAGTAGAGGCCCTAGAACTGAACCTTGTGGGACCCCGCATGTTAGAGAGGCAGTATCTGAAGAGAAGGTTTCGGACTTCACTGTGAAGTGAAGTCCGAAAGTGGTGAAACAATAGGGTTAGCTCATAAATGATAGGAACATTTAAGGTTTTCAACATCTAAAATCCCCAAGTGACCTGATATTTATTATAAGCACCTAGCATCGGGGCTGCTACCTCACACAGCACCCTCAACAGATCTGGGAGTGTCTGACAGTCCGTTTAGTTTCTGTCCTCTTGATGGTGATGGGTAGCAGAGGGGGTTCTCTCCTTCTGAGGGATGAGTTGGTCTCAGTTCATCTGGCTTGTGTTACAGTTATTATTATTATTTATAATATATCTGAAGCCCCAGGTGTACGGTACACAAACAAAACATCCCAAAGGGGATTGGAACTAGTAGCTCTGTCAAAGGATGATAAATGACCCGCAGTCAGAAGACTCCAAAGCGCTTTACACTACAGTGTAGCATTCATCCATTCACACACACTTTCTCACACTGGTGGTGATGAGCTACAATGTATCCACAGCTGCCCTGGAGCGCACTGACAGAGGCGAGGTGTTATCAGTCCCTCCACCAGCAGGCAAGGTGTATTAAGTGTCTTGCCCAAGGACACAACAGCAGAATTCTCAGTCCAAAGCCGGCATCAAACCTGCAACCTTCTGATTACTGGACAACCCACTCAACCTCGTGAGCTACTGCTGCCCTAACAAAGCCCCAACTGCCCCATCTGCTCTGGTATATATCAAAATATAATCGGGCCATGACCCATAGACAGAACTCAGTCGTGGGGCAGAATCTACAGTTATCTTTCAAACCATCTCCACATGCTAATGGACAACAAACAATGGGATGTACTCACTGCCAAGAATGTCAGTCAATTGGGCAGTTCACCATACACTGTCAAGGTAGATGCAAATACATCCTTTTTTCAAAATAAATGACTTATGTACCGCCATCTGCTTTTTATTCAATGAAAAGCCCAATCTAAATGTGAAGATTCTGACACTCGTCAGTGACTCGATGCAATCTGCTGAGTTCCTTATAAAGGAAACTTTTTACTGATTGGCTTAATGAGCTGACCTGTATTGGAATGCTTACTTTGTGAAGTGCCTTGAGACGACTCATCGTGATTTGGCGCTATATAAATAAACTTAAATTGAATCGAATTAAAGAGCAAGTCACCCCCAAATAAACTTTTTTTTTGCTGATAAACTAAATAAACGAGTGTCTAATCGTGCTGCAGACACCTGTAGTCAATAATTAGGCACTTCAGTGCATCTTAGTTAAAATTTAAATATTCTGCCTAAAACTGGCAGTGTTGTGCCATTGTCAGGTAAATACTCTGCACTGTATTTTAATTTAAATCTGCCACCGCTATTGGCTAAGAGGTATGCTATGATGTAAACTGGTACATTATGATGTCACAATGCTGTCGTGAGCCTGTGTGTGTGTGTGTGTGTATTTGTTAGCAGCTCCGCCTTCTCGGGCTGCCAGGCAACAGCATTTGTTGCATTTTTCAAACATGAAGTGGGAGTGGAGTTAGACTCTGCTAGGGGGTGACTTGCTCTTTAAATAATCCAAAGTTGATGCCAAAGCAGTTTCAAATGAGCTGTCGTCATCTCAGTTGCACCATCCTGCCCACCAAACTGATAGGGCGCTGTTATTGGTATAACACCAAACTGTTCAGGCCAATGGTAAATGATAAATGTGATAAATGACCCGTACTTGTATAGCGCCCCTCAGAGTAAGGACTCCAAAGCGCTTTACACTACAGTGTATGATTCAGCCATTCACACACTGATGATGATGAGGTATGATGTAGCCACAGCTGCCCTGGGACGCACTGATAGACCTACAGAGGCTACAATGGAGCACGGCTGGAGCCACACATGCAGAGCAATTTGGCTCCTCTCTGTCTAGGTTTCTCAGCTAGTAGTTTTGTGCTTTTGTGAGGAACTGATGACAGATGATTCCGCGCTGTAGTTCTTTTTTAAAACACAGAGCAGTTTTGTTTACCTGCTTTCCCGCTACGTTTCGTTTGCGTCTGCAAACTTCCTCGGGCTGACGCTGACGTCAAAGGGTGATCATTGACGCTGACGTCAGCCTGAGGAAGTTTGCAGCCGCAAATGAAACGTAGCGGGAAAGCAGGTAAACAAAACTGCTCTGTGTTTTAAAAAAGAACTACAGCATGGAATTAGAGATACGACACAGCAAGAACACACCTAAGATGATGACAGATGAGAGACAGACTCTTGCTGTACATTTGCCTTATATCTAAATGCCTGATGCATGAAATTTTTTTAAATATTATATTTAAAACGAAATTTGAAAAAAAAAACTGAATTTGTTTAAGCTGGTGCAAATAGTATGGAACAAATTTAGAGATGTGGTGCTTAAAACTTAAAGTACTGTCAAGCTATACTGTGAATTTCTGCAACAAATTTCTGAGACTTTTTGTTTTGTCATCTTCTGCGAGCCGGTTTGGATGACATCTGTCTCAGAATTGATGTGGTGAATTCAATCATAGTGAATGCATGTCTGAACATAAAGTTACAACTGCCCTTGATGCACGTGCACTTCTTCGTTCGCTGCAGGTGTTCAGCAAACGATGCATATTGAGGAAGCTGAAGAATGGAGGCCTGATGTGGACCAGCAGGACCCGGAGCACCTCAACATAAAGGAGGAAGAGGATGAGCTATGGACCAGTCTGGAGGACGAACAGCTGGATGTGAAGCAGGAGACGGATTCAACCATGTTTTCATGCACTGTATTGAAGAGTGAGAGTGACAAAGAAAGTCCACCGCTCCATCAAGATCAAGGAGAAAATCTTTCATTCAGTAGCTCAACTGACCGGATGAAAATAGAAGGTGATGATGAGAACTCTGTAGGAGCGGAGACACCCAGCAGCACAGATCTAAACGCACACGATCAGGATCCCAGCTCTTCAGAAACTGAAATCAGTGAGGAAGATGAGGAGGACTTAGTCAGTCCTGATCCTCAGCTGAAACATTTGATGAACACTGAATCAAACAGTTTAACTGATAAAGAAACGATCACACTGAATAATAATGTAGACTCATCCAGAAAAGTCCAGACTGAGCTAGAATCATGTAGTTGTGATGACTGTGGACAGAAATTAACCAGCAAGGGAAATCTAAATAGACACATGCGAATCCACACAGGGGAGAAAATGTTTGTTTGTGATGTTTGTGGACAAAGATTCAGTCAAAAAACCAGTTTAAATGTGCACATGCGTATTCACACAGGACAGAAACCATTTGGTTGTGATGTCTGTGGACGAATGTTCAATCAGAAAGGAACTTTAAATAAACACATAACGGTCCACTCAGGACAGAAGCCCTTTGCTTGTGATGTTTGCAGCAAAATGTTTAGCCGCAGGAACAGTTTAAACACACACGTGGAAATCCACAAAGGACAGAAGCAGTTTGGCTGTGGTGTTTGTAGACAAAGATTTTGCCGAAAGACAACTTTGAATGTTCATATGAGAATCCACACAGGACAGACACCATTTGGCTGTGATGTTTGTGGACGAACATTTAGCGACAAGGGAAACTTAAACAAACATTTAAGAATCCACTTAGGACAGAAAATGTTTGCTTGTGATGTTTGTGGACAATCATTTAGCCAAAAAGTCCATTTGAATCGACATGCAAGAACCCACACAGGACAGAAACCTTTTAGTTGTGAAGTTTGTGGACAAATGTTTACAGATAAAGCAAATGTAAACAAACACATGAGGACCCACACAGGAGAGAAACCTTTTGTTTGTGATGTTTGTGGACAAAAGTTTAGACTCAAATACAATTTGAATACACACATGAGGATACACACAGGACAGAAACCTTTTGCTTGTAACATTTGTGGACAAAATTTTAGACAAAAGTTTAGTTTAAACACACACATGAGAATCCACACCGGGCAAAAACCGTTTGCTTGTGATGTTTGTGGACAAAGGTTTAGACATAAGTCTGGCTTAACCACACATACGAGGATCCACACAGGACTCACCCCGTTTTCTTGTGATGTTTGTGGAGAAAGGTTTAGATACAAGTTCACTTTAAATACACACATGAGAGTTCACACAAGATTGTGAACGTTTCCACTGTTAATATTAAGACAACTTCAATCAACACACTTGAAGAGGACGTGTTATGCAAAAACCACCTTTTGCAACCTTTTGTGCTGCCATGTGGGATTCTACTAACTTTTTAAACACCCTAATCATGAAAAAAAGACTGTCCATCTCTTCTTTCAGTGTTTGATTTCAGGAATTACCTGCCTAAAATGAGTTGTTTCAGAAAGTCCCAGTTTGTGATGTCACAAACAGGGAAATTTGCCTAGAACCCCCTCTGACCTCTCCAGGCTGGAGAAGCAGCAGCTCTACTTCAAGCCCCTCTGAGATATTGGAGCTTCTCAGTTTATAGCAGCCTGAGTGGGGGGATAGTTGGGCGTGGCCAGCAGCAGCTTGTTTCTTCCTAAAAGTGACAGAACTCTGAAAGTACTCATTCTGGAGGCACTGAAACTGTGAAGAAAAAAACTGCTCAAATCACTTTACCTGAGAGGCATTTTATACAAAGAACTTTATTTACATGTTTTTTTTATCAACCATAGAACTATTATTATAACTTGGAAAAGTTTCCTTTTAAATATTATATTTCATCAGATTATATTTTCATTCTTTGAAACATTTGATACCCAACAGGCCTCATTAGTTGTTACAGGTTTGACACCTGAATATAAACAAACTTTTTTTACATGCCTTGAAATGCATGCTTTTAGTTAGTTTGTTGAGTGCAAATCTGTGTATTTGAGCTGTAGATGCAAAAACCTTTTCATCTTCTTAATCTGTAATAAAAGTTCCATTCCAGTGTCCTAAACCAGTGTCCTTATACTGCTATGCTCCTTCAGTTAAAACATGAAATAATCAAACTGGTTTGTCTGGAAGCCTTTCTGTGCAGAAATAGCACAATACCTCAGGTGAACAAATGATTTCAGTGCAAGTTGGTGAAGAGCAATCTTAAAAAAAGATTAGATTGTTTTATTTGACTGTCTTTCAGTCTGCAGATTTTAAAGTGAATGAATGATCTATATGTTTTGAGACGTAATAAACTGAAATCCGAACAGAATTAATAAATTTATTGAGCCAATTTGCAATATTGTTATCTTTATTTGTAAATGTGGAGTTTTAAAGGATGAAGCCTGTTGTTCCAAAATCTTCTATAATGCACACCAACAGAAGAAAAATTTAGAACACACACACACACACACACACACACACACACACACACACACACACACACACACACACACACACACACACACACACACACACACACACACACACACACAACATCAATGCTAGATGTTTTATAGTATCTTAACTGCACATGCGCGAAAACAGACTCCCTGCTATGGGATTAGATTTGTGCCAATAGGATCAAGAAAAACACTTTGGAGAGCAAACAAATTTTAAGACATTGAGAGAAAAAACATTGGTTTCAAAAGAAAAACTTACGATCTGAATCAGATTCTTAAAATGATCAAGAAAAACACTTTGACGGTCAAACAAAAATTAAGAAATTGACAGAACAAAAATATTGACTAAAGGAAAAAAAACATATTTCAAAAGTAAAACTTACTATCTGAATCAACTTCTTAAAATGAGTAACAAAGTATGTTTCCTTTTTCTGTTTGCCTCTATGTGTTTTTGTTATCAATTTCCTTAGTTTTGTTCTCGCTGCTCAGAGCTTTGCTCTCACTACCAGATTTGCACTTACACTGTCTGGCTTTCTCCTTTGCAATCCCTGAGTTTTTGGTTGCAATTCTGACACAACCCTTTCGGGTGGGCGGGACTTCTGAGAAGTCCTCTCCCATAGGACAGTGGTTTCTCTTGAGTGACAGTTCAGTGACCTGGAAGTGATGTAGCCTCCAAGACATTTTTTTCCCACCTGGTCAACAACATGAATTTTGAGCCCCAAACAGGTTATTTCTGCTGTCTGTGGTGTCTACTGAGGATCTAAAGTGAGTATTGATAATATATTTTATCTTTTCTTAGTTCATCTGTAAGTTAAGCCACTTTTTAAGTTGGTTTTAACCAGATGCTAGCTCACTAGCTGGCTGCTAAGCAAGCCATTGTGCTAGCCTCAGGACAATGGACTATTGTTCCAGAGAGACGTATTAAAAACTCATCTTAACATATTCATTACTGGTTTCATGGAATTAATTATTGCAGTTTATGTTAATAAGTTTGCTAATTTTTCAGGAACCTGTGGAACATCAGAGACTTTGCAGCTACTGGAGCTAACCTGTGTACTGCTAACTTGCTACAGAGGAAGCAGCAGAAAGCTGAGCTAACAGGCTGTTTTGCAGGTAAATACTCTTTTAGTGGAACTGCAGGATTTTTATGGTATAACTCAGACAGAATCTACATGAGCTATTGTGGGAAGACATTTAAACTACATTTACATACAGATACATGTATTTTTTTATTCCATGTTACTTGGACGGGCTAAACAAGTTCATAGTTCTGCCTGCTCCTTTTTCAGTGAAACTAATGGATTTTATGATGTAACTCTAGTAAATCTATAGTAACCATAGTCTGGTGACTAGTGTCTATTTTAGCTACATTTAGCTTAGCTGGAGTAATGTAGTCTAACTCTGCCTCAACTGGTGACTTTTTTACTTCATTGTCAGCCAGACAAAATGTTGCTACAGAGAAACGCCCAAGGTACTGACCCCACAATAGAAAATCATAATGTCCACATTTATTTCCCACAATCTCAAACGTCACACTAAAATTAAACTTTTAGCTCTGATTTAATTATTTCCTTATTGATATCAGTTTTCCCTTTGTTGTAGGTAATCCTCAGGTGTCAGCAGGAGGAGGTGACTACCTGCACAACAGAGCACTCTGGTTCTGAGCCAGTTGCACCTTTGTGCAGCTCTTTGGGGAGACGATGCTCAGCAGGTTAAACAACTGTAAAATTGATTTTGTTCGTAGTTTTTGTTTAATCTCTTACATCACCAGTTTTTCTTTCTTACAGACACATGCCTCCATGTGGTCAGGTGGTGTTGGTGTGATCTGGGAGGGCACACTCATGTCGTCATCTCCTTGTGCCGTCTCCAGGATCCTGATGGGAGTTCTCTGTGCCTATAAAGCAGGAGTATTTACTTCTGGGCCTGGAGGGCCGGTATCCAGCACGTTTTAGTTTTAACTCTGTTTCAGTACACCTGATTTCAGTCAGCAGATAATTAACAGGCTTCTGCAGAGCTGCTGCACAGGTAATTCAACCACTGATTCAAGTGTGTTGGAGCAGGGAAACAACTAAAACGTGCTGGATACCAGCCATCCAGGACTAGAATTGAATACCCCTGCTATAAAGCCTTCCTCCCTCCTCCGGACTTTAAACATTAGTGTTTTATTACGGTTTACCTGATTTAGTAAATAAATCTCAATTTATAAATTTCCTGTTTTGGTGCCTGTCCGTAAAATCCTGCATTAGACACCGAAAGCTGAATGGATGCCTTTCATTCACTTTGACATTCAATGTATTTTTAAAGATACACTTGAAATTAATATCAGCTGTTTAACAGAGTGGTGCAAAGTAATTGCTGATGTCATGATTTTTGCAACAACCTGACCTTCATGCAGAGAAACTCAGGAGACAAATGAGCTAAAAACAGTTTATTAAAATGTTTGACGGATGACTGAAGAGGTAACTGCTGGAGATCAGGAACCAGAAGCTTCTGCGAGGAAGAGCAGAGGTTAGTAAGAGGCAACAGGTCAGGTTTTTCTTAGACTGTGCAGGTAGCTTACAGAGTCTGAGAAACGCCACAGAGATGGAGCCACAGGTTTTAGTGTTTAAAGATCAGAAGGCCCTGAGGTAAAATTGAGTGTTAGTAATGACTAAAGAATGACTTACAAAAGGAAAAGTTTAGGTACTTACGGTCTGAAATTGTAGCGCAGACGGGAGACAGCAGAATGGTGGAGAAACAACCAGAAGTCTGGGAGAATGACAGCATGAGTAGCAAGCGGGTGAGCAGAAGGTAGTGGGTAAGCCGACTGCCAGTATGGTTGTGTGATCAGGAGCTTCAAGGAAAGAATTCCCATAGATCTGCATAGAACATGAGAACGTAAGTTTGAAAAACGGCAGAGTCATGGGCTAGATATGGGTTAAAACACTGATGAGTGACCAGCTACCAGCTTTTATTCAAGGATGGGGTTACAGGTGTGTGAGGATGTGCCTGCCCCATGAGAAGAGTTTTCAGGTAAGCCTCTCCATGGTGCTCTGCAATGGTGACTAGCAAGGCTAATGAAGAGATTAAAGGGAACACAAACCCAGGACTCCGACCCAAACTCCTAACAGCAACACAACGACTCCTCCCACAGGCGGTTCCACTGAGCATGCAGCTGCCCGAAGTTCAGCATCAGGCAACCTGTAGGCGATGTAATCATACGTGGCTTCTGAGCATGCAAGTTTATTCTAGCTGTACAGCGTACAATAATAATAAAGATTTATATTGTGTTGTGTTGCTCACCTTACAGGTTCTTTTAAAATCTTATCCTGTGCCTGCTTACAGCAGGTCTTATAGGTCTTTTGAACTAGACACAGAGAGGTTCAGGCACAGGTACTTAGTCAGACTCCTGATATGGTAGAGCATCCACCACCACCGACTCCTGATATGATAGAGCATCCACCACCACGGACTCGAACAATAGGTCCATATGCTTGTCAACTGGAAACAATGGAAAAAGATTACCATTAGTACAGATATTTATCCATAACCATCACTGTGGGTTTATTATACAGCATATGAACTACATGAGGTGGGATTGGTCTGTAGTAGGGATGTGTATTTTTGACAGAATTTATTGTTGGAATATTCAATAAACAGTCCAAACTGATACTTAACATATATAACATGAGTTTCTGAACCATAATAGCGAGATTTAAATTTCAATGGTGGAAACAAAACCCAATGCACACTGCTGCCAACTAGCGGGCCACATTTAAAATGCACCAAAAACAAAGAAAATACACAAATGTTTGCATGTAAATTCTTCCAAAAATTAGATACACTGCTTTTGAAAATGGATGTAATATCTCAGGAAAAAATATCACGATATATTGCCATATCGATATTTTAGAGACAGAGTTCGAGAATATCGATACAATATTACTGGGAAAATACATCGCGATATATTGTCATATTGATATTTTCTTACATCCCTTGTCTGCAGTGCACTTTGTGTACACTATGGTGTGTCTTAGCTCACCAGCTGCTGTTGATGCATGTGGCTGTGTAGCACTTCCATTGTAATGCAATGCAGCAGTTTTCAATCTGAAAAGAAAGAATAAATAAATAAATAATAGCTTTTAGACAAAAATATAGATTTTATGTAAAAATTAATTAAAAGCATGTATTTAACTCATTATTGATTATCTGTCCTGGATAACATTCTTTTCATGGAGAATACAGAGCACGTGACAGAAAGCACATTGAATCTGATTTGTCTTGTTCTGACAAACAAATGTCAGATCTGTATACTGGAAAGAAATGTATTATCAAACATACTCACTTAGATAATTATTCAGTCAGAGTTACATCATAAAATCCATTCGTTTCACTGAAAAAGGAGCAGGCAGAACTATGAACTTGTTTAGCCCGTCCAAGTAACATGGAATAAAAAAATACATGTATCTGTATGTAAATGTAGTTTAAATGTCTTCCCACAATAGCTCATGTAGATTCTGTCTGAGTTATACTATAAAAATCCTGCAGTTCCACTAAAAGAGTATTTACCTGCAAAACAGCCTGTTAGCTCAGCTTTCTGCTGCTTCCTCTGTAGCAAGTTAGCAGTACACAGGTTAGCTCCAGTAGCTGCAAAGTCTCTGATGTTCCACAGGTTCCTGAAAAATTAGCAAACTTATTAACATAAACTGCAATAATTAATTCCATGAAACCAGTAATGAATATGTTAAGATGAGTTTTTAATACTTCTCTCTGGAACAATAGTCCATTGTCCTGAGGCTAGCACAATGGCTTGCTTAGCAGCCAGCTAGTGAGCTAGCATCTAGTTAAAACCAACTTAAAAAGTGGCTTAACTTACAGATGAACTAAGAAAAGATAAAATATATTATCAATACTCACTTTAGATCCTCAGTAGACACCACAGACAGCAGAAATAACCTGTTTGGGGCTCAAAATTCATGTTGTTGACCAGGTGGGAAAAAAATGTCTTGGAGGCTACATCACTTCCAGGTCACTGAACTGTCACTCAAGAGAAACCACTGTCCTATGGGAGAGGACTTCTCAGAAGTCCCGCCCACCCGAAAGGGTTGTGTCAGAATTGCAACCAAAAACTCAGGGATTGCAAAGGAGAAAGCCAGACAGTGTAAGTGCAAATCTGGTAGTGAGAGCAAAGCTCTGAGCAGCGAGAACAAAACTAAGGAAATTGATAACAAAAACACATAGAGGCAAACAGAAAAAGGAAACATACTTTGTTACTCATTTTAAGAAGTTGATTCAGATAGTAAGTTTTACTTTTGAAATATGTTTTTTTCCTTTAGTCAATATTTTTGTTCTGTCAATTTCTTAATTTTTGTTTGACCGTCAAAGTGTTTTTCTTGATCATTTTAAGAATCTGATTCAGATCGTAAGTTTTTCTTTTGAAACCAATGTTTTTTCTCTCAATGTCTTAAAATTTGTTTGCTCTCCAAAGTGTTTTTCTTGATCCTATTGGCACAAATCTAATCCCATACCCTGCAGTTCTTCTCTTGGACGGGTGGCGTCGCTACAACGTTGTACAACAGAAAAAAGACCAGAAGAAGAAAAGCAAAGGAAGTGGTGAACGCTTCATTCACCGACCGTGGCTGTTGTCTCCAACAGATCCAAGCGATTTTCAACGTTTCACATCAAATGTTGCCTCGTTAACAACTTGACTTTGGCTCAGTTGCTCTGTACGAAATAATCAGACGAACGAACAAAGATGTGGAGACTTTTGGAAGCAACAACCGAACACAAACCAACGTTGGGTTTGGATGGAAATGAGCAACTAAACAAGTCCGTGGATGCTGTTTTCAGTCCCACAGTTCGACTGCACAGATTAGGTTTGTATATGTCAGTTCATCATATCAGATTTGATAATTTAAGTCAATATTTGTTACGGTTTTGAGGACGCTAACGGGTTTTTTAAGTGACAGACCTTTCTTTAAAACAGCTGCTGTTCGTTAGATTAATGCGTGGTTGCAGCCGCCATCTTAGGCAGTGCTACTCGGTCGCTGTGTCTCAATTCAGGGTCTGCATCCTTCGAAGGACCCAGCCTACTCGGCCGACGTGGGCTGGGTCCTCCGTCGGCCGAGTAGACCAGATGTTAACGGCTGTGAATTTCCCCCACTCCGTCAGCGAACGTTCCGTCGCCTAGCAACCGTGGAACCGCTGAGCAGAGGGGAGAAGGAACTTTATGTTTGTGTTTATGTTTATTCATTTGGCAGACGCTTTTATCCAAAGCGACGTACAATTTTTAACTTGTAGGGCATGTTGTGATCTGTAGGTGTTGACGCAGCCATTGATGACAGGAGAACCAACGACCAGTTTCTTGACGGAGGAAGGACAAACACCATGTAGACCAGGGGTGTCAAACTCATTTTAGCTCAGGGGCCACATTGAGGGAAATCTAGTCCCAAGTGGGCCGGACCGGTAAATTAAAAACAACTTCAGATTGTTTTCTTTGTTTTAATACAATCAATATAAAACAATGCTGGAGCCTGAGGACAGTGTATCCAAAATAGTACAAGTACAACGCCTGAAGTGTACTTGAAACTTTGAAAAAAAAAAACATTCCTTAGTGATTCAAAGAGCTTACAGATCACATGGCTAGATCAGTTTCATGCAGCACTTAAAGTATATTTGACTCATTTTACTTTACATCTTTTAGCTTTCACCAGCACATCAACATCAGAAGTCACATCCTGAGTGGCAGCCAACTTCAGGATGTGATTCAAGTTCTTGTGTGAGTCTTGAGCACAGCTTTGTTTTATTTATACTCATTACAGAGAAAACTTGCTCACAAAGATAAGTTTATTTTCACTCTACATTGTAAAGTATGAAAATAAAGTTTACACAACCATCTCGCGGGCCGGATTTAACCCGTTTGTGGGCTGGATCTGGCCCGCGAGCTGCATATTTGACACCCCTGATGTAGACAGCATTCAGTGGGGACCGGTAGCAGAGGATGGTTGCGGCAGCACCACCCCCTTTTTATTTATACAATCACAATAATGAGTCACAGCTGTAAGAGCACAATCAACAAAACTTAACACTCCCACTTGCTCTTATACAGTGAACTCCTCTATTATGACAATCAATTCACATTCCAAATAAATATTTTTTGAATCTATCCATCTTGACCTTTGTTACAGGCTTTGTTAAAACATCTGCAACCATGTCTGTTGTTGGACAATACTCAATGGTTATCTTTCCATCACTCAACATAGATCTAATAAAGTGACACTTTATGTCTATGTGTTTATTTCTCTGTCGACAGACTGGATTCTTAGACAAAGCGATAGCACCTTGATTATCTCCAAAGATTTTTACACTCATCAGTCAACCCTTTTAGCAGTTGCAAAAGATATAAACTCTCCTGTACTGTGGCAGCTAGAGCTTTATATTCTGCTTCACATGTTGATAACGCAACACTTTGCTGTTTCTTGGTCCTCCATGAGATAGAGCCACTTTTGTTTAAGCTAAAACAATAACCTGTAGTGCTGCATCTGTCGGTGCGATCTGAAGCCCAATCTGCATCACTATAAGCTTCAAGTTCAAGCTTTCCTTCACTTTTTGTATAACCGCTCTTGATTTATTGTTCCTTTTAGGTATCTTAACACATGTTTTGCAGCTGTTAAGTGTTGCTCTTTTGGTTTAGACAGATACTGGGAAAGTTTACTAACAATCCAACATATGTCAGGCCTTGTACAAGTCATTATGTAGATCAAACTGCCGACCATTTCACGATACCTTCTTGCATCAACGGAGTCACCTTCATTCATCAAAATGCAAATTTTGTTCACACGGAGTAGATCTTGCTTTACAGTTAGACATACCAAATCTTTCCAATATTTTTGTTAGGAATCTTGTCTGGTTCATCTTTATCTCTCCTTTCTGTGTAAAATCAACACCCAAGAACGTTTTTAGATTACCAAGATCTTTCATCTTAAAGATTTTTGTTAACATGTCTTTCACTTCTTCAAGTGACTTTGTATCCTTTGATGCAACAAGGAGATCATCAACCCAGATTAACAGATGCATTTGTCCATATTTTGTTTGTTTACTGTAGACACAATGATCTGCTTCATTCTGTATAAAACCGTTTTTACCAAGACAATCATGCAGCATTTTGTTCCAGTTCCGCCCAGACTGCTTTAGACCAAATAAGGACTTTTCAACCGACACACAAGCTTTTTACCCGTGTCAGACTTGATTTCAAAGCCTTCAGGTTGCTCAATGTACATGTCACAGTCAATGGGAGCGTTCAGATACGCTGTTTTTACATCCATCTGATACAACTCTAAGTCATTCTGTGCAGCAAGATGCATTAATGTGCGTACAGAAGTCATATCAGCTGTTGGAGAAATGTTTCTTTGTAATCTATTCCTGCTTTTTGACTATATCCTTTCGCTACATATCTGGCCTTATATGTCTGTGTTGAATCAGCATTTTCTTTGATAGCATAAACCCATCTGCCCCCCACTATGGATTTATCCTCTGGTAGTGTAGTTAAAGTGAACGTGTTGTTTTCTTCTAAGGACCTCACTTCTTGCATTGCACGTACCCACATTTCAGACTTTGATGAGGTTATAGCCTCCTTGTATGTGTGTGGGATATTGCTTAGCATCATGTAACAATAATCAACATCAATTGATTCCTCGTCTTCCTCCACTCTATATTCATAATCATTCAGGTACTCTGGACGCTTCCTCTCCCTCTTAGGATAACGTCTACCGTGACTTTCTTCAATCTGAATGTTGTTTTCTGGTTCCGAGGCCTCAATCTCTGTCTCAGGTTTCACTTCAGGATCTTGTTTAGTCATTGACTCTTTAGATACGGAAGGGATAAGCCTCTCCCCAAATACATCGTCATCGTTTAAAATCAGTCGGTCTGCGTTGAATGTTCAACCACAGTCTTGGTTACAAACTTCACTAACTTGTACTTAAGTACCTTTCCTGTTTCTGGGTAGTAAACCAAATATGCTGGGCTTATGGGGCCAGCTAGGTCTGTGTGCACCAACTCCAGTGCTTCTTTAGCTCTCACATCAGGCTCTCTGCTTCTAGTCTGAACAAACTTTCCTTGTATGCAGGTTTCAGTTTAGATTAGATTGATCATTTTTACCTTTGATTTTCATTCCTTTGGTTACATTCTCCAACTTTGACACGTCATCATAATTGCAATGACCAAGTACCTCATGCCATGCTTGAATATCATAACATTCTTCATTATAGTCATTCTCGCTATTTATAGTGTTCAGATAGTACAGTCTCCCGTATTCTTTAATGTCAAACCTGGTGCCGTCTTTGTGGATCAGCTGGGTGCTTCCCTCCTTGAAGTGGACCTCAGCTCCATTGGTGGTCGCAGCTTTGACCGAAAAGATGTCCTGCGGGAACGTGGGGATGTAGAGCGCCCTCTGCAGTGTCGCCGACATAGGACGTCCCTTGCTGTCCCTCAGGCAGACCACGGCCTCGCCTCGTTTGTGTGCAACGCCACTCGTTCGCTTCCCATCAGCCAGCTCCATGAAATGCTTCTCCGGGAGGAAGGTGTCATCAAAGCTTCTAAACTTCTCGATGTCGGTGATAATGTGGGAAGTTGCTCCTGTGTCGACCATCAGACCTCTTTCTTTCACTCTGTTCATGACGCTGTCGCTGATCTTGAAGGCAAATGTGTGACATTCTTCATCAGCTGCGAGCTTTGCGTCATCTCTCCTTTTCCATCTGCAGTTCGAGTCTCTGTGAGTGGGGCTCCGGCAAAATGTACACCACTGTCTCTGCTGGCCACATTCTCGTGCTTTATGCCCCGTCTGGCCGCACGTGTAGCATCTTAACTGAGTAAAATCTCTTTTCCCCCTCATCCTCATACTCGAATCTCCAGCTTTCATAACAGCGTCATCATTGCAGGAGGAATTCAATTTTTCAGTGCTCTCATAACTTCTTAACTTTGTTTTAAATGCACTGAATGTTCTCTTGTCATCACTTTGTGTTATATGAATGGCAAATGGCTTAAATGCTTCTGGTAACCCTTTCAGAACCATTGCAATCAGCAGCCTGTCGCTTAACGTCTCTCCTGCATTTCTTAGTGCTGTTATGGCAGTAGCTGCAGGGCTTTCCTTCCATCATCTGGGGCATCTCATTATGAGGGAAAGACTCTTATCGTCCAAAAACTGGATTAATTCCGCGTATGCTCATTCTTTGAGGCGTCGTTGTCATCATCATCTGCTCCACCCTCGCCTGGCTCATCTGAGCGTAGGATTGTCTCCTTAAGTCCCAGCAGCCGCAGGTGACCCAAAAACTTTGTCTCCCACAACTCATAATTTTTCTCATCTCCGTCGAAAAACAATCGTTGCCATCGGTTTCCACTTTCCTTTTTGGGCCCATAACCTGTTGACGCAGCCATTGAAGACAGGAGAACCAATGACCAGTCACTTGACGGAGGAACGGACAAACACCATGTACAGCATTCAGTGGGGACCGGTAGCAGAGGATGGTTGCGACAGCACCACCCCCTTTTTATTTATGCAATCACAATAATGACTCACAGCTGTAAGAGCACAATCAATCAACAAAACTTAACAGTAGGGGAAACCGGAGTACCCGGAGGAAACCCACGCATGCATGGTTGCGGATAGGATTTTCAAACTGGGGGGGGACAAACTTCGAATACACACACACACACACACACACACACACACACACACACACACACACACACACACACACACACACACACACACACACACACACACGGGACTGTCTCAGCTGTTATTTTCGTTAAGGAGTGTGCACGTACAGCATGCGCGCCTTGTGCACGAGCCTACTATTGAAGCTGCCGTTTCGCTTTTGGCCTGAGGGGGCAATCGCGAGCATACAAATTCAAAACTCCATAAAGTCCCTTTAATAATAGGATTACAGCAATGTGGTTGGTTTTACAGTGCAAGTCCGTCACAGTCGTACAGGGATCTTTATCAGAACAGATAAGTGATTACAAGCTGTGCCAACATTTTATCATCCTTGGCCTCCAAACCACCGCGCTCCATGGCCTTCACACGTCTGCAGCTTGCTGATGTCTTCTCTTTTTCATATTGTCTGGTTATCAAAAACAATGAGGTAAGCCGCTGTGGGTTGCCCTATTGGCAGAGAAAGATTGTACATCCTGCCCTGAAAGAAGGACAAAGTTCATTCTGACCTGCTACAATATATCAGGCCTTTGCCTTCTAGTACAAGATCTTCTTGTTCTTGAAGCACAGAATTAGCTAATAAAAGACAAGTAACCCCAGAATAATGTATAATTCCCAACAGAGGCGATACTCAAAATCATTAGCGTCACAACTACTTTTTTTTTTTTGTATGACGCTTTCATCCAGGCAAATGAACAGTTTGATCTCTTATTGTCAATGCTGTCATTCACTGTGTCCTCCATCTTTTTCGTTATTTCTGGGGCACTCACACTTTTTTTTTTATATATGTCCAGCCATATTGTACCTGTTATCTGCAGTAAGAGGCTACAGCTACACAAACATCAGCATGTCCAGCTGCCACTCTGTGGCTCAGTTTCAGCCACTGATTGGTCCAGCGCAGAGCAGCACTTAATACACAGCCTGGACCACCTTTAGCTTTGATTACGGCACACATTTGTTGTGCCATTGTTTCCATAAGCTTCTGCAGTGTCACAAGATTTATTTTCATTCAGTGTTGCATTAATTTCTCACCAAGATATTGCGTTGATGATGTTAGAGTCTGACCGCTGCACAAAGCTTTTTTCAGCACATCCCAAAGATTCTCATTGGGGTTAATGTCTGGACTCTGTAGTGGCCAATCCATGTGTGAAAATGATGTCTCGTGCTCCCTGAACCACCCTTTCACTAGTTGAGCACGATGGATCCTGGCATTGTCATCTTGGAATATGGCTGGCCATGGCAACACCTGAAATGTTGTATGGGGAAAGTACTGCAAAACAGATGTGATTTATTTAAAAAGGTTATATAAAATGTTGCCATTTGGGCTGCACATTACATTGTAAATGTATCGGCATCACGATAAAGACGTGCACAATGTGCATACTGCAAAGAACAGAATATCTAAAATTAGGGTGGGAGGCAGATCTTTTAGTTATCAGGCTCCTCTCCTGTGGAACCAGCTCCCAGCTTTAGTCCATGAGGCAGACACCTTGTCTACTTTTAAGACTAGGCTTAAAACATTTTTATTTGATAGGGCCTATGGTTAAAATCTAATGTTAGCCTAGATCTGGACAAGTGGGGGAGTAGAGGGGGGTGGAGTGTACAGTTGGTAAAGACGGCTCTCCCTTGCCCTGCCTCCAACATGCCTCCATCTAAAAAGGCTAGGTTATCCAGAGTTATCTCTGTAGTTATGCTGCTATAGGCTTAGACTGCTGGAGGACACACTGACCACTTTTCACACTCTTCTACTTTCTTCTACAATCTGCTCTTTAACGGTATTATTTCCTGCTATTTCAGCTGTTAACTTTATTTTTTCTCTAAGTGTTTTTCTCCCCAGAAGAAGCTACAATGATGTTCTGCTGAGCTGTGGTGGCCTCATGGAGGGGGCCATCGGTTAGCACACTGCTGCTAACCACTTAAACATTCTCCCTCTCCTGATAATAACATTTTACTCGACATTGAATGTGCTACTACTAGTTTACCCGTTTAATTATAGATTCACTAGGATAAATACAGTAACGTTTATCTCTCACCAAATAGAATATTTACTAAGCAATCACAATGTAACCTTAGACACATTGCTTGCTGTGTGTGTGTGTGTGTGTGTGTGTGTGTGTGTGTGTGTGTGTGTGTGTGTGTGTGTGTCTGCTCTGTCTTCTCGATCCCCAGTGAGTCGTGGAGGATGGCTGCTTATACTGAGCCAGGATCCTCTGGAGGTTTCTTCCTGTTAAAAGGGAGTTTTCCTCTCCACTGTCGCTATATGCTTGCTTAGTATGAGGATTGCTGTAAAGTCACTGACTAGTGTCAGTGACTTGATGCAATTTGCTGGGTTCCTTCTATAGGAAACATTTTTTTTCTGATTGGCTTGATGAACTGACCTGGATTGGAATGTTTATTATGTGAAGTGCCTTGAGATGACTCTTGTCGTGATTTGGCGCTATATAAATAAAATTGAATTGACTTGGGGGGAAAAAAACGCAATGAATGGTCAGCTCAAATGTTTGCTACACATAATAAATGCTGTCAATCAAATGGAAGCATGAAGTTTTTGACATATCAAATAGTCCTCCACCCATTTGACCAATCAGGTGGATTCATATAGGTTAGATGCCCGCACCCCTAGGCAGATGGTACTTAATTTGGATGGCTAGCTAACACCTGAGTTAACTTCGTTCTGCTTTTCCCAGGATTCACAGATTGCCTTTGGATGTTTTGTATTTGTGAGTACATCATTACAACTTTCCATCATGTGTTTGTTTCAGTGTTCCCTTCAGATGTTCATCAGACGGTGCTGATTAAAGAGGTTGCTGTTGAAGAAAAGAGACCTGATGTAGACCAGCAGGACGCAGGGCTCCTCAACATTAAGAAGGAAGAGGAAGGGCTTTGGATCAGTCAAGAAAAAGAGCAGCTCTATGTGCAGAATAAGCTAGATGCTGCCAGGTTCTCATTTACCACTTTGAAGAGTGATGGTGATCACCAACATCGAGACACAAGTATTTCAGCTGACCAGGTGAAAGTACAAAGTGATGAAGACCTAAATACTTGTGGTCGTGATTCTAGCTCCTCAGAGAGTAAAGTCCGTGGGAACGATGTTGACCCTCAGCTGAAAAACCTATCAGACTCATGTCAGTTCAGAAGAAGCTCTTCATGTGATTTGATTGGTGATGAATGTATTGTAGAGAAACACAATGTGGACTCACACAGGAAAGTCCAAACAGGACTGAAACCGTTTTGCTGTGGTGACTGTGGACAGAGATTTGTCAGGAAGGGAAAGCTGAGCATACACATGAGAATCCACAAGGGACAGAACCTGTTGTTTTGTGAAGTCTGTGGAGACATATTTAGCTTAGAGAAGAACTTAAAAAGGCACATGGCGACCCACACAAGACGGAAACGTTTTCCCTGTGATGTCTGTGAAGAATCCTTTAATCATGAGGCAGGTTTAACCAAACACATGACTAGCCACACGGGCCTGAATCCGTTTCTCTGCACGATTTGTGGAAACCGATTTAAACATAAGGCAAGTGTAAGCAGACACATGAAAGTCCACACAGGAGAGAAAGACTTTGGTTGTGGCGTGTGTGGGAAAAGTTTTACTCGAAAAACGGGGTTAGACATGCACGCACGAACCCACACGGGCCAAAAGCCGTTTAGCTGTGATGTTTGTGGTAAAGCATTTGGCGACAGCACAATTTTAAAGGTGCACAGAAGAATCCACTCGGGGCTAAAACCGTATGTGTGTAATGTTTGTGGAAAGAAATTTAGACAAAGTCCACATTTAATCACACACGTGAGGCTCCACACAGGACTACGACCATATGCCTGTGGAGTTTGTGGACATGGGTTTAATGAAAACGCAGCTTTGAAGACGCACATGAGGCTCCACACAGGACAGAAACCATTTCATTGTGAAATCTGTGGACAAACGTTTAAACACAAGTTAAGTCTCACCGGACACCTGAGAATCCACACAGGACAGAAACCTTATTCCTGTGATGTCTGTGGAAAAGACTTTAATAACAGATCCAGTTTAAGGAGCCACACGACAGTCCACACAGGAAACAGACCGTATGTTTGTGACGTTTGTGGAAAACGTTTTACGGGCAAGTTAACTTTAACCATGCACATGAGAAGTCACACAGGACAGAAGCCTTTTTCCTGCAGCGTCTGTGAACAAAGGTTTTCACACAAGCAATCTCTTAAGGTACATCTGAGATCCCACTCAGACCGGAAGCCGTTTTTTTGTGGTGTTTGTCTAAAAGTGTTTAAGCATGAGGAAAATGTGCATCGACACATGAGAAGTCACACAGGACAGAAACCATTTGCCTGCAGCCTCTGTGAACGAAGGTTTTTGTACAAGCAGAGTCTTAAGGCACATGTGAGATCGCACTCGGACCAGAAGCCGTTTTCTTGTGGTGTTTGTCTAAAGGCGTTTAAGCATGATGGAAATTTGCGTCAACACATGAGAAGTCACTCAGAACAGAAGGCGTTTGTTTTGTTTGTGGACAAAAGTTTAGATTGAAGTCGGAGTTAAATGCCCACCTGGGAAACCACCCAGGACAGAAGTCATTTGTTTGTGGGGTTTGTTTTTTTTGTGGGATCTAATAAAATTCTAAACCAGCACATGAAAACCCACAAGGGGCAGAAGCTTTTTGTGATGTTGGACAACGATTTAGACACAAGTGAAGTTTCAACACATGACGTGAAATAGTTTAAAGGTATGGGACACTGAAAAAACATTTTTTAAATGTAAATGTTTTCTCTGATTATAATCCGTCACTAGTTTTTCATGCAGGCTGAACATGAAAATAGTCTCCTACACCTATCTCGATCACTAGTTTTTCATGCAGGCTGAACATGAAAATGGTCTTCTACACCTATCTCCTGCATTAGCTTCTGATAGAAAACAGATGGTCAAAGTCTAGGATTAGAAACTCCTGGCAGATCTACGTCATCCAGTGAATTAGCGTTCATGGACTCACCCATCCTGACTTCGACGGGGAATGTTGTCGGTTTGTTGTCCAGGAATCAGCAGAGGACGTCTCTGATAGTTTAGGCTAACCATTTGCATTAATAACACCACCACACAGCAGAAGCTCCTCCTGGCTTGTGTTATTTGTGGAGATAAAACATTGTTGCAAGATGGTGGTAGAGTCGTGTTGCTGTTATCCAATCCAGTGCGAGATAACCAAATATCAGAAAATAAGACTCCAAAACCTGCCATCTTTAGCTCAGCTGTGATGTGGGTAACATTCATGTCAGAGAAATTGTACACTAGTATATTTTTTTCCCCTTACAAGGCATTCATTCCTACTAGAAAAATGTATTGATTAAAGGAGTAAACGACTCCTTTAATCAATACATTGCACTGGTCTCTATTAGAAATCAGTGTGTTGTTAGTCGGTGGGCCTGATTAAAGCTGAGATGTGCTTGAATCAGGAAGTACAAGTCAGTTGGAAGAGAAAGTAGCTTCAGATGGCAGGATTTGGAGTCTTATTTTCTGATATTCAAACATCTCGTCTCTGATTGGCTAACGGCAACACAACTACCGCTGACGCTGGCCGTGTTCGAGACGAGCCAGTTCTGTGCGGATTAGATCACCGGTGATTGGCGCGCAGTGCTTGCCAGTTAGATGTGTCCGACTTGACGCCGACTTGCTCTGATGTCATGCATACGTAGGCAACGATAACCTCGTGAGATCAAGGAGACCGAAGAGCAAGGCGCTGCTGTTGCTCTCCATCAGCTGCAAAACCTAGGGGATGATGGGAAACGCCTGGCTGTCACCTGATCTAAGATCTGATTGGATCCAAACATCCGGTGGTAGAATGCAAAATGTTAGTTGGTCACATGTATTCTGTAAATCATGCTACATTGATGACAACCATATACGCCATAAAGAGAAATGTGATTTGTTCTATTTTGTCACATTTTCTATAAGCACACTAAACCTCTACAGCTGATAACCTTTACTATGCAAATGTCTACAATATGTTATATCCACAAGCATGTGAGGATGTGTTTCGGTTGCTAACAGGCACCAGAATTAAAAGTAAAAATTAAACCGGTATGAACGCTAACGCGATATCTTCATCATCACCCACAAGCGACACGTGTAGGGAAATCTGTCCGACTAATGGGCTCGACACACGGGAGGCGACAAACGACCGCGATCAGCGAAATATGCCGCCGTCGCTTTTATTACCTGACACACGGGAGGCGATCCGCGGCCAGCAGCAAAGCCGTCTACTCGTTCTGTTCCATGGCGAAATCGAATCTTTCGTTGTTTTGTTTGGCTGTGTCAGGTTGGAGGGAAGTAAGGTTATTTAAGCGGTTCAGAGTTTAAAAAGTGGTAGATATGTTTCACAAGGTGCTGCTAGAGTTATGTGAAATCTTAACTTGTGATTTTACTATATAAAACATAATAATAATCAACTTCTCCTTCATGTTTGCTCGGAGATGTACGGAGCATCCTGTCCGCTCATTGGTCAGTGAATGAAACCTCCGTTGATTGGTCCTCGTCCGAGCGACAGCGATGAAAAGTTGAAAATGTTTCAACTTTCTGGGATCGCGTCGCTGGGTCGCCTGTGCACGACACGTGCACGAGCGCAAAATTTCACACGCATGTTTTTTGCGTTTCGCTTGGTAGGAGGGAGACCCGCGATTATCGCTTTGTTGCACATGTCTCATTGAAAATGAATGGAGGAGAGGTGATGTCGCCTCCCGTGTGTCGAGCCCATTATACTGTGTGGTGAGGTTGCTAATGCTAACGGTTAGCTTCTACTACTTGAGAAGTTCTCTGCAGTTTCCTGGACGCTAAAACAACAACCTTCGCCGTCAGTCAAGATGGGTGAGTCCATGAATGTTAAGTGACAGTGTGACGTAGATTTGTCAGGATTTTCTAATTCTAGAGTTTCACCATCCGTTTTCTATCAGAAGCTAATGCAGGAGATAGGTGTCGGAAGACTATTTTCATGTTTAGCCTGCATGAAAAACTCAGTGTGACCCATTATAATCACAAATAATCATTAAAATGTGTTTTTCGGAGTTTCACACCTGTAAGTACATGTCTAGGAGTTGGCTTCAAGATGTCTTTGTTTTTAAATCTAAACTAAGATCTTGGGGCCAACTACTGCATGACACGCAACAGGTGTCCGGTTAGCCTTGAGACGACTCTTGTCGTGATTTGGCGCTATGTAAATAAACTTGAATTGAATTCCAATTTTAATTAATTTTAAACCATTTTATGTTGTGTGTACACTTTTTAACTGTAACTTTTTCCCTGTAACCATGTGATGCTGCTGCCTGCTTTGACCAGGTCTCCCTTGAAAAGGAGTATTTTAATCTCAATGGGATTTTCTTGTTTAAATGAAATAAAAATGTAATAAGAAATAAAAAAGTAATGAGACACAATCAGGTGATGCCTAGGGGGGAGAAAAAGAGTGTGCGTGTGCAGATGTGTAGGTAGCCATCAGCGCTGGCCCCCTCTTCAGTTTTCCTTTTGAAACCCTTTTGTAGGATTTGGCGTTGACATTTCTGATAGAAACCCTATGGATTCATGGCTTCGCCTCACAGCCTGTGGAGTTTTGGGTTCTCTGAGAAATTCTCTCATCTTAAAAAAAAAACTTAAATGAGAATTCAGAATATTTAGTTTTATTATTTCTTTCAGTTAGAAACTGACCTGAGCAGCACTGATGTGTGAAATCAATGAAAAACACATTTACATAATTTATTAAACATAACAATGAATGGAAAACATGCTTATTCACATTAATCAAAATACTTTACTTAATACGAATGTCTTTTAATCATAACGTAGAAAAGCAAACATTTTGAGTACAAAATAGACAAGACTCTGCATTTAATTCTGCCAGGATGAAGTCATTGTGACTTTTGAGCTAATAAAAATATTATACTGAAACGGTTGCTACTAGCAAAGATTTGTGCCTTTTCAATAGTTAAATTAACAATGTTGCAGGAAAATAAAGTACAAAATATTCTTGTATCTATTTAAGAGTAAATGTGCCATTTGGAATGTGCATTTTTATATTTTATATAAATGCTTCTTGTTAATTTCGAGCAATTAAAGAAAATAAATCAGTGAACATACAACTCAAATGTAATCTATAAAATGATTGGCTTTGTCATCATACCTGAAAGTTGTGGCTGCAAACCTTCATCCAGGGGTGGTGTTAGGCCCGGCTACTTGGGCTCAAGCCCCGAATGTTTTATGAAAAGACTGTATGTGCGTGCACGCACACGCATTACGCCCCGGATCTTCTTCAGTCCTAAATCCGCCCCTGCCTTCATCCAGCATTTTTATTTATTAGATCAAAAACAAATCGCACGATTTTATTAATTAGTTTTATGGTGGGTGAAATATTTTTTATCCTCCCACTTTCAGCCTGGCTTTAGAAGAGAACAAGCCTGCATCACTAAATCTGACACGTGCGTTTGTCTGCTCTTGTCTTCTCGATCCCCAGTGAGTCGTGGCGCATGGCTGCTTATACTGAGCCAGGATCCTCTGGAGGTTTCTTCCTGTTAAAAGGGAGTTTTCCTCTCCACTATCGCTGCATGCTTGCTTAGAATGAGGATTTCTGTAAAGTCACTGACACTAGTCAGTGACTCGATGCAACCTGCTGAGTTCCTTATATACGAAACTTTTTTCTGATTGGCTTAATGATCTGACCTGTATTGGAATGTTTATTACATGAAGTGCCTTGAGACGACTCTTGTCGTGATTTGGCGCTTTATAAATAAAGTTGAATTGAATTCACGTGATGAACTAAAGCACTTGTTCTGATTAATGTGTGCTGCATGTTTTCCTCTCAGCAGCACAAAAAGCTGATTTTTACCAGGTTGAGGAGAGAAAATAGTACCAGGCTAGCATTGTAGGCCCTGAGTTTCATAAATCCTGCAAACATCTGCAGAACAAAACTGTATTCTTGTGCATCAAGTAGGAAAACTGTAATTATTTATCCACACAAATGGAATAAAGAGCTTCAAAACACACATGCTGCTTTTAAATCTACTGTGTCTTCTGTTTCTGTGCAGCAGACCCGTTCAGCTCAGTGGTGCTTTTTCCAGAAGTGAAAGGGATGATCTTCTCAAGCAGCAGGATGCAGCTCGCCATCCCTGCAGGCACATAGACACGTGATGCAGGAATCGTTTAAAAAATTACGTAAATCAACAACCTCAGCTTGCAGTTTCACCCTCAGCAAACAAGAATTAGTCATGATGGTGACTATAACGTTTACATGGAAGTGCATGTCGAAGTAGCCAAAACATTTCCTAAATAACGATGCAAACACACACTGTTCTACCTAAAACTGGTGCCAGCCAGTAAACGAAGCAGTACTCCAGCTGTGTGTGACCGCTGCAAGGGAACTGGATGGAGAAGGCCAATGCTGGGTTAAAAAATGCCCCAGAAACACCTCCACCTGCACAGAAAGAGCAGAAATATGAATGTTCTGCTGCTCATGAAAAACTAAAAACTACAAATAAGTGAAAAATCCTGGGTAGGAGCCACAATCAAATGTTTCCTCGTGATGACCGACTTTTCCACCCTGAAACTGCTTAATGTAGCTACAAATATTGGATCATATTTAACAACCTGTTTGTTTCTGGGTAAAAAGCAAAACTTTTCACGATATATTTAACTAATCAGCACACCTGTGTATACCAGCGCCGTGATGACAGCAGCGAAGAAGGGCACGCGGAGCTTTGGGTCCAGGTCGTGCACGTGCATGGCCGCAGCCTGCACCGTGAAAGCGCACGCGAACTCGACAGCCGCAGCTTCCAGGACGGTCCCACCGAGGGGTTCGAAGCACTGGAAGCCCAGGTTTCGGTGCTGAGTGTGCATGTCCGACAGACCCAGCGACCACACGGAGGCTGCGAAGTGCCGCGCGGCAACCGCAGCTCCGAACTGGAGGGCCAGGAGGACGGCCGCCGCCGGGACGTCTCTCCCCCTCCTTCGGTAAACGCGCTCCAGAGCCGCGTTGGGGTTACACGTCGCTTCCCGGAACGTTGATAAGTGGATAACCGTGATGGTGAACGTGAGGGCCACGCTGACCGTTGGTTCCAGCTGGGTCTTCACACTAAGCAGGTTGAGTTCATGCGAGCAGCAGCAGAGCTGGAAGGTGGAAACGGTTTCCAGCAAATAAACCCAATAAACTCCGCGGAGGAGACGCGCTGCCGCGCGGCGGATCGCCTCACAGAGGAACACCACAGCCGCGAGCACCGCTACGGAAATCGACAGGTCAGTCATCCCGTCCCCGGTTCGGTCTGACGGCGTCAACAGAACCATAAAAATCCCTCCGGATTCTGGAAAACTTTATGTACTTTTCTTTCTCTTCCTGGAAGTCAAAGTCCTGATGAGCCACGCTGCCGCGGGTGCGTCAGCCCGCTCACTCAAACCGGAAAAAGAGCGGTTCGACTTCAAAATAAGTCATTTAGGCGACTAAAATAGCACAAAGGTTGCCAAGTGTATCGTGAGATGATGACCTATTGAGTCAAGTTCAGTATTTCTACATTTTATAAGGTTTATCTTAAGTTTGTATTTTTAAAATGCGACTACTAATCAGTCTTATTGCTTTATTTTACTGGTGTCAAGCCAGCCTTCAATTCCAGCATTGCAGTCAATGCAGCCTCCAGTTTGTTTTCTGTTCCCCGTCTATTCAAATTATTACGGGAATGGATGTGGAAACCGGATTTGAAAATAAAATTCAACTTCAAGTGAATTATCAGATATTTTAAGAACACAATAACAAATAATTTAGGCTTGTTCACTATTAGCGCCCTGTCAACGTCAAGGCCATCTTATTTTGGATTTCAAAGTAAAAGCCCTGTGAATTTTCATTTTTGAACTACTCTTTCAATGACTTCAGAATGCTCTTAAAAGCAAAAGTCATATTTCCAAAGAGTAGTTGCATTTTGTATCAACACTATCCAACCACAGCAATTTGAAATTGCCCATATTTGACCGACTCTTTTAACGATTTCAAAATGCTCTAAAATGGAAAATTGCTGTTTCCACAGGGTAATTTCACTTTAGATCAACAGTATACAACCCCACAGTGATACCATATCAATATCAAGTCATTTCGATTTTGCTTTCAAAAATAAAAGCATTTTCAAACTGCTCATTTCAGACTTACTCCTGGAACAGTTTCAAAATGCTCTAAAACAGGGGTGTCAAACTCAAACTCACACGGGGCCGAAATGAAACTCTGGGACAGAGTCGAGGGCCTAACTTAATATTTTTTGAAAAAGTGACTGCAAATTTGCACATTTTCTTTATCAACATATATGCAATTTTGAACCTCTAAATTTGGAAACAAACATATTTCTGCATTAACACTGAATGTGGAATAACCAAATTACACACGAGCAAGTCAGTTTTAAATAAAAGGCATCAGTGGTATTCATTACTTGTGGTATAATCAGCATTTTTAAAATCTATTCAGGATTTATGTTTTCTTGTTTATTCATTTTTCTTATTTTTTATTCTCCTTTTTTTCTCCTGTAATAAGTGTCATCGCTGCTGTGACATCTAGCTTTCCCCACTGAGGAACAATAAAGGGATTTTCTGTTCTATTCATCTATCTGCAGCCTTTCTACTTCCTGTTTACTGTAGGTTAAATCTTTGCTCACGGGCCAACAACAAAATAAAAATATCATTTTATCTTAAATGAAAATGCAACACCTCACCTGCTAACTTTCATGTTTTGGAGCAGAAAAAGAGCAGAAAACCTAAATATTTAAAGCTCAGTTTGCTCCACTGGTTTACTGTGATGCTCACCTGTTCCAGCCAGATACCTGCATCATGGGGTTGATCTGAGCTGAGGAGGAGACTCCTGTTGTTTTGTTCATCTTCATCATAATAATGACAACATTAGATGACAACAGGTGCTCACATAGGTTTGTGCTGCTGAACATGTCTGAGCAGCTTGACCACGTTGTTGTGTGTCGGGGAGGAAACACAATGACGGCAGCCACAGAGTCATGCTGGTTTGAGCGTGTCGCTGTTCGCTGGAGTTATATCAGCTCTGTCTGGACGTTAGTTGGAAAACTTTCTCTTTCAGTCGTGAACACGTTACTGAGCGGCTAGAATCTCCGTTTCTGGGCTTCAACGTCAGAAAGCAGCTGAGTGAACTCGGCGCTGAGTGAGAGGCGTGTAGTTTGTCCGAGACAGCGGAGCTGCAGACACCCGGCAGCAGACGCTGGAAAAAAACACAAAGGAGGGGGCGCGTTGGCTCTGCGTTGACGCCGCAAAGCATCATGGGAGTTGAAGTCTTTGCGGTAAAATCGGCCAGCGGGCCAGTTTTAATATATTTGATATTTATCTCGTGGGCCACATAAAAATGCTCCGCGGGCCGCATATGGCCCGCGGGCCTTGAGTCTGACATGTGTGCTTTAGTTGCTTTACTCCTAAATGTTTGGGTTTGGACTTCAAAGTCGAACTTGTACACATCTTGAACTTGTAAATTTATTTTCTGCATTAATGCTGTTTTTTTAAATTGGCTGAATTTTAAATGTATTTTATCAACCCCTGGCTGCAAAGTACACCTCAGAATTTCTAAAGAACACAAAGTGTGTGTGTGTGTGTGTGTGCGCACACACAGGATGGAGGCTACATTAGAGTGTATCTGAGCAATGACGTCCACATTCTTCCAGCTGCTGACTGGTCTTCGTGCGAAACTGCTGCGGCATTTCCACCGCCAGACTTTTGTGTCGTGTCTGACGGGTCTGTACAGCTGCAAGTGGAGACGCTACGAGAGGAACAATGTTCAACCAGGAAACTGCTGCTGCAACATGGTTGTTATACAAATGTGTTGCAGATTTTGCATTCTTTAACACTTTTTTAGAAGGAGTGCATTTGTAGGCTGGGCCAGAGTGGTTGATTTTACATGACAGTAAAGCACGAACAGTGCTGTTGTCTAATGACGTCCTATTCTCTGTAACAATCTTTCTCACCACACTAAACACCCTTTAAGAACTGACATTGCTGTGGGGAATGCAGAGTAAAGCCTTCATTAATCTTGGCAGCTCACTGAACCTCACATCCTTCCCTAGCAGGCCCCAGAATCTGTCAATGTTGTCTTCTTGGGGGAGTTGCTTGCTATCTGTCACCTGGTAGTCAACGAGTTCCTCTCTCAGCCCATCTTCACTCAAGCTCAACTGAGGGAACATGGCCCCTAGCCTTTCCACTGTAAAATAAAGAAAATGTTGCAAATCTAAACCATGCAATATTTCATCAATTCAATTATTCTATCAATGGAGAACTGCCCTAACATCTACCTGTCCTTGGAGGAATGTCGAGGCGAGCAGCAGGGTCCAGCACTTTCAAGTCCCTCAGGAGTGTATGGTCAAGGGGAAAGGAGGAGAACATCTTCTGAAGAGCTGCTCCATAGAATCTTCTCACAGATCTACAACAGCGTAAGAGTAAAAAACTGCATTAGTGACAGCATTTTAGGCACAGTACAGCATATTCTCTCATACTGATGATGACCATTATAAAACAGCTGGGTAATATACTCACTGAACGATTTTCTCAGTGGACATGGGAAGCTCTTCGCTTTTCATGAAGGCCTTTTTGTCTGCTCCAATAAAGAGCTCTTCATCAGCCAACTAATGTCCTTGTCCATATTCCACCTCCCTGAGAGGTATACCTATGATGGCCCTGGCTGGTATGAGGTAGCCCAGGATCCTCCTGATCAGCCTGCACATTCCCTCTTCAAGTCTGAATTTGTACTCCCTCTGACTGTAGAAAACATCATGGGTCAAAACAAAATAACAGTGAATTAAGAATGCTACAATTAGCAAAATCACATTTGATATTTACACATACATTCAATAACACTGACACCCACCTGGAAGGCAATGTTAAAATCAGATAAAGGTTGAAGGAACATGAAGTAGATCTTCATGACTGGATCACGCAGATGGCTGGCTAAATCATGTATTTTGGCACTGCTCTCCACCTCCTCATGACTGTTAAAGTAGGCCCAGAGTACACAGGGAAACAGGGTGGCAATAGTTAAATAAAAGGAAAACACAGAATAGTAAGCTGTATGTTTCTGCTGGAGTTACCATTCTTACCTGCAGTGCATCCCACTGGTTCAACACTCTGGACACAGGTTAACAGACTCAGCCGTCGGGTGCTGCAGTACCTGAGGAGCTGCAGATGGTCTGAATCGGTAAAATCTACAAATTCTTTATAGATTTCACATCTTTTTGCACTGGTCTTCAGTCTGCTGATAACAAAGTTGTGTCTGCCTTTCATGACACTCGCATTATCAGAGTGAAAGGCAATCAGGTTCTCCCATGGAATGTCTCTTTATTGGAAACAGGGAAAAAAAGCCATAAATGTCTTACACTAAACGTAAGGTTATAATTAAATGCAAATTACTACACATGTCAACAACACAGTGCAGCTCCCCTACCTTAAGGCTTCACTCCGCTTTTCATACAGATTTTCTGCATTTCCCACATTGCACATGGGCATCTCCATGAATTTTGTAGTGACCTGCAGAGTGGCCTCATCGTAGAGTCTGCTCAGGATGACGAATTCTTTGTCCGTTTTTCTGTTGTTCGACTCGTCAAACATCAATGAAAAGGGCTGCGATCGGCATGTTTTGGCCAACTCATCATCTAGCTCTGCTGCTATGGCACGTGTTGAGTGAGTGCCCATAATGTTAGCTATCAATTTGCTACCAATATGCCTGCTAGACATGATTATGAATATGTATACAGTTTCATAATATTTATACTTAATTTGAATCAACTTGCCTTTGATGAGTTGCGTAGATTTGGTTTTTCCCGCAGAATATTTTTGTGCAATAGCAGAGTCTGGGAACATCTCAGCTACACACTTGCTGAAGTCGTCACAGAAGGTGATAGAAACATTGTTTTTGGCACACAGCATTGCTATTTTAACCTTCACATTTATGACCTGGTCAGCCTCGGTGGTATTCCTAGTCACAAATGCCGTCATCGTCTGGGCATGTTTCTGTGCTTCTAGCCAGCGCTTGTGCTTGGTTGATTTCTCATGCTGACTGACATCATTCCTTCCCCCGTGGGGGACACTAAAGTCGCAACTGCAAATCTTACAAAAAGCGTGACTTTGTCCCATCCTGCTCTTCTTTAGAGAGGTAAATTCGCTGTCCCATTTTTCCAGATATTTACACGATTTCTTTGATTTTTCTGGCAGGAATGCCTTCTTCACTTCCATCCATCATCGCTCTCGTTTGTTGTTCCTGTTATGTTTCTGCTGTCTGCACAAATCTCGCGACAACTGTATGGGGCAGTTCTCGCGAGGCTACAGATAATTTTAGAGAGGCAGAAGAATTTTTAAAATACGGGAGATTTACGGGAAAATAATTATAAGGGAGGACGGCAGGAAAGCAAAGTAAAATACGGTAGTTTCCCGGCCAAAACGGGAGACTTGACCGCTATGAGTTTGACACTGTAACAGCATACGCAGCTCTGGTCTGCGATCACACGATACAAAACACATTAAGATGGAGCAACGAGCATTAGCTAATGCCACCTAACACAGTAGGGAGAGTACTTGCAATCGCTGCTTGCAGTTGGGCTTTCTCCTTACCGCAACATCTGAAGTGCCATACCAAAGTTGTCCTGCTGAAAGAGCAGGCAGCTGCCTTTTATTAGATGATTCACCCCACCCTGCAATCACTCTAAAGCCGGGCGTACACTGTGCGACTTTTTCACTTTTTTGAGCCGATTTTCCAGTCGCGCGAGAATCCACGACATCGGGGCGAGTTTTGCGCCGAGCAGCCGTGTAGTGTACAGGGGGTTACGAGAGGCGATCAACACCACTTGACCAGCTGCCGATCAGCAGTCGTGAGGTCGCACGGACTTCTGGCGTGTTTAAAATTTCGCTTGTCCCTCGTGAGGGTATCGCACTGTTGAAGCGGCGCTGCGAGCAGCTGCGACCCAAAAAGTATCAGAACCGCTCACGGCGCATGCGCAATCCTGCATCAACGCCGCTCGCTATTTCCCTAATAACACACGCTGTTTGTTTTTGTTTCTACACGTTTTTTTACTCACAAAGATTGTCAAGAAAGCGTGTTTGTCGTGTTCATGTCAAATTAAACTATCACAAAACACAGATTTACTTTCTTTATTTCATTTTCCTCATCCAACCCCCATAAATCCCTGTGTCCTCCTGCAGCACTCCCGAAGGACAACAGGCAAGACAAGACAAAAAAGTCTGACGTGTTGAGTAAAAACTGCTATTTTTAGCACATTTTTAGGGCCGACGTGTTGCTACCAGACGTATAGTGTGAGCAGTCAGGTCGCATGCGAGAACTGGGTCGTGCAGTGTGAGCACATGACTCGTGAGATCTGTTCTGCGAGGAAGTCGTACAGTTTGAGCTGAAGCTGAGTGCTACGAGTGAAAAAGTCGCACAGTGTACGCCCGGCTTAATGTGAGCCACCTGGCTCCTTACTGGGATGGGACCAGACGAGATCTGTCTGTCCCATCACATTAGGGGTACAAGAAACTTTTGGGTCGCTCCTGTTTACTGGCTTCAGTTTTTTAAACAACTCTAGCTTTTTGCCTGCTGGTGTCAAATAACAAACGCTGGAGATGCAGCAGAAACTCGGCAACGCCGCAGACTCACAGGTTGTAAACAGTTGCTACGTGTCTTTATTTTTAAAGGAGGAAAACTGACAATCCCCCAGCCGACTGAGAGTGAAATCTGTTTCAGTAAAACCTTCCTTCCGTCATGATTGAGACGTTAGACGGTTTGTGATTATTTCACTGTGGAATTCTACTTAATGCTCCTTTAAATCTAAATCTGTGTGTTAAACGTTTGAAGCAACCATGTCCAGAGGCAAAGTCATTGGTCAGGCTTTGTTGTGGGTGGGGCCACAAATGCCGTGGGTAGTTCGAGCAGAGTAGTTAAATTAGATAGCTCATGGATTTAGATTTTAAATTTAACTGTGACTGTTTACCCAAGTTTACATGAAATGTTTGTTTTTGACCATTTTTAGTAAATTTGCATTTTAAGTAGTGTGCTAAATAAGAAAAAAGCTTAATATTGAGATACTTTCTGCCAAATCTTTTGCAAGAACAGTTAACACTTGGCATCTCATAAGTTAACAGATTTACTCACATCTCCACCATGCAGACCAATAAAATTATATTTTAGAAGATCAAGCGATTTTTTTTAATATAGTGCCTCAAGATTAAAGTCATGAGGCGCTTCACAAGAACAAACGTCAAAATAAGCATAAAAATCATAAAAATGTAAAGGAAGTAAAAGAAAAGAATAAGATAAAGGTAATTGCAGGAAAGACTGAATTGTGTAGAACTGGCCGGCTGGTCAAACTGTTGCGTTGTGGTTTATGCTCTTTTATGAAAGAGGAACCATTCTACATGTTAATTTGTGATATTAATTTTATTAAATTAATAACCAAATTGTATAGTTTTAAGAAGACTCAAAGGTTGTTTTCATCGATAAACTGTCGATAATATCCGTGGGTCTGTGTTTCAGTTCAATGAAGAAACAAGTTTGACAATTAAAAGTTTTAATTCTTCAAATTAAACTAATGATTTTGAAATTGACAAACAGGAAATAACAATCAACATTGGCAACTTTGTGGGACCATCTTTAACAGTTGATATTGTAAACTTGCTCAAATAGACCTTCTGTTGGAGGTGCTGAAGATTGAGAGTGATATGATGTGATTATGGATGCGTGTGTGCAAAGTGTAGTGAGAATTGAACATGAGGTGAGATGAATGCGTGTGTGCATCTGATTTTGCTTCAGGAAGAAACCGGTGTCTGAGTGAAGTGATGGTTTGGATAAACTTAGTTCTTATTGAAAAAGATGCATCAAAACGCTATCTGTCGTGTTCTGCCTCACCGAAAATCGGACTCCCTGTTGGACCCGGGACGTCACCTTAGGATGATGTTTCATCCAGGGCACCTTGGCTGGCAAAGAAGACAAAGATGCGCCACGAACCGGTCCAGAGTTGCCCTCGGTACACGTTGGTGGTAAAGCGTTTTGTCGATGCGTTTTGTTAAGTTTAGTTCACTCAGAAATCAAAAGACTCTGTATGAGTCTGCGTTAGAAGTTGCGATTCAGCTATTCTGTCTGGCTGACAGGAACAGCGGGAGGGGGGGAGAAACGAGCCGACCGGCTCTGTCCCCCCTTCGGTTTCTTCAGGTCCTCTCTCTTTCGTTGTCAAGCACGAACTGAATCATAAGACTGAAACTTACCAAAAGCCTTTCTCTTCTCAAAGCAAACGTGTGCGTCAGCAAATGTGTTTTGGAGTTTACTGTGAGAATCTGTGTGTGGGTGTGTTTGAGTGTGTGTGTGTGAAGGTCGGTAACAAACATCCTCAAACATTATCTAATTAAGTATGGATTCATTAATCCATTATAATTACCCAAAGCATAAGAATCATTCACTTGATTAAAACACATTTATAATGAGCAAAATGATAATGATTATTCTTTAACATTAAAATCAAGAAAATAAAGTTTTAAGACTTGTTATGTTATGACTACTTTTCCATGAGAACTCCTTCTTCTGGTACTGCAGGTGTTCAGATGTTATGGTTTCCAGCAGACTCTTGCAGACTTCATGTCTGCAAAGGTCTCAATCTGTGGGTGAAAGTTCTCAGCGACCCAGCTCTTTGACCCAGCCAAGTAAAATGACCTTTTGCACAGAAAACCCATATTTCCTCACGTTACAATTGGTAGTGAGAAAGAATCAACAGAAGGTCACACCAAAGCCTGAACAGGTGAGTTTCAGCTGCTTTTTAAAGGCGACCAGAGTCCACTGATGTCAGGCTCAGGTGGAGACAGTTCCAGAGTGAAGATGAACTCAAAAACAAATGATCTGCTTAGAGATTACCTGCTGAGTTTTGTTCTGTGAAGGAAAAAGATGTTTTAAACAAATGAAGACTCAAGAGTTTCATATTTAAATTTTGATGCTGACAGCTGGAGGTAGCCTCCTTCTTCCTGCTCATCTCAGCTTCCTGTCTCACGTTGGTGTTTCTCTACTTCTGGGGTCAAGTGGGGAACGACTACAATGACTTTGACTGGTGGGTCTAGTCACAAAGATGTTCACTTACAGCCGTCATCATTTTTTATTTAACATCACAAAGTAGATCAGAAACTCTAAGAGTCAGTTTCTCTTGCATCTGGCTGAAGAGATCTAGATTGTCGCACAAACATGAAATGAAGCCGTTTTTTTTTTGCAGACAGGTCGGGTTATGGTTAAGTGTTTTTAACGCTCTCCTCACTGGTGTGAAGGTTTAACTTTGGGAATTTGGGCTTCTGGTTTCCCTGGTCTGTGGTGCTTCTAGCCATCGCTGCAGGCTTCGTCAGCTACCTCACCGTTCTCGTGGTGAGGCACCAACACAGCCCTGAATTTATTTATTAAGTCTGATTTGAGTCTTGATTTGGCCACATCAGTTTTTAAAGGTGTTGTTCATTATTGCATCAAAAGTGCCAAACGGTTTTCTCGCTTTAAATGCAAACTAAACATGAGTCAGCAGAAACGGGCTGTTTGTTCTGATGTGAGTTTAGACTTTGAGCGTGTTTTTCTTTTTCTGTGCAGCTTCTGGCCATGTGTTTGCTGTCAGAGGGTCAGAAGCTTCATCTCCACTGGAGCCACAAACGCTTCTTTTGTGACACAAAACCCCTACATGTCCTTGAGCTAAAAACCAAACTGGATAGGAGAAGGATTGAGGTCATTTTTAAAGGATTTGGAGTCCCAGGAGGATGTCAGACTGTGTAGTGATCAGATACAAAAGACCCTTGTCCTTCGTGAGTCAAGACGGATGAGTCCATGAGCGTTAATGTTACCTGTCTCGCTTTTCTAATCCTAGAATTTCACCTTCTCTTTTCTATCAGAAGCTAATGCGGGAAATAGGTGTAGGAGACTAGTTTCATGTTCAGCCTGCAAGAAAAAAACTGACTGATTATAATCAGAAATCATTAAAAATTTCTTTTTCAGTCTTCCACACAGTTCATCAAGGGCAATGGTGACTTGCCCATAGGGGGCACTAGGGTGCCCCCTCACTGTAGTGAAGGGAGAAAAAAAAATCTATATACACATATTTAGTATAAATGTGTCAGATTTGCATAATTGCGTTTGCCAACATCCAATCTGAATTATTTTCTGTCTCACATTAAACAGTGAATTTGCTCCACCAGACTCGGCAATATCACGTCTGGGGCGCTGGGAAAAGCGTTGCTGAACTGCAGCTAAACAGCCAATCAGCTTTGACTGTTAGGCAGAATTGGACAATTTTGGCCAATTAGAGTCAATGATTTGTTTCTGGGGTGCTGGCCAGCAACACCAATACAATTGGGGGCGTTACTGGGAGACTTGTCTTATTGTTCACTTTAAATAACTGTGCAAAAGATTCGATTCATTTGTCAGTGTCTCAAAACTACAGAAAATATAGCTAGCTAGCATGCTATCTCTCACTTCCTCGTGCACACACTGTTGGTTTATTCATAGATCATGCCTGTGCCTTTTGAGTAAAATGACTATTCTCCTTTCTGAGATTATATAGTTAAACCATGAGTTGAACACAGGATTTCTAATTAAATTTCTGTTAGTGCCACCTACTGGTGAAAGTGATTGTTGCACTTGAAGCTGATGATTGAAACCGTCAAACTCGAATTGGAAAACAAACTAAGGACAAAATTAAAGTGAAACAGGACAATTTATGAACTGCAGTTCCTCACATGGTAGTCTAGTGTGTTTGAGTTTTATTATAGGATGTAAATTAGTTTGACCATCTGAAAAACTGCTTAGGTGGAGAAGGGGAAAAACAGATAGTTTTGGTATTGTAGTAATTTTCCAACTGTTGATTTGAACTAAGAAGGGAAATCTTTTCACGTAAAGCCCCACAAGAATGGTTTTCATCCACCACCATTGATGAAGGGACAATTACACTAAACTGGTTTCAACTGAAGCATAGATTTCTTCAAAATAAAAGCATCTCTGCACCAACTGTCAGCATGGGGGTTTGATGGAGGTGAGGAAAATCAGGTGCTAAAGTATCAGAAACATTTTTTTCCACATTTGTTCGTCAAGTTGGGATCCTGGTGACTCTCTGTGGCAGCCACCGCCGACTTGTGGAGTAAAGAATAAACGACGCTGCTGCACTCCTTCCAGGTGACGACTTCTCCTCCAGCAGCTCTAGTTTTTCCATTCATGTGATTTATTAATTATGTTTCCACAAAGGTGATTTAGAGCCACGGAACAGGAAAACAAAATAAGCGTTCAGACTAAAGTAAAAGTGGAAATACTATTTTCCCTCTCAGTGGCCTTAATAGATGTTTTGTAACTTGAACAGGTAATGGCACCTACCTACATATGGGAGGAGTCTTGCTTATGACATCACTAGCCTGGCCGGTAGCTCTGCACTTTTTCCCATGAGCTGCAGAGGCAAGCTTCTAAAAGCTGAACATTTGTCTGATTTGTTAACCGTAGCTTCAGGTCAGTCGTTAGCTCCGCATGAAGAGTGAGAAACAAAATCTCATGGATGAAAAGTTGATGCGATTTCCCATCTGTGTTTCAGCGAGGAGGGGTCTCATCATGGGAGTGTACCTGAGCATCCTGTTAATCCTCTACCTGGTGCCTCTGGGTTTGTATTCTCCTTGTCTCAAGGAGGATCAGACCCTGGGTCCAGCGCCGGTGTCGGTACAGGATCTGCTAGGGTGCGGGATCGGCTTGGGGTCCTTCGACTGCCGATGACGTCACATTACTGCAAATCTACTGGGCTTTCACACATACGTTTTGGAAAGACATCAGCAGTTTTGTTAATAAATTCTTGTGTGTTAACACCTAAATGTTTTCTTTATGATTGTAATTTGTTAATAAAACACCATATCTTTGTTTTGTAAAGAATGTGAAACTGCATAAAACCAACATCAGACTGACACAAAATAGAACAGTACTTCTATGTGAAGGCATATCTGTTTGTATTAATGTGGAGTTCGTCTGTATATTTCCTTAGTTGTTATCTAAATACATTCTTTGACTCAAATATTGCTTTGGTGTCTTTCAATAAAGTTCTTATATTTTATTTTGCCCCATTTCATCAACATCAAGAGCTTTTGAGGGTCACCGTTTATCATTTGCTTATATTTTACTTTTCCTTTAGAAATTCTAACATATTTTCTCCAAAAAATGTTGATTTTTGGACTACAGGACTACAACCGCTAAGACTACGACCGTAAATTTGTCAAAATCATAACGTGATAACGTCACTTTCGTAAGCTTCGTGTTCAGCCAATCAACTACTTTGACGTCAACGGCAGTCGAAGGACCCCGAGCCGATGCTGCACCCGAGTAGATCCTGTACTGACACCGGCCCTCATCGGCCACAGAGGGACCCCGATGGGGAGTCCAGTCTGTTTCACCCCGTGGTGAAAATAATGAGCTGAGTGGAACGCTTTCGCTTCCGTTTTGCATCTGATGCGCTCCCGATGGTAAGGGAGCTTGGGGCTAAGATGAGTCTGTTACGTTATGCTCCGCCTATGCATCCAGAAAGGCTGGGTTGGAATATGATGAAAAAACTCCTTTATGTCAGTAATTTGACCTAAAAGATTAAACTAATAAATGAGACGCATTCTATGCAAATCCAAATATTTGCGCCTTTATTATTTATAATTGTGGTGATTATGGCTTACAGCTTATGAAAACGCCACATTTAAAATCTTGATTATATTGTGAAAAGGTTCAATATTCTAGACTCAGTATCACACTCTAAACACCTGCAAAGGGCTCCTGAGCCTTTAGATGGTCTCTCAGTCTGAGCTGGATACTCACATAAATGAACTTTAATTCAGTCACACGCATTTGAAATAAATACACAATAAAAAATGTGATTAAGTCAAAGAAAAGATTAGTTATTTTTAAAAGGCTCCAGAAAGCATCCGCCCATCAGAGCTTCAGACCAGTCGGAATTTGGAGATTTTTCTTCTGAATGGCCCACTTCCTGTCTGTCAGAACCGTTTAGATCTCAGAGACAATTCAATTTTTCACATATTTACACCAAAGCAACATTCTCCACGTCCTGCTTTTCTTCTCTATGGTGCTGCAGCTCGCCCCTGAAAATACACTGATGTTGTTTGAGAAGGTGGTGGAAGCAGCAAGCGATGGTCTGGAGACTGACGTCACCCTAAGGTCAGTTTGTAGTATGGTGGCCCTGAAGGCCCAAATGTCTGCAGATTTAGATGCACGTTCTGTCTTGTTGTACTTTTGATGGAGTTCCCTTCCTGATGCATGACCACACTTTGAGACACGTCACCAACATCCACAAGGTCTTCGCCAACCGGACCAACTCCTCGGTGGCCATGTTCACCTGGAGTGAGCTGAAGAGGTTGAACGCTGGGTTCTGGTTCTTCTCGGTGAGTCACATCAGTAGGATCTTTCTACACATGCCCAAAGTTTAGTCTTTTATCTAAAACAATTTATTACTGTTGAGTTTTTCACTGATCCATACATGTTTTAAATGAAGAAAGGTGGAGGGTGCAACAGCAGCCAAACAGTGTAAATCCACAACAAGAGAATTCCTTTGGAATGGTAAATGGTTTTCCATGTTGCATCACAGTGATGATTGCTTATTGATTTTACTTTCATCCCCTTCAGCAAGATCCGTTTGGAACCGCTGATTCTTTGGAAGAGGAGGAGCGATGGCGGGCAGGAAACCAGTCCGTCTGCAGCCTGCAGCTCTACCTTCAGCTTAGTGATCTTTGACCTTTACCGACCGCCCAGAGGTCATCCGTACAGAAACAGTTTGGTCCAACGCACTCTGGAGGTCATCAACACGTCGACCATCCAGTCCTCACGTGACTGACATGATGGAAGCTATATTGAAGCCTTTCCAGAAACTCCCAGTTAGTGGGAGAATACTGTAAATATTGATGCTTCCCAGTAACCTTTGAATGCTTTAACAGAGTGTTTAGGTGCTGTGGCTGCCTTCAGATCTACGAGATCTGGTTCAGGAAACTGACCCAGAGCTCCAGTAGAGTTCAGGAAGTCTGCATCCTCTGGAGGAGCTGCAGAGTTCCAACATTGTTAAACTCAACCTGGACTACAGCTCCATGTCTGCTGAACTCATCAGGTGAGTTTCTGGTGTTGATGTACAAACACCAGCGTGAGGACACGAGAAAAGAGTTTTTCTCACCTGTGTGCAGAGAATACGCTGCAGTCAACATCACCACTAACCTGTACGTGGTCAGCCAGCCGTGGCTCTACTCACTAGTCTGGTGTGCTGGAGCTCACTCGGTCACCACCAATGCCCCCCAGCTGCTCGGGGCCCTGAGCTTCCCCCTCTTCCTCATGGTGAGTTCCAGCCTGCTTCTTCTCCACAGCTCTGACTGTTAAAAGTGCCTTGTAGCTCTAAGGCTAATATTTTTGATATGTGCCTGCTCAGAAACTCCTGATGCTATCTGCTGAATTATCTCCTCAGCCTTAATCTGGTTCTGCAGGAGCTGCTAATCACTTGTTTTAATAACATCTGCAGTATTCAAGCAGGGAAGCATCTAAAACTGGCATTGGTGAGGTTAGCACGCCCTTGCTCACGCTACGCTAATCACTTAGCTCTGATACACAAAATATCCTCTTTCACTATTGGTGGAAAGCTTACAGACCAACATTTAATGCAGGTTAAGATAGCATTCAAGCTAGGTTGGTGTGCAGGGAACTGGGGCGTATTCCTGGTCATACACAATTGTATTGGTTAGAGGAGGGACTTAGAGGAAATATCAGTTAAATTGACAGATTATCTTGTTTCTATCAGAACAGGGTCAGATTTAAGTAGTTTTATTTTAAACTACATTTTCCCGCTTTAAGTCAAACTTTTCCACCCAGAGTCCAAACGAGTACAACCTGATGTGGATTTTCACTGATGTGATCCCCGTCATGCTGGTCTTCATCATCTCCTGCTTTCACTGGTGAATCTCAGACATGATTAACATAAAACAAATGTATGTTCTGATGCAGCTGCGTATAGAACCAGTTACCTTTTCAGGTGGCGAGAGCGAGAACTCTCACTTCTGACGGCAAACTGAAGCTGGACGTTGGCGCCTACAGCAAGTTCAAAACTGGTAACTACAGAAAGAACTACAAATAGTTTTTTTGAAGGCCCTTATACGTTAAACTATTCTTCTTGCAGACACTGGGGGTATCTGGTCCACCTCTGTCTCCAGCTTGCAGAAGGTGGAAAAGCTGGTCTCCATCACCGAGCACTAACAGGTTTTTAATCAAAAGGAAGACTCTCAGGTTAGAACCACAAACATTAAACAGCTAATTTAAGTTCATCCTGCAGAGATGTTAAAGGGACAAGCCTCAGTTTTCTTTGCAAAATATCTTTTATTAACTTCTATGTAAAATAAAATGTTTACATCTGCTACACACATTGTTCACATAGTACTGTAACTTCCCACCTAAATACTAGTACACATGAATAAAAGCCCTTCAGTTATGTTTGTCTCTAAAGCTATAGAGATCTTGTTTAATATCTAAAAACAAGGCAAAAGGCATTTCTAAGGTCTTTGTTTAAAAAGGTCTCTCAGCTTCAGTTTTGTTAAATTGGGACCTGTTTTTACTAATTATAACTTAATGGAGGTAAAAACAAGCCAGCTATATTTACTACTTAAAGTGGCATAATTTAGCTCACTGTTAAAGACGTATGACCACCCAGACTCCTTTTCTGCAATCAGGATTGTTCAGAACAAATAAAATGCCTGATTTCTCATATCTGGTCTCAGCCTCTACCTTTCTGCAGGGTGAGCAAAGATGACGTAGAGTGGAGCATTTTGTGCAAACCAGTTTGATGCTGAGTCACTTCTGGGCCACAGTAACGTTGAACATGATCGCTGCAGGGCCTAAGAGGCCAAAAGGTTATCAATTGTTTGTGTCCACCTACATTCACAGCTTCTGCTTTGAGTCACTAAATGATACCTGCTAGTCAAAGTTAGCATGGTGTGGAAACAACTAATTATCAGACTGAAGCTAACAAAAGCATTTGTTAGCATAGCTTCTTCACTGTGCTAGTAAAGAGCTAGCATGTATCATTTGCATTGGTCTCTAAGGATTAATTCCTTGTAAGTCATACTCTGAGGAAAAAGCTCAAATGCTGCTGTTTGCTCAGCACAAATACAAGCCTGGAGGAGTTCTGCTGTGTGGTGGAGTTGCTAATGCTAACTGTTAGCATCTACTAGCTGAGACTTTCTCTGCTGATTCCTGGACGCTAAACCAACAACAGCCTTTCCTGCCGTGAGTCCATGAATGTTAAGTGACAGAGTGACGTAGCTCTCTGAGGATGTTCAAATCCTAGATTTTCAGAAGCTAATGTAGGATAGAGGTGTAGGAGACTATTTTCATGCTCAAGCTGCATGAAACTCACTTTTAAGTAGAATAGTCTATCGTACTTTTCTTAAAGCTTACTTTACTGAGTATTTCTTTCACCACTGTTTTTGTAACTCAGAGCAAAAGCTCATAGTTATGAATGTTGGTGTCCCAGGGTGATCCATATTATCCTGTTTACCATTATTCTTTGCAGGTCCTGCAGAGATCGCATCAACAACGCCATAGAGAACACTAACCTTACTGTGATTCAGCTAGCTAAACTCAGGAAGCGCCAAACCGGAGCTCTGTGGTTAAACAGAAGTAGGTGCATCTGTTGGCTCACATTCTCTGAAAGATTAAAGTCATTTCAGATTTAACCAGTAAAAACCTGTGACCCAGAAATCTGCTGGAGCTGCATCCTCAGATGATGTATAGTACAAATATAAAAAAGATCAAGCTCATGGGTCACTTCTCAAAAAAATCAATGTGCACATAAGATCTGAATATCTTTTCTGAGTAAATGCAGCTTCAAACCACAGCTGATGTTTAGAAAAGTTGTTTTTAAAGGCAAAAGGTGAATTTTAAGACGTGTGTTTGTGTGTGATTGTTCAGTGTTTTCTGCATTCACTTGTTTCCTCTGGAAGTTCTCTGTTTAGTCATGGTCGTCAGCATCTGGCTGATGTAAGAGGTCAGAAGGTCATCCATCTTGTAGCCCTAAAGAAGGTGGAAGCACGTAATCACCCGACTGGGATTATGAAGTTCCTTTGGTCTGCTGCGTGGAAACCAACTCACCAGCGATGTCTCACAGAGCAGCTTGCTGCCTCGAACCAAATTCCCGATGGTGATGTGGAAGTACGTATTCCCGCTGCTCCAGTTGGAGATCTTGGTGAACGGATGAGTTGTGAGGATGTCCTAGAGGAATTTGGATAGCACAGATGAAAAGTTCTGGTCTACATGTGACAGACACGTTAAAGAAGCGCTCTGACCTTCGTCTTCGGGTCAATCAAACTGACTCCATGCTTGTTGATTGCAATCAAAAGGGTTTCTGGGTAATTTGGATCAGTCGTTTGCTGTAGAGAAAATAAAACACGGCTCTGTTTTAATTAACTTTAATCACAGAGCTTGAATAAGGAGGTCTTTTTTATTACCTTAATTTCAAAGAAGGCTGAACCAAACGTGGGCCACTTGTAGATGATCTTGAGGAAGGACAGTTTGGCATCTTCACGCGTTTTTCCAGACTGTTTGATGAACAGCGTCATGATGGACTGAAGAAATAAACCATAAAAATCAAACTTTGCATTTCAGCCCTTATTTTTGACCTAAACGTGGTGTCGTGGTCGGCTCACCCTCTTCCAGTCGTCTGGAGACTGAAGTCTGATATGGTCCTGAGGAACCAGGTCCTTCAGGATCTTGGAAGTAGTTTGGAAGTGGGAATTATCCTCCTCGAACTTGACTCTGTAGATTAGTGCAGCCAGCTGGTGCACCTCCTCCCTGGAACACTTGTGGTAACCACGGAGATACTTTGGCAGCTCCTGAACAGAGAAACAAAACTCAGTTTACGTTTCTGAATAAGATTTAATTTAGTTAAGACATCTGCTAGACGGACTTGGTAGTAGTGGAAGATGGAGTCAGCCATGGAGTCATTTCCAGGCACCGTGTTCGTCCACAGCTTCTTCATGAAAAACACCTGATAGGTCAGTGAAGGCACCATGGCTGCACCTCCTACACACACACACACACGCACACACGCACGCACGCACGCACACACACACACACACACACACACACAGATAAACCAAACAACACCAAACACTCTGAGCTTTAACCAGCAGCGGATCTTTTTACCATCCTTCACATGTCTGGCTTTTCTGATCCAGTCGGTTAAATGTCTCACAAAGTCAAAGAAAAAGTCTCCGTCCGGCACACTGATGACCTGCAGCAGATGGTTCCACAGGTTAGAACCTGAGTCCGAGCTTCTCGCTGTAGCCAAACCTCTCACCTTGTCTGTGATCTTCACAAAGAGGCTGAATCCCTCAGAGGATTTCAGCATCAGGCGTCCAGAGATGTTGTGACAGAAATCTTTGGCCTTCGTGCTCGACTCCACTTCAAACGCCTGCAG